CCTGCATGAAGTCCGTGAATTTCCCCCAATCCGTCCGGCGGCGCGGGGCCTGCGGCGTCAGGAGCACCGGGGTCATCAGGATATCCATGCACACGGGAAGGTGGTCGGATTGGACGTCCTCCAAGAGGACTTCCTGCGTCAGTTGGCTGTCCAGTCCCTTGTAGAGGGCTATGTCGAGCACGTCGGGTATTCTTGCGGCGTCGTGGGGATAGTGTGTAGGTACCTCTGGACCATGCACAGCGATATTTAGTTTCTCTACTATCCCCAGGAGTTTTCTGCCTTCGGCGCTGATTATGTTGGAGTTCCAAGCCGTGTGTTTACAGTTCCAATCTCCTGCGGCGATGGTCGGCAGCGGCTCCTTGAAAAGGGCCTCGACGTCGGCCGTTGCAAGTTTCGTTGTCGGCGGTTTGTATACTGCAAACACACGGATGGGATTTCTATTGTTGCACAGCTCGATCCCAAGTGCGTACATCGATCCAAGTTGCACCTGTGGGAGCGGCTGGTGGACGATGTTCCTCCTTACTAGGACAGCCAACCCGCGATACACCCTTCGGTCGTCCGTAAGCTCGTCCTTGCGGTATGCATGGTATCCCGGTATGTGGAGTGCGTCGGCGGCCCCTAGCATCGTCTCCGAGATGAGACACACGTCGACTTTATACTCCACGAGCATCAGTTTCAGTAGGGGCAGCTTCTTGCGGATCCCGTCCGCGTTCCAGTGAACTATTCTTATCATGCTAGCTGCGATAGTTTCACCAGGCCCGCGGTTATTACCGGCAAGGGGTCTGCGCCGGTTTGTACCGCGACTAGCACCTCCATCAAGATGTTAATCATCGCCCTCATCAAGTGGTTGTTGTTGGAGGTGCTGGATTCCAGTGGCTGCTTCGCCATCTTCCCCTTGACACTTTCGTGTTGTGGCGCCGCGCTTGAAGCGGCCTTTTGTGTGGCGGCTTCGTATTTTGTGGGGGCGGCGACCGCAAGCGGACGGGTTGTTTTTGCCGAAGCCTGTGTCTTGGTCGGCGCGGCCTCAGTGGGTGCGTCTTTGCGTTTCCCTTTCTTCTTCTTCTTGCCTCTCTTCTTTTTACGGGGTTTTTCAGGCAGCTGTTTCCCTCTTTCTGTAGCCGGGTTTGCCGCGGCCATCAGGTTGGATTCGTTGGTGCCGCCTGGGAGCGTCCTATCTCGCCCGGCGAGTTGGCCTGTTGTTCTGGGCGCCGTGCCCGCCTTTCTGTTTCTTATTTCTCTTTTGAAAACAGGGCAGGCGGGGTTGTTAGCGGTGTGGTTTTCTCCGCAGTTTGCACAGGTCGGAGGCTCCTCTCTGGGCCGCGGGCAGTCCCTGGCTACGTGTTCACCCCCGCAGCGGACACATGCCATCTTCCTGTGACACCCATGGGAGGAATGCCTGAAACTTTGGCAGCGGTGGCATTGCGCGGGGCCGTTCTTGCCCCGCCAGGCTTCGATTTTCACCCCCGGCATGCAGAGTAATTCATCAATAGCGTATATGCCGGGGGTGATGCCTGGGGTGCGCTTGATCTGTGCGTGAAATATGCACCCCGGGCGGCCCTGACGTGCTTTGATCTGACGGATGTACTCAGGAACGTATCCCAGCTCCGTCAGGGCGTCGGCAATGTCCTCCACTGGAGTGTCGGCTGGTATGCCCCGGATGGCCACTTTCAGACTCCTCTCCGCTGGCAGTTGGTAGGAAAACCAACTTATTTTTTCCGATTTCTCGAGGTCGGAGAGGTACCTCTGGATGACACGGTACTCATCCTCGGACCTCGGGGTGAATCTCACCCCCTTGCCATAGGGGCGGGCGTTCGGGGCGCAGTTCAGCAACTTTTTCAAGTTCTTGAAGTGGCGCACCCAGTCGGGCAGGTATTCCACTATTAGCGGGGGCAATCTGGGTCTTTTTGCCGCTGGCGGGGGCGGGGGCGGTGCAGTGTCTCTTGCTGTGCTTGAGGCCGCGCCTTGGTTTTTCGTCATGTCCGGTGGTTGCGTAGGGGCCCTTACTGCGCCCGCATATGTCTGGCCCTGTGAGTGGGCTGGCACTGGGAGTTCCCTGGGTCTCAGCCTTGGGTCTCTCTGTGGCAGTGGAGTCGATATCTGCGGCGGTGAAGGCTCTTGGCAGGGACGCTTGTGTCCCTCGTTTGCCGCGGAATCTGGGCTTCTAGGCCTTCGGGCTGGTCGTATGGCTGCCAGTTGGAACGATCGACCCATCTCTCTTGCCAGCTCCATCTCCTCTATTGGAGGCGACGGCTGGTCCCTCAGTCTCTCCGCTTCATCCCCCACCAGAGCGGCGATCCTCTCTTTCATTCCCTGGGAGAGGAGGTCCGCGGACAGCACTTGCGCCAAAATCAACGAGTCTCGCTCTAATGTTGATTTCGGCGAAAGGCCGCCCGACGAACCCCCTCCGGAACTCGGAGAGGCTCGCCGCCCCCGGCGGTGGCATGCCGCTCGAGGTGAGGAACGAGGTGCCCGCCTCCGCGAAGTCTTCCGATGGCGACGGTGATGCGGGCGATGGGGGGACGGCGGCTTGTTGTTGTGAGGGCCCCTCTGTGGTGGTCCTCGTTGCTGGATGCTGTTGTTGATGCCGGTAATTTGCACTGGTGACACTGTTTGCACTATCACTCGGCACTTGTTCGCCGCACTGAGCTTGATGCATTAGTGTCGCCGGTAAACCGGCGCGAGGGATGGTTACGCCTGCACGGTTACTGCACGGCGCGGTTGCATCGTCGCGTGGCGGGTTTGTCGTACCCGTGGCACGTTGCGCGGCGCGGGAGCGGGAGCGCTCTCTCCCCCGCGAGGGGGAGATCGCTGTACGCGGGCGCTGCGCACGGGCGCGCGCTGGAGGGGGGGCAGCGGCGGTTGAGCCCCCCTCCTGCGGTAATGGTACACTGTGGCCCTGATAAGGGCCTTTTTCGTCCGGCCGCCTGGCCGGGCTCGGCATTCTTCGAATTCTTCGGATTCACCTTCCTTCTGCTTCACAGGTCGTCCTCTCAAGCAGTCGTCCGCGATCCCTTCATTCTGGGGATGCCTGTCCCCGGATGGACTTCAATCTTGGGTAGGCGGGGTGGGCTATTCTCAACTGTCCGCTCCGATGACAGCCGGTTCGTTGCCTGGTACGTTTGCAACAACAAACGCACCAGACAACGTCTTCTCTCCTTGGTGCTGGCTACGGTGAGTTCGCTGGATCCGTGCGGTGCGACGTTGAGGCGATGGCGGGGCACACTCGAAGTTACCGCTTCGATGGTGCTAGTGCGGCGGTGCACTCGGTGGAGCTGGTACGGTGGTGCACAAGATGGTGTAGCCGCGTTGCTAGTACGATGGCGCTGCCGCGGTGCTGCTCGGTCGAGTTGCTGCGGTGGCGCACACGCAGGTGTTGTAGCGGTGCCGAAGCGGTGATGCTGCTGCGATGTATCTTCAGTGCTGCCAAGCTGCTGCCAAACTTTCCCTTCTTGTCGCTTCGACTGCTGGCCGATCCCTGCCGCTCGACGAGAGGCGGCCTATCTTTATACCCGCCCGCTCGCACGATAACATTTCCAACTCGCGTTAGCGATCTGTGCGAGCGGGACGGGGCGAGAAAGAACGAGACGCGTGTCTCTTCAGATCGGTACTCTATAGCGTTTATTTATTGCAATTTACAATTTCTTAATTCTATTTATTGTTACAATTTCTATTTCTATTCGTAGGTAATAATGACAACACGCAAAGGAATACTTTATTTAACTTACACTATCTTAAATCTATGTAAATCTATATAAAATAACAGAATACAAAACGATTAACTAGGGACTTAACAACTATAAATTACGATATATACAAATAATGTCGCGAACAGTATGTATATATATACATATGTATCACAAAATAAAAAAAATAAAATGAAAATGAAATGACCACAGAGAAAAAAAAAACATTTTTGAAGAAGCCAAAGTATTATTATTTTGTTTATGGCACAACACTATGAAGGTTTTTTTTTTAATTTTTATATCCACCAACCAGTTCCTCTGAAATGAGCTAATCTTTCGAAGAGTTATCCAAGTTGAAAAATGTAATATTAGATAAATCAAGTTCATTGAACCCTTCACGCACGAAGTGCTCTAATGTACCAGGTCATGTGGCTGCGTTCATGACACAAATACGTGACAAACACACAGACAATGCATACACCTTTATTATCTATGAACCTCCATTTACGCTTTTTACTTGATTTAGTGACAAAAACATCCTCAGAATTTATTTCGTATAAAAATTTAAATCACTAGCATCGTTAGAAGAGAGTGAACACTTTTGCCGTATAAATATAGGTAAAGGCGATCCTGCAATATTCTTTCTCCAACTCTTTTACCTCTTACCATACTGGTTTCGCTTCAAATTCTTTTATTTCAACTCTTCACAGCACTGCAACACTTTTTTTTTTAAAAACTTACAATGGCAAACAAGCTGACGGCCCACCTGATGGAAAGTGGTAACCGTCGCCTATAGACATGAGCAGTACCATGGACATAACAGAGTATACTGTTTCGCCCATGATACCCCCCATGCGTTGCCATTCCTGAAGACTCAGGTGTTATTCCTTTGTACCCTGTAAATTCACACCATAGAGGTACCCAAGCAATCGACTTTTGTCTATCAACGGGGGCGTTGACAGGGTATATTGCTAGCCATTTTCCTTTCCTATTTTTTTTTTCAATAATTATAATATAGTGTTGCAAATTTGATTTTAATTATGACGTCCAAAGCTGCTGATTTATGGGCAAAACAGTATACTCTGTTATGTCCATGCTATCAGCTTGTTTGCCATTCTAAGTTGTATAAAAAAAAAGAGGTAATAAATATATATATAAAAAAAAATACGACCAAATTTTTTTTAATTCGAAAATAACGGCCGTTTTATTTGTAATCCTCGTTCTTTTTAATACCCTGCGAGTATCTAAGTCGTGTTTTTATGTGTGTTTTCAAAATAACAGCTATCGACAGTGAGAATTGTTATATAACGTGCTGTTATGTGGACCAAGGTCATTGTACTATTGTCAAATTACGCGGCACAGAGCACGCTGAGATTTCAGAGTAATCGTGAGTTTTTTTTTTTATTGTAAACTAACTCTTGTTTACATTAAAAAAAAGTCACGTGTTTGTTCAGTATTGATTCTGGTTATAATCTTTATAAAAAAAAAAAAAAATATTTATTTATTCATCAAATATGTATGTGTACAAGGCGGACTTAAGGCTAAAAACATTCTCTCCCGGTCAACCTTAACTCAACTGCGGTTGCCAATCCTCCTGCCAAGCGTGGCAACTAGTGGCGAAACCCGTCAAGGGGAAGGCTTATGTTCAGCAATAGACAGTTAAAAGCTGATGTGATGACGATGATTAACGCATTTTTTTTTTGGTGCATGAAAATGGAATGGTAACCCCGCCTGCGCTAACGGGATACACTGGCGGAGCACCAGTGAAGGGTGATAGATGAGAATGAAAACAGGCTAGTTAGCCCATCATGATGAATTCATCAGGAATTAACCATGATAGTTTCCAGGGGGAACCACGAGGAGGTCGACCTGGTTGGTTAGTCTCCATTACTAACAATCCTTTTCCCCCCTGATTAACGCATTAGGTAGGTATATAAATTTATGCGAAAAAAGCCGCGGGACATAACTGGTCATTAGTAAACGATTATTAACAATCTACAAATCACAACAACATGGTAACATGTAATTAAACAGAATATGGCTTCCATCATTCACTTTAACAGTTTATCTGACTCAAAACATCAATTAACCTCGGCATAAAACCAAATTATTATGATGACCTGCCCGATAATGAAATTGTCCAAATTTAAGGAGGTTATATAGTCTGATACCAGAGGGAGACTTTACCCAAAAGTCGTTTGCTTTGACAACTCTGTCCTATTTGTGTTTGTACCGTGAAGTAGTTGTGTTTGCATGGCTGTGTTTCGGTTTGAAGGGCGCGATATGGCAGTGAATTTACAGGGTACAGAAGAATAACACCTTAGTCTTCAGGAATGGCAACGCATGGGGGCTATCATAGGGGAAAGAGTATACTCTATTATATCTATGGTTCTGCTCATGTCTATAGGCGACGGTTACCACATTCCATCAGGTAGGCCGTTAGCCATTCTAAGTTGCATAAAATAAAATTATATCCCACTAACCGTACTGATTATTATTACCTTCTAACTCTTAGATCTTGGGGGAAAGGGATTGTTAGTAATGGGGTCTTAGAGCCTCATTGCTAGCAATACACCCTGTCAGGGCAACAGGGCGATAACTAGACCTAAGTTTAAGAAAGGGCAAAAGAACTTTTTGATAGGGCAGAAGTCATAATTAAGTGACTTCAAATCTATGTAATTTTCTTATGGCCTTTCATTTTAAGGTAGGATATTGGGCCTTTTAGGGAAGGGCATTGCCCATCAATGTCCCACCCTAACTATGGCCATGCACACCGATCTCCACGCGGTTCCCCCTGGAAACTATCTTGGCTAATTCTTGTAGAATTCATCACGATGGGCTAACTAACCTGCTTTCATCCTCACTTATCATCTATTTTTGGTACTCCGCCAGAGTCTAAAGATAGCGCAGGCGGAGCTACCATTCTATTATCACCCATTAAAAATACCCTGAAGTCTTTGAAATTGATTACACAGTCATATATTACTATTATTATACTAGTTTTTACCCACGACTTCGACCACATGACCAGGATATATTGATTGACCAAGATAAAAAAAAGTCTATCTTAGTCACAAATGTTAATAAATTAAAATGATTTTTAGTTTCCCTATAAAAATAATATTTATTCTTTTTACAGAAAGATGTCCTTTGACAAATGAGCACTTGTCTTGTAAAAAAGTCAAGTTCAAGTCCAAAAGAAGGGGGGGCTTCCTAATTGGCTTAAAACTGTCTCAAGTAAAGTTCTCAAATCTAGACCTCTAATAGTTTAAGTTAGTGAAACATTTAAAAAGATTATTTCTATTCTATATCAGTTTAATGCCAACCTTAAATATGTATCCATGTTGTGTTTTACATACAAACAAATGAATGTCAGTACTGTATTATGTAATAAATTTGCATATACTATAAATGCAGTAGAGGTGCAAGGATGCCGGTAATAGCGCATTAGCCCAACAACCGTTGAGGTAAGGCCTCTGTGTTCGCGATAGTAAAACGAAAAATAATTTATTGACTAAATTTATTTATAATATACACTAAAAAAAAAAAACACAGCACAAACAAAAAGTACAGCACACATTTAATTGAATCAATTAATTTAATTTTATTATAAAAAACATTTTATGTAACAAACTTGATTATTTTAAAGCCCAATTTTGAAAATTTCAAATTGCACCGTTTATAAAATAATGTAAAGTGTAAAGTGACACAAAATATGGCCTAAAAATGAATTTAAGAAATCTCTTCAATCAATTTGTGATTTTTTATGCAACTTAGAATGGCAAACTAGCTGACAGCCTACCTGATATAAAGTGGTAACCGTCGCCTATAGACATGAGCAATACAATGGACATAACAGAGTATACTGTTTCGCCCATGATACCCCCATGCGTTGCCATTCCTGAGGACTTAGGACATTACTGAAGAGTTTTGTGTCAAATAATCACAATATTTTAATTTACTTAATTTTGATTACTATGTATATAGACGAAATCAGGGGAACAAATAGTAATCTATATACCGTTATTCAACGCACAACTGAAATCCCTGAATCGAGAATCATGGAGTCATCATCGTCATCATACCAGCCTTTAACTCTCCACTGCTGAATATAAGCCTCCTCCTTGAGAGGCAACCGCGGATTGGCAACCGCAATTAGGCTTTAGATATGTATTAAGAGGGACGCTGCTGGTCATCCCTCGCTCTCTCTTAGTCGCCATACGACACCCACGGGAAAGGAAGGGGTGGCCTATTCTATGCGGGTACTATACGATTAACACATTGCATAATACAATTTTATAAGTAAAATTCTTATTTCTACTACGCTTCGTCGACGCTAGTACTCGCACCATACCCCACCAGCTAGCAATATAGCTTTGCTGTGCCATAATTGACGTAATCTCAAAGTGTACATCGCTGTGTAAGTAATAAACACCACACGACGGATTTCATCGTTATTTTTTGTGTTATTATATATTAATACTTTGTACAAAAGTCGTTTGCTTGGGCACCTCTGTCCCATTCGTGTTTCCACCGTAAAGCAGTTGTGTTTGCATGACTGTTTCAGTTTGAAGAGTGGGACATGGCAGTGAATTAACAGGGTACAGAGGAATAACACGTGAATCCTCAGGAATGGCAACGCATGGGGGGTATCATGGGCGAAACAGTATACTCTGTTATGTCCATGGTACTGCTCGTGTCTATAGGCGTCGGTTACCACTTTCCATCAGGTGGGCCGTCAGCTAGTTTGCCATTCTAAGTTGTATAAAAAAAACCTGTCTTTTCAGTCTCATTATTATCCCTCACTGGTACCCCGCCAGCGTATACCGATAGTTCAGACGGGGTTACCATTTCATTATCATCCATTAAAACAAATCTAAGAATTAGCTGTATGGTCTAGCTACCTTTGCCTGTCTTCGAGGCGATTAGAAAAAAGAACAGTGTCAATTTTGATAACAATTTTTGACAGTCAGGTGGTAAAAAGGTAGCTGTTATTTTAACTTTTTATCTACAAAACCCACGGGTCACAGTTAGTAAATTATTTTTACAATGAAGGTCAAATCAATAACAACGAATTATTACTCATGTAACGGATTTACATTATTGAAAGCAGTTGTCCTTTGTTCTGATTTGCCGAGCGACTTTCAACCTTAACACTTTCAGAATAATGACCAGGTAGAACTTAAAAAAAATAATTATATGGAACCTACTAAAGCTACATAGTATCCACGGTCATATGTCCCTAGACGCAAATTCCCACGCTTATTTCAATTTCAAATCAGCATCATCACTTGATGGTTTGGTTTATTTAATAACTAGCTTTTACACGCGATTTCGTCCACGTGACCAGCGGGTTTACCATGAAATGAAATTCCGAAATTTCGGACTCAACTTCGTATTTTTGTTTATACCAAAATCGGACCAATAAATGTAGTTTAACATTTCGTTCGTCATACATCCTATTATAAAAGTCAAAAGGAACAATATTTTAACATTTTTAATATATCCAAACGGCATGTATTATGTAATTTTAAAATTTCTGTTTCGTTTGACTCCGAAATTTCGGAAAACATTTCATAGTAGGCCCTCAGGCCCTCTAGACAAGTGGCAAGCGAATTCGTCGATGGAATCGACATCGCTAGCGAGTCCGTGAGACAGAATGAGATAGCAACGCCGGATGACTCGATCCAACTCACGGACTCGCTAGCGATGTCGATTCCATCGACGAATTCGCTTGCCAATTGTCTAGAGGCCCTGAACAGCATAGCTGACAGTAAGTTTTCGAATGTAATGAAATTTATATGATTGTTTTTAAGGTCATCTACACTAATATTATAAAGAGGCAAGATTTGTATTTTGTGTGTATGTATGTTTGTAATGAATAAACTCAAAAACTACTTTGCCGATTTTAAAAATTCTTTCACCATTAGAAAGTTACATTCACCCTGAGTGATATAGGCTATATTTATTGCTAGAAAAGATTAGGGATCCTTACTAAAACTTTAGTAACGTAACTCAAGGTGTAAAGAAACGCTATAAAATATCTTTCGTCGCGTGCGCCGCGGAAACTATTGGTGATAGAACAAAAGTATGTTCTACAATATTGAAGAAAATATCAATAACTACAAAAAACTTCGCGATAGACAAACAAATAAACAGACAAAAATTCAAAAAATCATTGTTTTGGACTAGATTATATTATAGCGCTTATAAAACCACCCTATAATAGTTTTTCATATATATTTTCCATGTAATAATCCAATATTGCTCTTTTCTGAAACTGTGGTAAAAACATATTTATTTTTACTAAAATAAAGTAAATATTAAAATAACACAAAAAAAAATTATTATTGTATGACGTCATAAGAAGTTTTCACTAATTAGAACAACTCGGCCTTACTCTCAGCCTCACGACTGTCACTCACCGGCGGCCTAGGATTATTGACTGCCGGCCCCCTCACGACAAAGGTAGCGCGACGTCCGACCTTGTGTTATATTACATTTTAAATGACATATTGCTAGGACAGTATTTATTTATAAGGCCCAATTCAGACCGACATAAGTGCATGGAATAATAAATCCGCAATAAAATCTAAATTTTGCCGTATGGTCCCGGCATAGAATAGGTCACCCCCTTACTTTCCCGTGGGTCTTGTAAGAAGTGACTAAGGGGACTTAACGGTCGAGGGATGGGAGCAGCGTCCCTCTTAAAATTTCACCAAAAGCCTAACTGCGCTTGCCAACCGTGGCAACTACTAGCAAAACCCTCCTTATGGGGGAGACCTATGTTCAGCATTGAACAGTTAACGGCTGATATGGTACACCATTATCAGACATTTTAAAAATGTTTGTAATTTTACTTGAATCACCAAAAGCTTATTTGCAGTTGCCAATCCGCCAGTTAAGCGTGGCAACTATGAGCAAAACAAAGTGTCTTATATTAGACAAAAGGAACTGGCTCAGCTGTTACTCTGAGTGTCCCAGTGCAATGTGTACAGCAATAAAAGGCCGGCAGCACACTTGCAATGCCGTAGGTGTTGTGGGTCACATGGGCGGCGGTAGTCACTTACCATCAGGTGAGCCGCATGCTCGTTTGCCCTCTGTGTTGTAAAAAAAAAAAGCTGCACAGAGCTGGGTTTCAGTCAGTCCCTGTTTTAAAAAAATACAACAAAAATGCAAATGGGTACAACTGCAATTGTCTATTATAAATTACGACAGTTGACAGGTATTTATGTAAGAAGACATATTGCGCCGACCGATGATGACGTTTAGATATGTCATTTCGAAGATTTGCTCACATTCAATTATTGTTTTGAAAAAAAAACAAAATGTAACAGCTAAGCTTCCTACCCATTCCTGATGAAATTGCATTTTGGTTAAGAATCAATAGAGGGAGACTTTGTACAAAAGTCGATTGCTTGGGTACCTCTGTCCCATTCGTGTTTTAACCCCATGGGGGGTATCATGGGCAACACAGTATACTCCGTTATGTCCATGGTACTGCTCGTGTTTATAGGCGACGATTACCACTTTCCATCAGTTGGGCCGTCAGCTTGTTTGCCATTCTAAGTTGTATAAAAAAAAATCATAAAATTTTGACTATTAAAAATGCTTGAAATTAAGTTTACTTGAATTATTTTTTTTATTCTATTCAATTGGATTGCGCCGCGTTAAGTGTGCAATAGTCCTTATACAAAATTTATCATTAACTATCTGTCCTTAGATATCTCATAAACAAATTGTTCCTTCCGCTGTTTTATCAGTTGTGAGGAAATAAAAAAAGTATAAAAATGATCCGATGATGTCATTAGGTCGTGACGCGGTTCTATCTTATGAATTATACGACATACAATTATTTATTTCTAACTACCAGTGTCCATGATTACTGTTGCGAGTTGGCGCAAATCGTTAAACTTAGAAAAGTACAATACACTACCAGAGACTTTGTACAAAAATTGTTTGCTTAGGCACCTCTGTCCCATTCGTGTTTCTACCGTGAAGCAGTTGTGTTTGCATGGCTGTGTTTCGGTTTGAAGGGTGGAATATGGCAGTGAATTTACAGGCTACAGAGGAATAACACCTGTGGTCTCATGAATGACAACGCATGAATGGTATCATGGGCGAAACGCTATCATCTTCGCTAGGTACACCTGAATTACTGAACTGAAACAAGAAAAAATGTTAAATTACCCATATCTGTTATAGAAAATACGATATATTAGATAAGCAAGCTGAAGTGGCAATAGATTGGTCACATACATGACAATAGATCGAGAAGAAAGGTTCTTGAGTGACGACCCCGGGCAAATGCCCTGTAACATGCCCCACCCTCCTTCCTAGAAGTGACGACCTCAAATGCATTGCAGGGAGTCAGTGGATGCAGGTGGCTCAGGACTGTTTCTTATAGCAGTCTATGGGGAGGCCTATGTACAACAGTGGACAGGTAATGACAGAAATTATTATAATGGTGACAGTGTTATAGTTACCATTTGAAGCCACTGTTTTTTTTTTTCGAAGCAAAATGTTTTTTTAAGGATGTATTTTATCAGCCTTTAACTGTACACTGCTGAACATAAGCCCCACCTAGCGAGGTTTTGCCAGTAGTTGCCACGCTTGACAGGCGGCTAGGCTTTGGAGATGTTTTAAGAGGGACGCTGCTACTTATCTCTCTCCCTCCCTTAGTCGCCTCTTACGACATCCACGGGAAAGAAAGGGATAGCCTATTCTATGCCGGAATCAACACAGCAAAATAAGCATGTATGATCTCATATTACCCACTTACTTCTCAGTTCAAGCTTCCAGTCACTAAGAAATATTGAATGTTTACTTAAAATCGATCGATCGATATTGTTTGACCCATTGTTTTCTGTGTAACGCACTTTCAACAGAATTAGGGAGGAATTCACATAGCGGTCGAATATAGTTTATTTTCTAATATTTTTTTTTATACAACTTAGAAGGGCAAACAAGCTGACGGCCCACCTGATGGAAAGTGGTAACCGTCACCTTTAGACATGAGCAGTACCATGGACATAACAGAGTATACTGTTTCGCCCATGATACCCCTATACGTTGCCATTCCTGACTCAGGTGTTATTCCTCTGTACCCTGTAAATTCATGCCATATTCCACCCTTCAAACCAAAACACAGCTAGCAAACACAACTGCTTCACAGTAGAAACCCGAATGGGACAAAGGTACCCAAGCAATCGACTTTTGTACAAAGTCTCCCTCTGCTATTGGTATCTGCTAAGAAAAATCCGCATGAAACTCAGCAATTACTTACTCTTTTTAATTCGATTTAAATTCAATAAATATTTAATGATTTTTTTAATAAAAGTATTTTATTTAAGTAAATTGAATTCTTTATTGATTTATAGGATCACCAATATGAGACACAACAAAGCATTTCAATACAATGCACTAGTGGATTCGTTTTATCTGATCTTACATTGATAGGCAACTATGGTATGCCTTATATTTGAGAAACGTCAATAAATAGAATGAATTTTTATTAGCAATTTAATATACTACTACTACTCAATGATATTTTGAGCCAGTATCCGCAATTGGATGTATTTGCCTCCAACTTGCTGGAGTTTCGTCGGGTGACCACAGAGTATTTGTGTTCAGACGTTTTTTGTTTCAGTTAAATTTTTTTATTTTATTTTATGTTATTGTACTCATGCTTTCCTGGGTGAGCGTATTGGAAGACTGTAAGGCTCACCCAGTGGATGTAATAAATAAATAAATAAATATTATTTTTTTTCTTTATAATTCTACCATTCATAATTTTTATAATTGTGAAGGGGTAAATAGGTTTCTTTAAAGTAAGCAATGCACGCGTAATGCCTCTAATATTGCCGGAGTTCATAGACTACGGCAGCCGCTTACCATCAGATGGGCCGCTTGTTTACCACCTAGTAGTGTAAAAAAAATTCGTAAAACTAATAATTATATTAAGATTAAAAAAGTGTATTGTGCATTTGTCTTTATAAAAATTGCATAATTTCAGGGTTACCCAACTAATACTTCATTTCATACTTACTGTGTGAAGTCACCATATGTTAATTAAGTTTTTACTTATAACTTGTATTATTATTTTATAACTTATTAATAATATTACAACATATAAAATAATAATAATAAAAAATATTTTGTGATTAAAAATATAATAGTTTGAGGTGGTTGGTCACTAAACAAAAATTAGACAAGAAATACTAGATGGCGTTAGAATCGAGACTTGCGGTTTTCGTTGATTATTTTGTAATTAAAGATAATTTGAAGTACAAAATCTAAATTTATGTTTGACTTTTATTATGTACAAATGTGAAGTAACTACAAATTTCTTCACATTTTCTTTTTATACAACTTAGAATGGCAAACAAGCTGACGGCCCACCTGATGGAAAGTGGTAACCGTCGCCTATAGACATGAGCAGTGCCATGGACATAACAGAGTATATTATTTCGCCCATGATACCCCCCATGCGTTGCCATTTCTGAGGACTCAGGTGTTATTCCTCTGTACCCAGTAAATTCATGCCATATCCCATCCTTCAAACCTAAACACAGCCATGCAAACACAACTGCTTCACGGTTGCCGACTTTAAATAATGGGTTTTATTAGAAACAACCGAAGCCAAAATAATATCGCTAGTATAACGAACTACCAGTTCCATTCCTAACAATACACCCTGACACATCGACCTCCCCGTGATCCCACCTGGAAATCATCGTGCTGAATTCCAGGTATATTCATCACGATGGACTAACCAACCTGCATTTTCACTCTCACCTATCATCCCTCACTGATGCCCCGCCAACGTATACCGTTAGCCCAGGCGAAGTGACCATTCCATTATTATCCATTAAAAAAAAACAAGTAATAAAGATGTAATATTCATTAACAGCTGTCGAAACTAAATTATATCAAACTTTTTTCCAGCGAAGACGTCGATCAGTTCTGCAAACGTCCAGCTGATCTACCACTCCGTACTGTCTGAACTGTTGCACGACAAACGAAGAAAGTGAGTGTATTTTTGTATATCATCATGCTCATGGTCATTACAACTTATCTAAGGGGGGAGGGGATAGTTAGTATTAGAGACTAAAGGCCTCAATGCTAGCAATATACCCAACCAAGTCGACCTCCACGTGGTTTCCCCTTAGGAACTCACACCTCGATCTTTAAGTTCCCTTAGTCGCTTCTAACTATACCCAATGGAAAGGAATATATGGCCCATTCTATGTCGGGACAACATGGCAATATCCAAACAAAACATAGAAAACCTTATATGGATTTACTCGGACAAAGCTGGGGGATACATATAGTAATAAATATATCGATGCCTTAAAATGCGTAATTTAAAGTCGACAATTAAAAAGAAATCTTTCTTCAAGGTTCACATTCTCGGAAACCTCGTATTTCTGGCGATGGTGGAAAGAACAGCGGCCAGTCACGAGAGCCACCTTCAGGACCCTGGTTCAGGAAGGCAGGATCGAGTTCGCCGGGGGTGGCTGGGTACACAACGACGAAGCAACTGTTGATTACCTGCAAATCATTGACCAGTACACTTGGGGGTTGAGGTAAGCGTATTTCAAAAGAGACCAGGGCCTCTAGACAAGTGGCAAGCGAATTCGTCGATGGAATCGATATCGTTAGCGAGTCCGTGAGTTGGGATGAGTCATCCGGTGTTGCTATCTCATTCTATCTCAGGGACTCGTTAGCGATGTTGATTCCATCGACAAATTCGCTTGTCACTTGTCTAGAGGGCCAGGATTGAATTGTCTAATGCCCATCTCAGGATCTGGACAGGTATTTTTTATTATGCGTAAAGACATGACTGAGGGCTATATAATGTGCCTTTTTAAGGAGTCTTTTTAATCATTCATGTTTCTATCATGAAGCTTCTTGCTCTGTACCCTGTAAATTCACTGCTATATCCCACCCTTCAAACCGAAACACAGTGCAATAAAATTGCAGGGTACGGAGGCTTAACAACTTAATCCTCAGAATTTGCAACGCATGAGGGGTATCATGAGTGTCACAGTATACTCTATTATGTCTTTGGTACTGTTCAAGTCTATAGGCGACGGTTACCACTTTCCATCAGGTAGGCCATCAGCCTGTTTACCATTCTAAGTTGCATAAAAAGAAACACTCTTTTACAAGTCACCCAGTATATATGCACTTTTAGGAAACTCAATGATACACTGGGCATATGTGGTAAGCCGAAAGCGGCTTGGCAGATCGACACATACGGCCATACGAGGGAGCAGGCGTCGCTGCTGGCTCAAATGGGCTACGACGGACTGTTTATTGGTCAGTTTGTATTTCTCTCACACGCTAGAACCTACATAGTCACGTATTATGCGGTTTCAGAGGAATTTTCGCCCACGATCGCTCTGGCTGTGAAATAAGATCCCTGTCGAGGTTTTCCCTAGAGGCTACAGTGTGGGGTTCTTCATAAAGGGTGCATTATGGTTTTTTTTGAAGTCAGCAATGCACACGTGATATCCCTAGCGTTGTAGGCATCCATAGGCTATAGTGATCGTTTACCACTAGGCGGACTGTATGCTTGGTTGCCACCTTCGTGATAAAAATAATCTGAAATAACAGACACGGAGGAGGTTTTTAGAATAAAAATAATACCCAAGATCACACCAATCCCCAGTGCTCAAACTAGGATATCGTGTGTTAGGAATCTGAGGATATATATCTGGAATACAGTAAGATCTCGATAATGCGAATACCCAAAATTTACATGCTATTCGGATCTATGGAGCGTTCGGAGTTCGGACAGTAGGTAGGTATTTTGCAAAGTATTTTTAAAAATGAAACAACTATTTTTGTAAATGATATTTACAAAAAATAATGTAACTATTAAGTATTTTATATTAAATCATTACATTTTTTAAAAATAATCTGTTATGGTACTTTGGCGAGTGCTATTAAATGACATAGAAAATGCTTTATCCTTCAATTTACGCAATTGAATTTTTCTAGAATGAAAATATTTCATCTGCCCATTTCAAGTATTTGTTTAACGTAGAAGTATAGCAAGCAACTAAAGTGAACACATTACTGTGAATTCATCTATACACAGTGATATCTGAAGTAAATAAGACAGCAATGTTTAGCATGACCACCGAGGAGAGGTAGTTCGGATTTTAGAGGCGTTTGGATAAGGGTGGGTTCGGATTATCGAAGCCCTATTGTATCTGATACTATTGGTATCTGTTAGTATTGGTATCTGATACTTACAGTCCAATATAAAACATGAATTAAAAACGCAATTTTTGAACAACATTCAACAGATTTTTTTATATAAGTTTTATTGGTAGATTCACATTTGATACACATTTTTTTTACATGGAATAATAAGTTTATTTTGTTAGAACTATTCACCAATTAATTAATAATACTACATATTACTACACGGTCATGCTCCTTCCTTTCCCATGGGTGTCGTAAGAGTCTAATAAGGGAGGGCGAGGGATGGGCAGCAGCGTCCCTCTTTAAACTTCTCTTAAGCCCTGACTGTGGTACCAGGTACCTGGTACCGGTACCAGTCTGCCTGCCAAGCGTGGCAACTACTGGCAAAACCCCCTAAGCTTATGTTCAGCGGTGGACAATTAAAGGCTAATATCGTCATAGTCGTAGAATACTGACGGATCTTTATATGTAATCTATGTCAGATCCGTCAGTATTCTACCACTATGACGATATGATAACGATGATAACTACATTTTTTTAATACATATATGCCCGGATATTAATTTCCAGTATTTTGACATTTATTTCATACATACATTTCCTTACAGGTACCTTTCAGATTTAGGCAGGATTTCAAGATTTTTGTGTACTATTTTTTTTTTATACAACGTAGAATGGCAAACAAGCTGACGGCCCATCTGATGGAAAGTGGTAACCGTCGCCTATAGACGTGAGCAGTACCATGGACATAACAGAGTATACTGTTTCGCCCATGATACCCCCCATGCGTTGCCATTCCTGAGGACACGGGTGTTATTCCTCTGTACCCTGTAAATTCACGCCATATCCCACCCTTCAAACCGAAACACAGCCATGCAAACACAACTGCTTTACGGTTGAAACACGAATGGGACAGAGGTACCCAAGCAATCGACTTTTGTACAAAGTCTCCCTCTGGTGTTATTTTGTTGATATTCGACTGACATATTACATTTTACTTATTTCTATTTCCTTATTTCTAGTGTGATATGAGATTACATTAACATTTATATTGCCTGAGTATACTCAGTATACTTATTTAATATAACTTATTTACTAACATAATTTCTATTTCATATTTTTAATATTTTTATACTGTATTCTAGGAATAGCTTACGCTTCTCATTATTAGCCATTATTCCTATATATTCTTCCCCGTCTGGTTTAATTTAAATTTCCTTCGCATTTCCCCGGATAACTACATATTACACGTTTAAATCATTCAGCCAATTTTACATCGAGTCTCGTTTTCAACACAATTCAACACAATTCAACTTAGACTTAAGACGACAGACATCCGCAACACTATCCTATATATACTATATTTTTATTGTATTATATATAATTTTTTTTTTACTGGGTATTATTTAGTTTATCTTTAATTGTACGGTTATTGCCCTTATACATTCTACAGTTTTCTTCCAGCTTCTCTAAGGTTGACTGTAAGAGATCCCTTTATGGGATAAGTCCGCCATTATATATTAAATCATTTACCAATGTTTAATCTGAGTTATGTACAATAAAGATTTTACAATACAATACAATACAATCCGTCAAGAATTAGACCACGTAATCTGATTTCAAGTTATAAAGAAAATACAAGGGACATAGGTGGATTTTTTTTATAGAATGATAATAAAATGGTAAGAGGGAGACTTTGTACAAAGGTCGTTTGCTTGGCCACCTCTGTCCCATTCGTGTTTCAACCGTAAAGCAGTTGTGTTTGCATGGTTGTGTTTCGGTTTGAAGGGTGGGATATGGCGTGAATTTACAGGGTACAGAGGAACAACATCTGAATTCTCAGGAATGGCAACGCATGGGGGGGTATCATGGGCGAAACAGTATACTCTGTTATGTCCATGGTGCTGCTCATGTCTATAGGCGAAGGTTACCACTTTCCATCAGATGGGTCGTCAGCTTGTTTGCCATTCTAAGTTGTATAAAAAAAAACCCTATTAGGTCGACCAGTTCGTCACGTTCGGCCAACTGACTTGACTTCGTCCACACCTCTTTCATCATCTCTCATTGATGCCTATGCTGGTGTCTCGCCAGCGTATACTGTTAACATTGGCGGGGTTACCTTCATTCATAAAAAAAAACTCGCCTAAATCTTTTAGTTTATCGGAAGATCTACAGTTTAGTACAAACAGAAACCAAGTGATAAATATTTCGCTAATATCAGTTTTTTTTATACAGGACGCGTAGATCACAAAGAAAGAGATGCTATGATTGAAGAAGACAGACTGGAGTTTATGTGGAGGGGCAGTGACGTGCTTGGTAACTTTTTTTATTAAACTATGGGTTCACTCTTGGCTAAATTTTATCGAAATGATAAAATTTCTATGGGACCAACCTTTATATTTTTATTTTATCCTTCTTTCATTTTAAAATAGATAAAGATTAAAAATTAAAATAGATAAGAGACAAAACCAGTTAATTTAGTCTAAAAACTATAAATTACTGGGCAGATTTTGATTATGTAATTTAAATTTTGGATAAAAATACAGTTTTCCAAATCGGTTTAAAACTAACGGAGTTACGAAATAACAAATATTAAAAAAAAAACTAAATAGAAAATCTCTCCCTTTTTGAAATCACTTTTTTCACAAATTTTCCAAATTGGTTTAGAATCAACGGAGTTATGAGGTAACAAACATAGAAAAACTGCAACTGAAGTAAGAACCTCCGGATTGTCGAAGTCGATTAAAAAAAAACACATGCCTACTTATGTTTCAGGTAAAATGTCTGACATAATGTCTCACACGCTGTTCAACTTGTACAACGCTCCGGAGAGATTCTGCTTCGACTTCCTATGCAACGACGAGCCAATTATAGACGATCCGGACAGTAAAGTTTACAACGCTCATAAACGGGTAACTACAATCCTTGCTAATATTATAAATGTTAAAGTCAGTTTGTTTGTTACTTTATAACGTCTTAACGGCTTAACCAATCACTATGAAATTTGGTATGTACCTATGTATTGTTTTTTTTTATGTTTGAAAATGGTGTGGTAACCCCGCTTGCGCCAACGGGATACGCTGGCGGAGCACCAGTGAAGGGTGATAGATGAGAATGAAAACAGGCCAGTTAGCCCAAAATAATGAATTCATCAGGAATTAATCGTGATAGTTTCCAGGGGGAACCACGAGGAGGTCGACCTGGCTGAGTATATTGCTAGCAATGTGACCTTTAGTCTTTATTACTAACAATCCCTTTCCCCCCAAAAAGTACCTATGTATATTATATGGCATGAAGAATGTTTATACTTTTTATACCGGCCAGTAACCATATCCTGGGGGGAAGGGAATGTTAGTAATGGAGAGGTTAATCCCCATTGCTATCAATATACCGTATCGGGTCGACCTCCACGCGGTTCCCGCTGGAAACTATCGTGACTTATTTATCGTTGAAATCGTCACGATGGGCTAACTGACCTGCAATCCTCACCTGCTCTCATTTGCTCCAGGTGAACGACTTTATATCCCAAATCGAGAAGCAGGCGAGGTATTACGACCACGACAACATAATGGTGACCATGGGCGGTGACTTTACATACCAGAGCGCCGCCAACTGGTTCATGAATATGGATAAACTCATCAAGTTGGTACCTTCGTTTATCATCATCATTGATCATTTCAGCCATTATCTGTCCACTTCTGAGCATAAGCCTCCCCCATAGACTGTCATAAAGAATGGCCATTTGCATACACTGACTTCCTGCAATACATTTGAGGTTATCATTCCACCTTACAACCTTATAACCAGAGGGAGACTTTGTACAAAAGTCGATTGTTCGGGTACCTCTGTCCCATTCGTGTTTCAACCGTGAAGCAGTTGTGTTTGCATAGCTGTGTTTCGGTTTGAAGGAATAACATCTGAGTCCTCAGGAATGGCAACGCATGGGGGGTATCATGGGCGAAACAGTATACTCTGTTATGTCCATGGTAACACAACTGCTTCACGGTTGAAACACTAATGGGACAGAGGTACCCAGGCAATCTGTAAGTATATCCTTTCAAATAAAAAGATAATTTTCCAAATCTATTTACAACTAACGGAATTATAAACATAAAAGGCAACCACCAACTCCATAAAGAAGGTCCTTCCTTTTGGAGTCGTTTGAAAACACAAAAATATATCGTTTATCGATGTTGCTTTTGGATATTATTTATTATTATTAGTCATTTTTATTAATTAAATTCCCCTACATATATTTCCAGCCACGTCAACACGCACCCCGCAAATTTGTCAGACATAAACATTTTTTATTCAACGCCATCTTGCTATTTGAAAGCGATTTACCTCTACGGACGACGGGACAAAGCTGTATTCGCCGAGAGAGTAAGATAATAGATATATAATTAAATAGATGTCGCCACTGCATATACTAGCCACTGAAGACAAGTGGCAAATCGATCTATCGATAGAATCATTTCGTTTAAATAAACTAGTTGTTTTTGCGGAAGTCCATATGACTGTTTTTTTTTTTTTTTAATATTATATGACTGGTTATTTAATTAAAATTATTTTGTTTAATTCCGCTACAATTAGTGTTTGTCTGACTGCCAACACTTGAAGATTGACAATCACTATTAGTACCAGAATTTTCACAACCTTCCATACTAGCCATCAATTTACGACTACCATCTCATTCTATCTTATGTACTTGCTAGCGATAACGATTCTATCGATAAATTCGTTCGCCACTCGTTTGAATGTTAATATATTTAGCCATAATATTTATAAACTGTATTTTTGTTGAAAATTCTCAATTAGTTTTAAGACCTTATTTGACAAAAGTACATATATTTCGATTCGATTGCTTGGGTACCTCTGTCCCATTCGAGTTTCAACCGTGAAGCAGTTGTGTTTGCATAGCTGTGTTTCGGTTTGAAGGGGATATGGCGTGAATTTACTGGGCACAGAGGAATAACACCCGAGTCCTCAGGAATGGCGACGTATGGGGGGTATCATGGGCGAAACAGTATACTATATTATGTCCATGGTACTGCTCATGTCTATAGGCGACGATTACCACTTTCCATCAGGTGGGCCGTCAGCTTGTTTGCCATTCTAAGTTGTATAAAAAAAATATATATAATAACTTATATATCCGCAAAGCAAAACCATAGGCGACAATGAATAGAATAGCATAAATAGTGACTTAAACTACCAAAATAAATTCAAATTTAATCTAGGACGACCTTTTGCCATATGGCAGTGACCCAAACACCTACTGGACTGGCTTCTATACTTCACGACCGAGTTTCAAGTATCTGGCGAGGAGAGCACACGTCTTCCTTCAGGTAAAAACGTTTGATTTTTAAGCAATTACAAAATGAAAGAGATTCTTAACTCACCTGTAGGTTGTAGATGCTGTTTCCGCACTATCTTAGTTATTGCTGAGCAGATTATGATAATGCTGCTTGTAATTGGCAGTGTTTACTTTTTTTATTACCAAAAAACATACTTAGCCCCAACAGAATATCAGTGTTTTGCTCTTTTGAGGGCAAAGCAATAAACTGAGTTGTGACCATTTTGTGTTACTATGGCACATGCATGAAGGAAAAGAAAGAAAGAAAATTGTTGTTTTATATATTTTGCTTTTTGTTTTTTTTTATTTTCATTTTTTTATCTCTTTTATTGTGTATTATGTGTATGTTTGTATTGTAATTTGTGTGCTGTAAGTAATGTAAATAAATTATCTATCTACCTTAGTATACGAAATCTCCTTGTAGACACACATTTCCAGATTTAAAGTTCACGTGTCTACAATATATCTTATTGCACATTAGTGCATTTGTCTTTTTTTTTTTTTTACAAATGAAATAGCTACTTCTTTTAAAGAGTGTAAAAATGTATTTGAAAAGGTTATCATCTTCACCAGGTAGTGAAGCAGCTGTCAGTGGAAGAAAGTGCTCACATAGGTGACACTCGTCCAGATGGTTGGGACTCCACCTTCTGAGGCATGTACGATGGTGAAAATCTGATACTCCATCATGACACTATCACAGGTAAATGTCTTTGTCAGGAGTTCTAAAAAACATCAAACTAAACTAATTTGTTTCTAAAGAAAAACAAATTAAGAAAAATACACAAAATATTTAAATATTTATTGTCAAAAAATGTCCTAAAAACGATCATATTGGACCGTCCTAAGAACGACATTACCTTTTTTACCGAATACGTAAGTCTAGTAACGAAAATCATGCCTAGTGTATTTCCGTATTTATAAATGTATTTACAAAAAAGACATTCACCTATAGCCCATTATTATTTCAGGTCGACAAGTCAACAGCATGTTGCTAATGATTTCATCTGCCCTTCGTTTTGTTTCGTCTTCTTTTCGTTTGTCTTCATTGTTATGTTTGTTTAGTTTGTTTTGGTTTGCATAAGTCTTCCAAAAAGATTTTCTGTCCTTTGTCTCTTTTCTGTTCTTTTGTTATCTATCATTTCTTTTCATTTGCATTTTCTCCTTGCGGGACCTCCCCCGCTAAAAAAGGAAATCTAGATATGGCCTCATCGAGAAAAGGTATTATACCCCAGAAGGTACCGCCCAGAAGGGCGGAGAATCTGGACAGCACCGGTGGTCTGCCTCTGTCCAGCAGGAAGGAGGTGTAGTGGGAGTAGCAATGGAGCTTGCAATATAGCAGTTAAATTTCAAAAACAACAAGTTCAAAGGCATGCTATCAGTCTCTCTCATGTATTCAATGATATGTCACAGGTGAAGGGACGACTTATATCTTTTGAGGACGCGACAGTGACATTTCCCATTTGCATCTACCAGTGCGATTTAATACTTGTTTATAATGCTTATTTATTAAAAAAAAAGGTACCACCATTATCGCGCTGCTGGCCGACACCTTGGGTGCTGACATCGAGGAAGTAATCCTAATTTAAAAAAGGGGACTTAATATATAATATCGCTGCCATCCGTGAGTCCTTCGTCCCTGGTAGAGCGCTCGGCCACGCAAGAGAACACAAAACATAGAACAAAAGAAAAGAATAAACAAAAGTCTATATCAATATGTCGTAATAACAGGCGACGTAGTACAAAAGCTCGAGCGCGAGCTAAGGGCGCAAACGACGAGCCGAGTTCCGCCAACAGTGGGACGTCAAGACCTGCGTCGCCTAATACAGGAGTGGAAAGGCCAACATGTATTACTTCGCTGCTGCTACATTTATTACTTATTCATAATTCATACCTTATTGTTCAAATCGGCATTTTAACATCAACGGAATGGGGCAATAGGTGGGCGGCAAGAGACGCCACGAAAAATAATCAGCCCTTTGCATCGCGGGTATGTCATTCCGCTGAACATGAGTCAATCGAGAGTAAGCCATCTACTGATAACGTTCATTATATATATATCAATAATGATAATAATGAGATATATATATATATTGACTTATTGAATTGTAATCCTACTACTTATATTTTATTTGTCAAAAAGGTTGTCATTTTTATTGTACCTTGATTTTTAGTTTTTCGAATTTGATGTGTTAGTTTTCGAAACAAGTTATTTAATTATGTAATTGTCTTATGTGCGAGCGGTCAAGATTTCCAGGCCGACCAAATAAAGCTACGGTATCTTGACGACTCGGCAACACCTTTGTCGCCGCGGTAGCGCGCGAAGGGGATGCGACGATACAAGACGGGGGAGGTCCGTCGCTCTCCCTTAGGTGCTGGCTCTATATGGGTTTTGGTGCTGCCAAGACTCTGGCCAAGGCAGGCCGGATATGGGTGATGGCGCGGGTACAGTCCTCGACCCTCGGCCTATGCGGTGCTATCGCTGCCTCGTCTCCGGACACGTAGATAATAATAACATTAAGTGCTTTTGCGGACAAGCGGGTCAATTCAAGAATCACTATTCACTTTGAATATATGGGTGGCCTTGAATTGCTCCGGCACGAGATGGCCGCGGGGGCGGAGAGTCGATGGACACCTAGCGGTGCTTTTAACTTTTTCAATTAATGTGCGGATGGCGGGAATCATCCAAAGCCCCCGAGAGACAGGATTTTGCGCTGCGTATTCCCAGCGCACCACTCGGAGAGGTCCCGTCAAGGGGCCATTGTTGGTGACGCGGACGACTGCAAATCGCGAGCCCTCGTCATCGGCACACGGCGCTGGGAGGAATACCAGAAGCGCAGACCCATCGCCATCCCGCTGGCGGTGGGTCTCTTTCTGAAGATTTTCCCCTCGATAAAAAAAAAAAAAAAAAAAAAAAAAAAAAAAAAAAAAAAAAAAAAAAAAAAAAAAGGTTAAAGTGAACAAGATTGCTCACCCCAGATCGAAACTTTATCGAGGAAGTTTCGATTTCAAACGTTGTTCCGGAGCCATCAGTGCCCGCACATTCCAGGATTACGTGTACTGTCGTCCGCATAACAATGAATATCACTGATCTGTAACATATCATTGATATGCAGAAGAAACAGTGTTGTAACAGCCTCGACATTCAGAGGGCTGTCTGTGGTTCGACCTTATTGTACGTTAGATGTTTGTTTAATGGACCCAATGACCCGTTATTGTCCCTATCATTGTTCCAGACTAACAGTTTTTTTCTCGATTGCCACTAGATGTGTTAATAAACGATCACCAGCCGAGCGTTCGAAAGCCGTTGATTCAATCATGGCGATCCTCTAGGTACCAGCAGTTGATGATTGTTCCATGACAAATAAGGAGCCTGTATCCATCTTTGGTTTTTTTTAGTATGTCACACACAGGATCTTCCAAAACTTTGGGACTATACCTGAATCCACATTCGAAATTGGTGCGCAGAAATGGAAGCCAGGACTTATGGATTTCAAGGAGAGAAGTGCTCTACGCACCCTCGTTAGCGTGAGCCTTTCCTAGCATAGTTCGTCTGGTCGGCATCGTTCCAACGTCGAGTAAGAGAGATCCACTCGTTCTTTTTGGCGTTCAGAGCCAACGAGTTTATCCATTGGAAAAGGATAATACGGTTATTGTGAAGATAGAGACCAGAAAGCTATCCAGTGAATGGCATCTCTTGCCAATTATTAGTATGCTTGTTGTGGCCAAACTCTTTTGAAGGACCTTGTTACTTCTTTTTAAGGGCACTTGTTAGAATCTCGCGATGCGCTGTCGGATAAGAATCTAATGCTATAACCATTTATTCCCCACCGACAGGTACCACAGAGTTAGGAATTATGTACACCACATGCGGCGATGGCGTCGGGATCCCCCAGTGCGATTATGGGTAAGATGCGAACACATCCCAGTCTGCATTGGAAAATCTGAGAACTGTGGTCGCCAAGCGGTATGTGCATGTTTATACGAAATAGCTAAGTGTAAAAATGTATTTGAAAAGGTTATCATCTTCACCAGGTAGTGAAGCAGCTGTCAGTAATAGCTCACATAGGTGACACTTACGAACTCCACCTTCTGAGGCATGCTGTTAGCCTGATACTCCATCATGACACTATCACAGGTAAATGTCTATGTCAGGAGTTCTAAAAAACATCAAACTAAACTAATTTGTTTCTAAAGAAAAACAAATTAAGAAAAATACACAAAATATTTAAATATTTATTGTCAAAAAATGTCCTAAAAACGATCATATTGGACCGTCCTAAGAACGACATTACCTTTTTTACCGAATACGTAAGTCTAGTAACGAAAATCATGCCTAGTGTATTTACGTATTTATAAATCGTATTTACAAAAAAAAGACATTCACCTATAGCTCATTATTATTTCAGGTACTAGCCAACAGCATGTTGCTAATGATTTCATAAGGATATTGAGTGAAGCCATTGATACGTGTACCAAAAAGATTTCTAGTTTCATAAGGTAAGGTTTGTCTATGGAGTCATGGAGTCAGAACTGCATATTTGCATTTCCATGCAAGTATGCAGTTCTGAGTTTTCGCAGAAGCACGACTGCCTGACACATCTGGACAGAGGTGGGCACCTCTGTCCAGCAGTGTTAGGTACCTATGCTTGCAATATAGCAGTTAAATTTCAAAAACAACAAGTTCAAAGGCATGCTATCAGTTTTCACAATGTATTTTAATGATATTCAAGGTGTCGTTTATATCTTTTAGATGACATTTCCCATTTTCTACCAGTGCGATTTAATACTTGTTTATAATGCTTATTTATTAAAAAAAAAATACCACCATTATCCGGGTGGTAACAAAGTAATAATTTAAAAACTTAATATATAATACCTCTACACTTCAAGAGGCAGCTATGAGAACACAATACATAGAACAAAAGAAAAGAATAAACAAAAGTCTATATCAATATGTAGTAATAATAGCTAGTAGTACAAAACTCTTAAGGGCACGACAGTGGGACGTGTCCAACAGTGGGACGGTTTAATATGGAAAGTAACATGTATACTGCTGCTGCTACATTTATTACTTATTCATAATTCATACCTTATTGTTCAAGCATTTTAACACCAACGTGGGGCAACAGTAAACGATCGAAAAATAATCAGCAATTTGTGGTATGTTGTTAAGTTGTAGAGTAAGTATCTTTGATATCAACATTATATATATATATATATATATATATATATATATATATATATATATATATATATATATATATATATATATATATATATATATATATATATATATATATATATATGTATGTATGTATGTATTTTACATATATAAAAACCGATCAATTGTGTCATTACGCAAATTAACATAGATATAAATTTGATTATGTATTGACTGTAATTCAGCTGTACGTTTTCCAATAAATAAATAAATAAATATTATATAGGAAAGAAAGGAAATTGTTAGTTTATATATTTTGTTTTTTTTTTGTTTTGTTGCTTTTTTATTTTCATTCTTTTATCTCTTTTAGTGTGTATTATGTGTATGTTTTTTTTTATTGTAATTTGTGTGCTGTATGTAATGTAAATAAATTACTAACTATCTATCTATCTATCATTATTGACTAATTTAATTGTAATCCTACTATTTATATTTTATTTGTCAAAAAGGTTGTCATTTTTATTGTACCTTGATTTTTAGTTTTTCGAATTTGATGTGTTAGTTTTCAAAGTTATTTAATTATGTAATTGTCTTATGTGTTTTTTAAGCTGTACATTTGCCATAAATAAATACACAATATCTTAATACTTAGCTAGTTGAAAATACTATGTGGAGTTAAGCTCGCCCATTTTTATTGTGCAGTACACAATAGATAATAATAACATTAAGTGTATTTTATACATAATTCAAGAAACTATTCACTTTGAATACATAGCCTTGAATTTTAATAAAAGTAAATATTGGAACTTTTTCAATTAATGAACATAGGAATAATAAAAATTTTGCTCGTCAAAAAACTTTGAATTTCATTACACAAAATTAATAACATATAAACAAACCTCATTGAATGCAACAATCCTCACTTTAAATTTAGATGGGGATTTTATAACCCAGAATTTTTTACTTTTTCTTACAATTTTTTAAACAGGTTCTTTTATACAAACTTCCTCCTGACTATTACAAACAACAACAAAAAAAATACAAGAATTAGACCAACAAAACAACAAAAATTACTAATTGATTGATTATTCATATGAATTACCAACTTACCAATACAAAAATAAATAACTAAAGTAAACAATTATAAATACAATAAATTACTTCCCAGTTTTTAGAGACACACGAATCAGTCATCGTGGTCGTGTACAATCCTCTCAGTACGAAGACCTACCACCACGTCAAGCTTCCCGCTGTGGCTTTGCACTATTCTATAAGGGACTACAATGGTACGGATAGCACTTTGATTACTAGAACATTTTCTAAATACACTATCACGTCATAATGCGACATAATTACAAACAAATTGAGGGCCTACCTGATGGAATTGAATAACCAATGCCTATAAACATTAACAGCACCCTGAACGTTGCAGAATATATTATTATATCCATGCTATCTCTCAAGCATTGCCTTTTCTGAGGACTATGATTTTAAGCCCTGTAGTTTTACTGCCTTTTTAGCAAGCTGAGCAAATGCTCAATAAAATCTAAATAGATTATTTAGTTCTGTGGATATCCTCGATCCAGACTCTACAACATGGCGGAAGTCTGAACTAAATAATTTCCAAAGCTTGTTGAGACGCTTGATGCATCCACCAAACATTCAACGGTATCATGAGCGAAATAGTATACTCTGTTATGTTCATGTGTATAGGCGCCGGTTACCACTTTCCATCAGGTGGACCGTCAGCTCGTTTGCCATTCTAAGTTACATAAAAAAAGTTTAAATTTAATATACCGTTAAAAGCGATTACTCGCATCTTTTTTTTTAAATTATGACCTCACCGGAGTTCCAATTATTTAGCCAATGTCAAGGTTGGAAGAGACACTGCAGTTTTATTGGTGATGGGATAAGATTTCCTTGTCCGTTTTCGTTGAGTATCTACACTAGGAATTTTTCAAGAAGAATAGGATGCTAAATGTTTAAAGAAGATATTATAATTTTATATTATTTCTTATCTCATTTTGTTAGAAAAATATAATTAGCGACAGGATAGAAATCGTGCCATCTGTCGTCTAACGCGTGAACTATATTCATATATTTTAAATTCGCGCTGTAAAAGTTTAAAAGTTACGTGCAAGAGATGGCGCTGTAGTATATGAAGGGCGAAGAGAGGTTTTAGCCTCTGTATGTAAAAAAAAACTTGTCTCTTTCCCTCTCTTCAGCTTTCGTTATAGAATTAAAGACTTGTTTTTTTTTTCTCTAAATATGTAAATCATATCTCCAGATGTGGTTTGTTTTTATGTAGGACGTTTTGAATTTTAAATAGTAAACTTTAATTAACAAAATACTATCACAGATGAAGAAGTAGAATACCAATTGGTGCCATTGCCAAGCGCTGTCATCAACCTACCAGGACGCTCGTCCAGCACCATACAGGAGCTGTGTTTCGAAGCGGAGAACATACCGCCGTTGGGTTACTCGGCGTATTACATCACGCCGATCCGGGATCCCCTGGTAAATTAGTGCATTGTTCACCGAGAGAAGAAAGTACTCATCATCATCAGGGGGAAAGGGATTGTTAGTAATGCGGACTACTAGTTCCATTGCTAGCAATATACCCTGTTAAGTCCACCTCCACACTGTTCCCCCTGGAAATCATCGTACTGAATTTTCATTATCACCTATCATCCCTCACTGGTGCCCCGCCAGCGTATACCTTTGCGCAGACGAGGTTACCATTCCATAATCGTCCATTAAAAAAAGCTCATCATTATCTTCCTACTCTTATCCCAATTATTATTTGGCGTAATATGTGTTTCTCTTCCATTCTTCACTATATCTCTCTAAAGAGAAGAGAGTACTATAAACGTATTTTTTTTTATACAATGCTTAGAATGGCAAACAAGCTGACAGCTCACCTGATGGAAAGTGGTAACCGTCGCTTATAGACATGAGCAGTACCATGGACGTAACAGAATATATTGTTTCGCCCATGATACCCAAAAAAAAAAAAAAATTAAAATTAAATAAAAAAAAAAATGTGTTCCACATATAAATTTTCTCTCTTATTTTTTTTTTTATACAACGACTATGGCAAACATGTATACAGCCCGTCTAATAGTAAACAGTCACTATAGCTTATAGACGCTTGCAACCCTAAAAATATTATACGACCCTGATTTGAAAAATCTCATACTTTAGTCCAGTGTTTTTCAAAATTTTTCATGCCGTGAACCTCTTGGTATGTAAAAGTATTTTGCAATCCCCTACCCTAAGGTGTGATCCATTCTATGTCGGGACCACATGAGTACAGAGGAATAACATCTGAATCCTCAGGAATAGCAACGCATGGGGGGTATCATGGGCGAAACAGTATCTCTGTTATGTCTATGGTACTGCTCGTGTCTATAGGTGACGGTTACCACTTTCCATCAGGTGGGCCGTCAGCTTGTTTACCATTCTAAGTTGTATAAAAAAAAAACATATTTACTTAAATTTATACCTGACCGATTTTTCTATTTTCAGGAAGAAAATGCATTCATAAAAAAGAAATCACAGCCTAATTCTGATCCTGATCAAGAAGTGTCGTCCTTCATATCCAACGAGGTACGGCGACATATTTTTATAAGAATTCTAATTATTTGCAATACTAAGGACCGGGGGAAAGAGATTTTTTTTACGCATGACAATAAAATGATTACCCCGCCTGCGCTATCGGTATACGCTGACAGGGCACCAGTGAAGGGTGATAGGTGAGGATGAAGCAGGTCAGTTAGCCCATCGTGATAAATTGAATAAGTTCACGATGGTTTCCAGGGGGAACCACGTGGAATTCGACCTAATAGGGCATATTGCTAGCAATTGGGCTGTCAAACTCAATTGCTCACAATCCCTTTCTCCTCGGGGAAAAGAGAATTAGTAATGGGATCTAACATTACTATTGCTAGCAATATACCCTATTAGGTCGACCTCCACACAGTTCCTAGAAACTATTGGGGTTAATACTTTATAAATTCGTAACAATGAACTAATTGACCCGCTTCATCCTCACGTATCATTTCTCACTGGTGCTCCGCCAGTGTACATCGATAGAGCATGCAGGACCACCATTCCATTGTCACCCTTTAAAAAAACACACTAACTACACTTCTTGTGCCAAATAGCTATCATCTTTTGTGGTCCCGGTATAGAATAAGCCACCCCTTCCTTTCCCGTGGTTGTCATAAAAAGTGACTAAGGGAGGGCAAAGGATGGGTACCAGCGTCCCTCACAAATCATCTCCAAAGCCTATTAGAGGGTTTTGGCAGTAGTTGCCACGCTTGGCAAGTGGATTGACAATGGCAGTTAGGCTTTAGTGATGTTTAAAGAGAGACATGTGTACGTGTAAGCGTATATATAATAGTATATATATATATATATATATATATATATATATATTCCAGTATATATATGCCCATCTATCTATCTATCTACTTTAATTCCAGTATATTAAAGTCACAGTGAACAAGGACAGCGGCCTACTGCAGTCTATCCAGCATGTAGATGGCGCAACTATCCATATCTCGCAAAATTTCTTCTACTACAGCCAGCTGTCACAAGGGCTGCAGTCTGGAGCCTACAGTTTCAGGCCTCACCAAGAAAGACCTACACCGGTAAGTTCAGTTTATGTTCTTGGTCACTTTTTTATCCTTACAAACAATTACCAGCGGGAGACTTTCTACAAAGTCATCTACTTGAGTGTCTCTGTCCTATTCATGTTTTTACCATGAAGCAGTTGTGTTTGCATGGCTGTGTTTCGGTTTGAAGGGTGGGATATGGCAGTGAATTTACAGGGTACAGAAATATAACACCTTGGTCCTCAGGATTGGCAATGCATAAAGGGTATCATGGATAACAGAGCAAGCTGACGGCCCAACCTGATGGAAAGTGGTAACCGTCGCCTATAGACATGAGCAGTACCGTGGACATAACAGAGTATACTGTTTCGCTCATGATACCCCCATGCGTCGCCATTCCTAAGGACTAAGGTGTTATTCCTCTGTACCCTCTAAATTCACTGCCATATCTCACACTTCAAACAGAAACACAGCCATGCAAACACAACTGCTTCATGGTAGAAACACGAATGGAACAGAGGTGCCCAAATAAACGACTTTTGTGCAAAGTCTCCTCTGGTAAATAAAATATGTATAGTCTTCCGCTGCCTGTGACCTGTCACCCACTGTATATTTCAGGTGACAGATCGCGTGACTTACCATACGATCAGGGGTACCCTGGTGAAGGAAATACGACAAAAGTTCAACGAGTGGATCACGCAGATCATCCGGTTGTACCGGAGCGAGGAGTTCGTCGAGCTGGAGTGGATCATAGGACCTGTACCTATAGGGTAAATATTTTTCATATACCTACACAAAGCATATCATCCTGATGGTATGTGACCACCGTCGGGAGGAACGAATTGTTGGTAATTACCAGAGGGAGACTTTGTACAAAAGTCGATTACTTGGGTAACTCTGTCCCATTCGTGTTTCAACCGTGAAGCAGTTGTGTTTGCATGGCTGTGTTTCGGTTTGAAAGATGGGATATGACGTGAATTTACTGGGTACAGAGGAATAACACCTGAGTCCTCAGGAATGGCAACGCATGGGCGAAACAGTTTACTCTGTTATGTCCACGGTACTGCTCATGTGTATAGGCGACGGTTACCACTTTCCATCAGGTGGGCCGTCAGCTTGTTTGCCATTCTAAGTTGTATAAAAAAAAAGCCCCATTGCTAGCAATCTACCCTGTCAGGTCGACTTCCATGTGGTTAGCCCTGGAAACCGTAGTACATGAAAATCAGTTTAGTAATTTTTGAAGAAAAAAAAACAGGGTTTGCAAGTATTAAAATCGGTGTTTCTTTTTTAAGAATCAAAACCGTTTTTTGAATAATTGTGACGCAAAATATTCATCTTTCCAGTACGGACTTGGGCAAAGAAGTCGTGAGTGTCTTCACAACGAATATCACCAATAATGGTGAGTTCTTCACCGACTCCAACGGCAGGCAGAGGATGAAAAGGAGTTGCTGGAACGAGACTGCCAGTAAGTAGCCATTTCGTATACAAATTGAGATTTCAATTGGAACGACAAATGTAACGATTCACCTCATATTGATGGCTGTCAATCTTTTCAATCATGGACATCACATCTTCATCATCATATCAGCCATTAGCTGCTCTACTGCGGAACAAAGGTCATCACATAATACCTTAAAATTGGGCTTTCTATAGTACAATACCAACATATAACTTATTAAACTATTACATCTCTTATTACTGAGAATTGTGCCGATGAATTATATATCTAATGTATTATTTTAAACATAATTCATTTCTAATTTAAATTTCATTCAAATACGTTCACTATTCAGCCATTCAGTAACATAGATTTTTTTTTTATACAACTTAGAATGGCAAACAAGCTGACGGCCCACTTGATGGAAAGTGGTAACCGTCGCATATAGACATGAGCAGTACCATGTACATAACAGAATATACTGTTTCGCCCATGATACTCCCCATGCGTTGCCATTTCTGAGGACTCAGATGTTATTCCTCTGTACCCTGTAAATTCACGCCATATCCCACCCTTCAAACCGAAACACAGCCATGCAAACACAACTGCTTCACGGTTGAAACACGAATGGGACAGAGGTAACCAAGCAATCGGCTTTTGTACAATATATTTAACATATTTACAAATTTAAAGCGTAATATTATATAGACGTAACAAATATGTGTGAGAATGCAACTATCTTAAACATTTCACCCGCCATAAAAAATACTAATAATACAAATGTAAAAATATAAATATATTTCAATATTTTTTTAGTCAGTCGTGCTTAACCGTTTGATAATAAAGATATTTAGATATTAGATTTAGTTTTTTTTTTTAATATTCTTATAAGATTTTGTTTGCAGGCCAACAACAAAAGAAGGCAATCTCTGCGTGTTACTATCCAGTGACCTCTAGAATCTGCATCCAATCCCTTAACTCCAGTATTGAAATGTGTATTTTAACTGACAGACCTCAAGGTGGAACTTCGTACAATGAAGGGGAAATAGAATTAATGGTAAATGAGCCTTTTTATCGTTAAGCTACAATTAAAATTTATTTACAGTACTTATGTAAAATTACGAGCTAAAATATATGAAATCACTAGAAAAGGTTTTTGATTTTATGGTATTTTGTGTTTGTTATGTGTTATGTTTTCACCAATTCTCCACTGAATTTAATTCTTTTTGCTATCAATAGAGATTCTACTCTCGATCCTATACTTATTTTATTCCAATTCCAAGCGATTTTTATAGAACAAAATCATAAATTGTAGATTCTCAAGATAATCTATTACTTATAATAAATCTGTAGAGAGGTCAATTCTGTACATAAATATATTTCCAAAATAACTATCAGGCGGTGATTAGTGATCGATACTGATGCTAAAAATGCAATCAGTAAAATTTTTGTCTGTCTCTCTGTATGTTCGTTATAGAAACAAAAACTACTCGACGGATTTTAACGAAACTTGGTACAATTATTATTCATACTCCTGGTCAGGTTATAGTATACTTTTCATCACGCTACGATCAATAGGAGCAGAACAGTGAAGGGAAATCTTGGGAAAACGGGAGAAGTTACTCCATTTTTAAGCTTCAGCCGCGTGTGCAGCCTTAACGGCCACTTTTTAAAATGTAAAAATGACGGGCCGCCAGTCTCTAATATAAGATAAAAATGCATTTTTAGGTGTTAAAGAGAAGCCATGAAAACTCTTATACTTTTTCGGTTTTATTCATACCCTATAGCTTGTTTCTTCTATACCGTAGGTCCATAGACGACTGCTAACGGACGATGGTTTCGGTTTAGAAGAGGCACTGAATGAAGAAGAGTATGGTGTAGGACTGGTCATCAAAGGCAAGCACAGGATTGTGTTCGGCAACTTCAGGCATGAGGGTTAGAAGATTTTACTAATAAACACGCTTAGGCTCATTTTACCCCAAAGGTAAAGGGGTAACACAGAGTACCACAGGATCCTGTCAGAATGTAACCTAAGTATTTCACCAACTCCACCACTGTCATTAAAAAATTACAGGCACAGAACTAATTTTTATACCCGGGTGCAGAAAATGCGTGACTTAGTTGTTCGTGGTGGCTGTAGAAAATTACAAGAAAAATATGCCTTTAATTATAGATTTATTTGACTCTAAGAACAAACAAAAACTCAAACTAAAGTCGTACAGTTCCTGATAATATATACAGTAGCCATAAAACTCCTTGCTGTGTTTATAAGTGGGCTTTTTTTACAACTTAGTTTCAGAGATCATAAATGATTTAAACATTAACTTAAAGCAAAAATTTTCAAAAGACTTCCAATAAGACGGGGTTTCCAATTCATCTGCATATTTTGTTGTTCATATTACGCAATGTCTTCGTCAAATCCGAACTGACAAAATAATTATTTTTGCAATCAACATAACCATGAGTAATATGGATACCGATCCGATATCTATATATCGGGTTCCTCTACAACAAAGGTCACCACCCATTGGTACATCACCCATTTCGATATCGCCCGTATTCGCCGAATATCTATTTTAAAAGGCTGTTATCCAATATTATTTTTTGGATAACAGACTTTTAAAATATTCGTTATTGGACCAGTATACAGATATTGTACTAGATATTCCTACATATTACCAACCCCTAATAGGTTGTATCCGTACTTTTTGTTTTTTTTTTTATTGGTTGATAATGGCATAGTAGTAGAAAGTACGTAGTAGAGAGGTGATAGATGAGGATGAATAGGCACATCAGTTTGCCCATCGTGACGGATTCAACGATAAATTAGTCACGATAGTTTCCAGGGGGTACCGCGTTTCACAAGGTGTATGGATCTGCATAAAGCATTTTCCAGACGTTAATAAAAAAAAGGGGGAACCGCGTGGAAGTCAACATGATAAGGTATATTGATTGCAATGGGACTAACCTCCCCATTACTAACAATCCCTTCCCCTTGTACCCGTACTAGCTAATATTAACTCATATAAATAACTTTGTAAATGAAGTTGTTGTTAGTGCAGAATTTTGTCTTCAGAATAATACCAATATTCGCAGTGGACGACCAGACATTTCCGGAGCGAGTGTCCCAATCAGCCAGGAAGTGGATGATGGAGCCGTGGCTGTTCCTTACGGCTGGAGATAAGATGAACAGGCGAAAGTGGCAAAACATAAGAAACAAACGCGTAAGTTTTTTTTTTTAATATTATCTTAAGGGCTTTTACCTTCTTCAGGTATATCAGCCCTATCGTACCCTGAACTGATTTCTCAAACAAAACTTTATCTACCTTCCCTAGACGCGGAAAGAGAAGAATTAATGGGCATCAATATTTTACGCGTAAGTTGAAGTGGCGAAGATCAATAAAAATATAATCTGATCGATTTAGATGATTCATTTTGATTAACATATTCATTCTCTGTGGCATTGATGTTATATTATAATGGTATATTATTTTCTTAAGCAGGACCTAGACTAACTTACTGGTATTATGTTTAGATAGAAAATGGAAGCCAAAGGTTTCTGGAACAGAGTTCATGCATGTGACGAGTTATTATGAAAGTGCATTTTTTTTATACAACTTATAATAGCAAACAAGCTGACGGCCCACCTGATGGAAAGTGGTAACCGTCGCCTATAGACATGAGCAGTACCATGGACATAACAGAGTATACTGTTTCGCCCATGATACCCCTCATGCATTGCCATTCCTGAGGATTTAGATGTTATTCCTCTGTACCCTGTAAATTCACGCCATATCCCACCCTTCAAACCGAAACACAGCCATGCAAACACAACTGCTTCACGGTAGAAACACGAATGGGACAAAGGTACCCAAGCCATCGACTTTTGTACAGTCTCCCTCTGGTAACATACGAGTATATATACTTTTAATATTTGGGTTTCTCTGTCTACCCCGGAAAGGACTTGGTATGGAGATAATATGTATATTACAAGTCTATCTATCTGTCTTCATGCTGAGTCCTCCATACCTCGTAGTATGACCCTTTTAAAAAAAGACTATTTAATTGTATTTTTAATGATTTCTTTCAATTTGCTTCCTCAGGATTATCTACGCATGCGCAGTGCTATTGTTATCACAGTGTATTCTGCGATGGCCACGGTGCCTTTCATGTTTATAAGCGACGCACGATTACCGCTTCCCATCAGGCGAGCCATCAGCTTGTTTGCCATAAGACGTATAAAAAACTTATTCTATTCTCAGTACTCGTCTCTTCGAGTACACGGTCTGCCAAGACACATTCACGTACTAACTCTGGAGCCGTGGAAGGCTGGCTCCGTGCTACTCAGGCTTGAAAATACATTAGAAACGACTGAGAGAGGTAAAACTTTTCGTCTTTCATCCCAATCTTTATAAAAGTCGAATGAACTCCCTGTCGAGGTTTTTCCAAGAGATTACAGTATGGGGTTCTTCAAAAAAGTGGGAATGAGGTTTCTTCGGGGTCGGTAACGCGTGCGTAATGCCGCTGGTATTGCAGGCGTTCATAGGCTAAGGTAACCGCTTAAAATCGGATACAGTGGGCCGTATGCTTGTTTGCCACCTTAGTTGTATAACACTAAGTATGGTTGATTACTTTAACTCGGTAAAAAAAACTGTTTACAATTTAGTCTTCTAATTCTATTAATGTTATAAATATTAGAGTTGCTTTGAAAGAAAGAATGTTTGTCACACAATCATGCTTAAACAGCTTAGCGAATTCGAATGAATTTCATTATTAACACATAGGATATTAGGCAAAGCCGAGGATTTTTTTAGTGGATGAAAATGGAATGGTAACCCCGCCTGCGCTAACGGGATACGCTGGCAAGACACCAGTGAAGGATGATCGAAGAGGATAAAACAGGCCAGTTAGCCCATCATGATGAATTCATCTGGAATAGTTTCCAGGGGGAACCGCGAGGAGGTCGACCTGGTTGGGTATATTGCTAGCAATGGGATTCTTAGTCTCCATTACTAACAATCCCTTTCCCCCAAAGCCGAGGATTGTAACTAGTTTACTTTCCTGTATAGGTAAAGTACATGTCATAGTTGTATGCATATCTACCACCTATAGATCTTTAGACATAGTCTAAAGCAGCAATTTATTTATTTATTTATTCATTAGTACAAATATGTGTACATGGCGGACATAATGCTCACAGCATTCTCTCCCAGTCAACCATAGGGAAGTGTCAGAATACTCGAATGCGGTACTAGTAATTATTGATACAGGTACATACATACTAAATTTACATATATAAACGAATAAATAATATATATAAATAACAAATATACTCACACATATATGACATATACTATATTATACACGAAATTGAGAATAATATAAAATATTTACTACTCGAATAAAGTAAAAAAGTAAGCATTCTTTAAACGTTTTTTAAAGATGCTTCCTAAAGTAGGTTCCGCCAAACCTAGGGGTTCTGTAAAAAAGTCACCAGGACTCCACGAAATTATTTATACAGTGAAACAATTTCATTCTTCACATAAAAAGTTAAAGGAAACTAATAACATGTTTTATACTTTTAAAATATTTCTAATAAAAGCTTTTGTTCTTATTTAATTTACAGTGTTTTTGATTTGTAATCGTTTGATATGGGGTTCCATGAAATAAAAGTTATTTGGTCATGGCGTTACGTTATCTTAAAAGTTTACCATGTAAAAGAAACCATAGATTACAGAATCTGTAGTTTTATCATCCAAGTTACTGTTTTCTTCTTATGTAAAAAGATCATTTTCTATAGGAAATTTAAAGGGACACAAATCAGAAGCCCCTGAAGGATACATAGCGACATCACATGTGACGGTGGATCTGCGCAAGATCTTTCTGCAGCTGCAAGTCAAAATGGTGCGGGAGACGACGCTAGCCGCCAACCAGTGGCTGGATGATGCGAGACAAATGGATTGGAGCACTAGGTAATTAAATAATTAATTAAAAAGTAAACAATAATAATTAAAAATCTAACTAAAAATAATAGTAGTAAGTAATAATTAATTAATAAAAAAGTAATTAATTTCTTATATTACTTTTGTTGCGTAGATTGTTTGTTTTTTTTTTTTTTTATACAACTTAGAATGGCAAACAAGCTGACGGTCCACCTGATGGAAAGTGGTAACCGTCGCCTATAGACATGAGCAGTACCATGGACGTAACAGAGTATACTGTTTCGCCCACGATACCCCCCATGCGTTGCCATTCCTGAGGACTCAGGTGTTATTCCTCTGTACCCAGTAAATTCACGCCGTAAATTATATACTAAAAGACTATTTATTAATTAAACGATATAATTAAAAAATAAACAAGGCAAAGACAGATCAGAAATAAGACATAGACAATACCTACATGAAAAAAACTTAAACACTATAAAATCATGATAATTAACTGTCATATACACTAAAAGCAAATGTGTTTTTTTTTTCTTTTTTTATACCACTGAGGGGGTAAATAGGCATAGGATTAAGTTCTATTTTTTTATTTATGGGATTACCAACATAAGATACAGCTAAACATTTCAATATAATACACTGGTAGATTAGATCTAACTGTTCTTACATTTATAGGCAACTACAGCATACCTTGTGTTTGATAAACATTAAAATATAATTAAATTATTAAATATCATTAAATGAGTAAAAACATTAACGATATGAATAATATCATAATATAAATAATGGAAATTGTAATATAATTATTTTAAATTATAAATAAATATAATGCAATGGCGAGGTACATCAACAATTCTAATTTAATATGGGTAATAAACAACGCAAAAGCATTAATGTTTATTACCAAAATTTGCCGGGAGATTGGGATTTTAATTGTTTTAACAAGATTAGAATATAATTGCACAAAATATATATTCTTTTATATTTGTTTTACTTTAATTAATTTAATATAATTAAGGTTGCCTTAAAATAATCATGTCTTCTATGCAGGTACGTGTACAATGGTGCTGATGATGGTATATTGGCTGAAGATATCATGGATTACGGCGATGACAAATCTACTAAACACGGCGATGTTAGGGAATCTGGTATGTAATTAATAAAAACTAAAAAAGTTATTAATTAATTTCAAATCAACCTCATAATTCTTTATTTTTTATACCAATAAGGTGGATACAAACAAGCTACAGCCCGTCTGATGGTAAACAGTCACTGTAATCTAAAGACACATGTAACACTAGGACTGCAAAGCCACGAGCAATGGAATAATGGAACAATCTGAGTAATAGAATAAAATAGAATAGAAGACACAATGTAAATACAGTCTCTAAGAATCCAAAATCTGGCATTGTATTTAATAATAATTTTTCCAAAAATAATAATACAATAAAATAGTCAAAATCAATTTAAATCGACGAATATATCAATTAGGAATTGATATATCAGTATGTGCCATACGCCCATTATATACCCCCATTATTTTTTTCCATAAGTAAACTTATAATAAATTAATATCATCATGAGTCGGATTTTTAAAAGTTTAGTTCTTATTCCTTATTATTTAACACTTACAGAACGTTATTCAGATGAAGAAGTGGATTATTCCAGAAAAAAACTACGACCCAAAAGTAATATAGACAAAAGAGCCAAAATAAAAGCTCCGAAATCTACTTACGAATACGACAGGAGAAAACGATCACTAAACTCAACAGAAAACATCAATGAAAACGTAATAATAATTAATGAAGCATATGACCAACAAAAAACTGAAATTGATGATAATAAAACAGATCTCAATTATAATTCCACAACTACGTCTTACGCTGAGACAAACACATTTAAAAATGTTTTGAATAAAACTGATAAAATTGAAAATAGAAGACAAGTAAAGACAAATGCAAAGGAAGTGGGTTCTATCAATAAAAAGTCTAAGCAAAATCAATATTCATTAGATGAGAGAAACACTGGGAATATAGAATCCGATGAAGAGGACTTATCGACGAATCTGAAGAAGATCAGAAGAAATGAACGCGAAAATTTAAAGAAAACTAGAGATACAGGTAAAAGATTAGAATTATAAAATAGAATTCTTATTAGGTATGTTGGATAAAATAATAGAATCAAATATAAATAATTTTTCATTGGCAAAGTCATGGATATGGTTGTTTATATTTCAATGAGGACTAAGGTGCTATAACTTTAGCGACAAAAATAGTGTTAAGTTACGTTATCTTTTAGACCAAATTCAACAAAGTGTTTAAATTTTAAACTAATTTCTAGTCGCTTCTCTAGATGATGCTGACGATGGAGTTACAAAATCAATTTACGACATGTATTACAAGACGACAACTAAGAGAACATATCCGTTCAAACCGATGTTGAGGAGTTTAGAGGAAGAATCTAGAATTAGAAGGAAGAAGAAGACAAGGAGATACTATAAAGAGGAAGATTATGGAGATACATCAGTAGAAATAGGTATAGTAACAATTTTAACAAGAATATAAAAGACAGATTAGGATCAACTGCAGCTGTTTACAGATTTGAACTTAACTTTCTTATTTATGTTTTATATGACATTGTTATCAAGCATTTATGGTACGTGGCTACCCCTGTCGTTGTGGCATGAAGATCTCCTGTCACAGCATCTAATGAAAGAAAGAAAGAAAGAAAGAAAAATATTTTATTCAGTGCAAATGCAAACAACAAACGAGAAAAAAAAATGACTTCATTGCAGCACGCTGCTTGGGTATTGAAGTTAAAGACAAATATAACATTTATAACATAATGCCAGTATCAAAATCCGAATTCAATTATCCAACAATGAAGCTTATAATTATGTTGGATAAAAAGAAGGGTAAAGGACAAACCTGGTTCACTTAGTCCCCGCGTGTAGGTCTTTTCTTCTTCTTTCTCTTAGGTTCTCGTTCTCTCTTCAAATTATCCAACACTTTTGTTGATTTGCAGAAGGTGTCACTATGTTACCGCGGAGATCGCGGCTGATTGAATAATTCGCAACTGGCGGAGATCATTCGTGATCTTGGCGGAACTTGATCAGCTCGACACGCAGTTGGATTATATACCGACTTTGTGCATCTACCCCCCAATGTGATCCCAGATTTGATAGGGAATATGGATAGGAAAGGAGGGTGGAAGGATATTGCGTTCGGAAATGTTTAATGCATATACAAATATTTACCAAATTAATAGTTTGGTAAATTGTGATTGATTGGACAATGGAGTGTCAAACAATAACGATTCCTTTAACGACATTTTTCCCACATTTACTGACTTATTGTATATGTACAGGGTTGGGTAAAACGATATCAAAATCACTGATATATATTTATGTATATATATGATTTTTTGTTATTTTTCGACCATGATTGCATAAAATTCAATTACCCTGGTAGAATACTGACAATAAATGTGTGTTGTGGAAATTTTTGTAGTAATAATAGTAGTCAATTTTTGAATGTTAATTAAACAAAGTAATTCTGACCAAATAACCGCACAATAGCACCTAATTCAGTAAAATAGATATGATAGATTTTTATTTTGATAAAAAAAGTGGTAATGGAAGGTAATTGTAAATAATAAAGACCTGATGTACATTTTATCTTGCGAATATATGAGATCTCCCTGTGAATTACTAATAGCAATATTTTGTTAAAGAATATACAACCAAAGAAGCGAGAAAAGGAAGGAATAAAAAAAGAAGAAAGAATGTCAAGGTGGATATGCCGTTCTTCTTAAATGACGGGAAAAGAAGGACTAGAGAAAACAACCCAGAAAACAGAAGAAGAGTTAAGGAATGTGAACCAATGGAAGAAGATACACCTCAAGGTTTTTACTTTTTATCATTATTTATTAATAAATGCAACGCCTACTTATTCTCTGATTACATAATGATTCTGGTAGAGAACACTGTCCAATGTTAAGTCCGCCATATGTACGTAGAATTTCACTGTGCAATAAAGTTTAAATAAATAAATAAATTAATGATTAAAAATGTTAAAAAATTCAGCTATCCAAAAAATACATACACTTAGAAATCTATTTTTAAACAACTGTCCAAAAAAAGTTGTATGTTATTTTCAAGGTATATACTATATTTATGTTTTTTTTTTAATCCTTTACATCATGAGCTGATTTTAATAATAAATTAACTATTATGATAGAGAAATAAATTTTTTATACCACAAAGGTGGCAAACTAGCATATAGCCCGTCTAATGGTAAACGGTCACTGCTGCCTATGGACGCCTGCAACACTAGTGGTGTCACGTGTGCGTTGCCGGTCCTGAAGACACCTTAATTAAGAAACCTTACCCTTTTTGAAGAACCCCATACTGTAGTCTCGGCAGGGAGCTCATTTCACAGCCTGAGCGTTCGCGGGAGAAAATTTCTCTGAAACCGCACTGTACGTGACCATTTACGCTCAAGTGTGTGAGGATGAATTCCCTGTTGATGGCAATATATTATATATAATACATATATTTTTTTCTTGGTTGACAAATGTTAGAGCAATCAAGATACAGAACTAAACGCCGTGAAGAAACCCATTTTGATTCGCAAGACTACGATGCACAATCACACAGTGAATATGTAGATGACGAGGCAGAATATGATAGGAGAACCGAGAAAAGAAGGAAAAAGAGGTCAGAATGTATAATTTTAAACAAAAGTTTGTCAAAAATTTTGACAAACTTTTGTTTAAATTCATACATACATACATATACATATCTGTCACGCCTGTCTCCCATTAGGGTAGGCAGAAACAATGGAACGTCAAATGCTTTGACTCAAACAAACCTCTTTCGCTTCTTCCACTTTTTTTCGTTTAAATTCACTTTTGTTATTTCAAATTACAATTAATTTAGCAGGTTGGAGTAAACTAATATGATACGGTTAATTGGTCCATCGTGACGAAAATGCTAGAATTTACACAATGTTTCCCTAAAAAACCGTGTGTAGGATCTAAAAAGGTTTTTTTTAATGTGTGGGAATGGAATAGTAACCCTGTTTGCGCTACCAGTATGCGCTGGCACCAGGGTTAGATAGATAGATAGATAGATACTAGATAGTACTAGTGTTTTTAAGGGAACCGCGTGTAGGTCGTTTTAATAGGGTATATTGCCAGCAACAACAATCCCTTCCCCCCTAGAGTTATTGCTAACAATCAGACTAACAGTTTTTTTTTTATACAACTTAGAATGGCAATAATAGCTGACGGCCCACCTGATGGAAAGTGGTAACCGTCACCTATAGACATGAGCAGTACCATGGACATAATAGAGTATACTGTTTCGCCCATGATACCCCCCATGCGTTGCCATTCCTGAGGACTCAGGTATTATTCTTGTGTAGTTTCCGTTACTAAACTAGAGATGCGTAATATCCGATATCTATATATCTAGCTCTTCTGGACATTGATGGCCACCCATTACAATATCCATACCAGTCGAATATCTACTCGTATATTCATGACGAGCGGGTCCTTCTTTTCTATATTATATATTGGATAACCGATATGTAATATATCTGTTATTGGGCCAATATATGTATAGATATTGTAACTACAATATATAGGTATTACTATATATTAAACCGTTCTTACTAACAATTGTCTCCCTCTTGTTGTTACATAATTGACATCTCGGATGCGCTATTATTATAATTTAAAATTTAAATGGTTACTTTCAGAACAATACCAATAGACGAAGGACTAGAGTCGCCCAGCGGAGAACAGGCTGACCAGTCTGATTCTGAATACATAGTGACACTGCGTCCCACACAAATACGCACATTTGTTGTATGGTTCGAGAGTAACAGAAGGAATTATGTCGTTTAATTTAGTATTAACAGTTTTGCAGTCTTAAAGTTTCGTATTATTTATTTTTCTATCTTGCTATTTATTTGTATATTTGCTATCTATTTGTATATAATTATTATTTTCTTTTGTTTGTTTTGTTTTTGATTTCTTTTGTTTTTGTTTTGTGCGCTACTGTGTGGGCCGCGTGCTTCTTTTGATTAAATTATTTCTTTCTTTCTTTCTTTCTACATCTGTTAAAAATATTAATAATTCGTCCAGAAGAAACGTTCTTGAAACGTCCCTCTTAAAACATCACCAAAAGCCAACTGCGGTTGCCAACCCGCCTGCCAAGAGTGGCAACTGCTTTCTAAACCCCCATTATTGGAGAGGCCGCTATTCTTATTCTTTCTTTATTCTTTATTGTACACAAAAGGTTATTGAAATGTAAAAACAAACATAATAGTGCACAAAGGCGAGCTTATCTCCAATAGAGATTTCTTCCAGCAAACCCAATATGAGAAAAGTGACAGTTCATTAGTAGTTACAGTCATATTGTTGATGGTGATATCAAAATATTATGTCACGATGTTTGTCGAACTCCTCCGAAATGGCTCGATCGATTTCTATGTTTTTTTTTTTTGTATATAATAAATAAGGTGGTACCAAATTACCTGCATTCCCTGCTACATGGCATAGTATTAGATATATACATTACGATAAAAAAGGAATTTCATGTCGAAGTAGTATGAAATTATTTAAAAAAAAATGATAAAGTACATAAACTACTTCATTGCTTGTAAACCGCCCTCATAACTATACTTTTCTCTATCACATTGTCGGTCGCGCTCACTCAGTCAGTTTTAGCGTAACGTTTTTTTAAAGGCACTTTTTACACAGGATGAAAAGTTTACATTTATTAAGAACACTTTTTTTGTATGAATAATATTATGACATTTGAGACACGAAATTCTATTATTATCGCAAAGTATATGCGTAATACTATATTCCCTTAAAGGGAATGCAGATAATTTGGTAACACCTTATTTATTATTTTTAGGCATGAAATCGTAAAGTATATTTAATATCGCCAGGTGAGTTGGGTGTCCCAATCCAAAAAAACATTATTCACATAAATCAATTTAATCAACGTCAATGTATTATATTATTGTGACAATAAAATATTTATTAATAAAAACTCAATTAACTTTTATTTAAACCAATTTGAAAAAGAAATAAATTCCTATATTTGTCTGAATTTTATTGTGTATTAATCTATATCTTCCCTTTTTTTAATTAATTAAATGCTTATTTATTTATTTATTTAAATAACTTTATTAAGCAAAAGAAAATAAGGTACAAAAGGCTGACTTAATGCTAGTAGCATTCTCTACAAGTCAACATTTGGGGTGAATAGTGAATCAGGGACACGGTACTTCATTATTGGGATAGGTAAAGAAAATAACAACTAATAATGTATACCTATATAAAATAAATTAATAACTTATGAACATTATAATAGAGGGAAAGATAGAAGGAAAGAGGGGAAGAGGGCGACCGAGGCATAGTTACACCAGGCAGATCAAGGAAGGAATTGGTGTCGTGTCGTATCAAGAGGTGAAGAGACTCACTGAAAATCGTAGTGAGTGGCAAGAGCTCCACCGACAAGAGCGCAGCTTTTAAATAGGATAGATAGGTATATACAAAATAAATAATACATACATAATTAAACATATAATTATGTATGTATTATTTATTTTGTTATAACACAATTAAATACTTAGAACATTATCGTGATGATAAAATCATTTAATATATATACATACATATATGTACATATATGAAGTAATTTTTATGTATTATATGTGTATTTTTTATGTATTGTGTACGATTTCATTAGGTTACTATAATTAAGTTGCGTATTTTTCACCACATCTGCCCTTCATACGCTTTCTGTTTTTACCCAATGGTTAGCTGGTAGAAAATGCCATATGGCATTTGTACAAAATGTTATTATGCAATAAAGAATATACAATTAAAATCCGCACTGTGCCGTCTTGTACCATGTTACGATATTTTATAAAATTACTTAATAACAGTCATAATTCAAGTTTAAGCTACGCTGCAAACCTACCATTTGCAATTATAGTAAACCAGTGACAATTTCATAATCATACGCCATGAGCTAGTGTTATTTTTCCCAGTAGAATTTATTAGAAATTGCCCTCATAAATTCTGTACAAATTACGGCTTTATGTATGGAAGTGTTCATTTTAAAAAGTGTATGTAATAATACATTCACTAACTACGTAGATAATTTGATTTTGAATGTTTCATAACTGTTTCATATAATAAAATTCATATAAAAAAAGCGTTTAATGTACAAGTGTATTAAAAGATTCGTCCATGTACGATATTTTGTCATTATTCCTTTTTATTTTTTTCAAGCTAAATAAAATACGACCTTACCTCTAGAACGTAATACATGCAGGTACATATTTGCAGTTACACTTGAAATGTCTCTATTAATGTTTCAACAAACCTTAAAAGAAAAATTTATCATATTTTTATAACACAGAGGGCAAGCGAGCATGTGGCTCACCTGATGGTAAGTGACCTACCGCTGCCCATGATCACCCACAACACCAACGGCATTGCAGGTATGCTGCCGGCCTTTTAAAAAGGAATATGCTCTTCCTTGAAGGTTATGATGTCGTATCGGTTCGGAAATACTGCTGCTGGAAGTTGACTCTAAAAATGTATTGAATAGAATGGCAAAAAAACTGACGGCCCACCTGTTGGAAAATGGCAACTGTCCCCTATAGATATTTATTTATTTCATCAAATGCATCAATTTATTACATCAGTTTTACGATCTCTCAATACTTTCACCCAGGCAAGCATCAGTACATAAATAAATTGTGCTCAGAGGAATTATTCAATATGATGCCTACGGCCTCTTTCCATCATCGTACGGCTCGCCATCGACAGGGAGTTCACCCTCATACCTTACAGCCTAAATGATCGCGTACAACGCGGTTTCAGAGATGTTTTCTCCCACGGACACTCAAGTTATGGAATGAGCTTCCTGTCGAGGTTTTCCCAAGAGACTACAGCATGGGGTTCTTCAAAAGGGGGGTAAAGAGGTTTCTTCAGGGTCGGCAACTCGCGCGTTATACCTCTGGTATTGCAGGTGTTCATAGGCTACGGTAACCGCTTTACCATCAGGCGGGCCGTATGCTTGTTTGCCACCTCAGTGGTATAAAAAAAATACACAATACAAAGAAATAATATATATAATTAAAAGGAATAATATTAAAAAGATTTAACTTAAGTAGAAATAACATTAGATCCTAAATCTCTGAACGCAAACAGTCTGTGGTCATCTGACGAAACTAAAGCAATTTGGAAGTAAATACGTCCAATTGCGGATACCAGCTGAAAATATCATTGAGTAGTTTCAATGTAAGAGAGAGGAGAGCTTGCCAACTCTGTTTTTCCTAACGGAACATCAAATAAGCGCCGTCTACGTGCTCGCATATAGTTACTGAACAGTAGCATGGACACAACAGAATTTTTTTTAAACAACTTAGAATGGCATAGGAATAAACAAGCTGACGGCCTACCTGATGGAAAGTGGTAACCGTCGCCCATAACCATGAGTAGAGTATACTATGTTGTCCATAATAAGGAAGACTTGCAATTAATGCGATTTTAATTTCGTTGAACTTTTTCAGTTACGGGTCTTCAGAAAGCATTTTGTAAAATGTTTCCTTCTATAATCCGATGACATTGAATTTTCTGAAAGTACAGTTGAAATATCCACAGAAGTTGGACAGGGGACGAATTTGTTAAAATTACGTAAATTTAATGAAACTAAAACATTTAATACAACATATAAATATTTTTTTTATAAATAAATTTAAAAATAAACGTTTTTTTTTTATGCAACTTAGAATGGCAAACAAGGTGACGGCCCACCTGATGGAAAGTGGTAACCGTCGCCTATAGACATGAGCAGTACCATGGACATAACAGAGTACAATGTTTCGCCCATGCGTTGCCATTCCTGAGGACTCAGGTGTTATTCCTCTGTACCCAGTAAATTCACGCTATATCCCACCCTTTAAACCGAAACACAGCCATGCAAACACAACTGCTTCACGGTTGAAACACAAATGGACCAGAGGTGCCCAAGCAATCGACTTTTGTACAAAGTCTCCCTCTGGTTTAGCCAAGCGAAGCCATGGAAAAACTATAGTTTTAATACATCGCATCATGCAATCATTCTTTCAATTAGAAATGCACAGTGATTCTGAAAACATCGCTCGGGTGGGTGGTGTTATTATTAAAAATAAATCATGGAAAATTATGGGAAATACGGACGACCGATGGAGAATCATGATAATGGTAATAGAATATTAATTTATAAAACTTACCATCTGTTTTACCGTGTACAATATTTCTAGAACTATACACGAAAATTTATCCTACTACAATTATTATATTCGATTGCCATCTTGCAATCCTATTGCGGCATATAAATATCGCGATTAAAAAACAGGGGTTGATCGTAGAAGCGTGAAAATTTGAATTTATATGTATTTTTCAATGCTAAATCATAATAAAATAAAAATTAAAAATTTTGTCAAAAAAATAAAAAAAAAATATTTAGGGGTGGGTCACCCTTATCATTGAGGGGTATAAAAAATAGATGTTAGCCGATTCTCAGGCCTACCCGATATGCGAACAAAATTTCATAAAAATCGGTAAAGCCGTTTCGGAGGAGTTTGGTAACAGACACCGCGACACGAGAATTTCATATATTAGATGTTCCTTTTTAAAACTAACATACGAACACAATATATTTTATAAAATTACTATGTTAGCCGATGACGACAAATGTTTGGACTTGATCTAGAAGTGGTCTATGCATATGCATGCATATATGTGGGCTTACGCTTCACAGGGAGACGAAACTCTGTAATGCATAGCGCCTTACAGACATTAATTATTATTTATTACTTATTAATTTAATAATTATATATTAATTATTAGTTCAATTACCATTGCTTCCAAAATAGGAGATTCTTGACTCTTTTATATTTATTTTTCTTAGCTTTGTTTCGGGATGACGTCCTTTGTTTTGATATGATTATTACAATATTTTTTTTGCAATGAGTTCGATTCCTTATTGTTTACATAGCGACACATACATACAAGAGAACAATAATGTAAGTATATGGAACAAATTTTGTTCCATATATGTACATTATGTGACAAATTTGCCATTTATAATTCCAATGCTCTTAAACACGATATTTCTGATTTGGAGTGGTGAAGACTGGAGTATCCTGCTGATTACAGGCGATTTTGCAGCATCGTGTCAAAGTTTTTTTTTTTTCAATATAAAATTTTATATTATATTATTAAAAAATTTAAAAAAATTACATAGGTCACTAAGTTTAAATTATGTGAATTAAACTGTAAATAAAAAGCGATATAATTTGCCTTTGGATCTTGTGTTTATACTAGGTTAATACCTGTATATACAGTATTACACTAAGAACAAGCTTTGGTATCATCAGGCCCTTACTCTAATTGCCTAAATAAAAAATTTAATAGAATGATAACAATGACAAATGATAAATAAATGTGTGTGTGTGTGTGTGTGTGCGTGCATTTGTGTGAATTGTGTTATTATGTTCTTACAATATCATTAAAGTAACAGACAAACCAAATTTCGAATTGTTCAGACCTATAAAAGTCGAATACCATACCTCAATAACAAATTTATAATTCTCAAACATATGGACATATTGTCACACCTAAAATATTCTTTAAGAGTTCACCTTTCAAATAAAACAAAGCTTAATTTTGTGGATGAAGATGGAATAGTGCACCCGTCAAATTGTAGGATATAGAGGCGTAACTTAGTCCTCAAGAATCGAAGAAGAACGCAAGGGGATATCATGAGCGACACAGCATACTCTGTTATGTCCATGGTACTGCTCATGTCTATAGGCGACGGTTATCACTTTCCATCAGGTGGGCCGTCAGCTTGTTTGCCATTCTAAATTGTTTAAAAAAAAAACATGCCTATTGTATAAAAAAACGCGAGAGCCGACCCCTGTCTGTAATCCAATTATTCCAATTATCCAGGTCGCAGTACACGTTTCATAGAGCCATACCATAAAACATTCAAATTGATTTCCTTAACATTGGTACTGAGTGTCATGTACCCCAACACAGCTACTGAGAAGTGGCGACTTTTGGCTATACGTAAGTACAAATTTTTACCTTTTTTTCTACAGTTAACAGTTTTCAACCGATTTCAAAAGGACGGAGGTTCTCTATTCAGTTTTTTTTATCTTTGTTACCATATAACTTCGTCAGTTTTTTTTATTGGATGATTATGGTATGGTAACCCCGCCTACGCTAGAGATATATGTTAGCGGAGCACCAGTGAGGGATGATAGGTAAAAATAAAAAGGTAAAGCATACGCTTGGAATTCAGCACGATGATTTCCAGGGGAAACCACGGAGAGGTCGACCTGTTTGGGTATATTGCCAGCAATGGGACCCTTAGTCTCCATTATTAACAATATTTTCCTCTTCTAACTTCGTCAGTTGTAAATTGTTTTGGAAAATTTATTTTTTATCGAAAAGGACAGAAACTTCATCAAAATCGGTTCATTAATTTAGTTTTGAAATCAAAATAATTAGTTTTGCCACAACTACTCGGATTAGATTGGATTGGACACAATTGTTCGGATTGATACCTGCTGCTGATTTTCACCACCGTACAACCCGCCACAAATTAAAGTTTCATCCCAACCATCTGGATGAGCGGCGGTCTTCCACCGTGCGTTTTTCAAGGCACTTTCTTCCACGTACAATTGGAATCAACTTCCAGCAGCAGTATTTCTGAACCGATACGACATCATAACCTTCAAGAAATAGTATATTCCTTTTTAAAAGGCCGGCAGCATAGTTGTGGGTGATCATGGACGGCGGTAGTCACTTACCATCAGGTGAGCTGCATGCTCGTTTGCCCCCTGTGTTATAAAAAAAAAATTACACTCCACCGCCATATTTGCACAATAGCATTGCAGGTGTCCTGCCGGCCTTTTAATTTGTAAAAGAAATAATATTAATTATTGAATATTCATACAATGTTTCAGCTATCGTTCTCACATCAGCCGCTCCTCTGTTACTGATGAGCGCTAACGACATATACCATTTCTGGATGGAAGGTGACATTTCCAACATTATCCGAATCAGCACAATTGCTGGACCGTTCACCGGCTGTTTTCTTAAGGTCATTTGCTATAATTGAAATCGAAAAGTTGAGGAACACTAATATAATAAAATTGTAACTATTTTTTATACAACTTAGAATGGCAAACAAGCTGACGGTTTACCTGATGGAAAGTGGTAACCGTCGCCTATAGACGTGAGCAGTACCATGGACATAACAGAATAGGTATACTGTTTCGTGCATGATGCTCCCCCCATGCATTGTCATTCCTGAGGACTCAGGTGTTATTCCTCCGTACCCAGTAAATTCACAGCCATATCCCACCCTTCAAACCGAAACACAGTCATGCAAACACAACTGCTTCACGGTTGAAACACGAATGTGACAGAGGTACCCAAGCAATCAACTTTTGAACAAATCCTCCCTCTGGTTGCCTTGCCTCTTAAGACACCCGCGTTAAAGGAAGGGGTGGCCCATTCTATGCCAAGACCACGAGGCGACTACTTGTGTACCTACTTGTGTAAAAATTTATTTGTGTTGATAAATAACTAGTCAATCTCATTAACAGATGATACTCTTATATGTAAAAAAAGACAATGCCACTCAACTAATGGACGAGATGAATCGAGACTATAACCTGATCAACAAACTCCCTCCCCGGTACAAAGCTCTCGCCCACGCCGAGATAACGAACAGCAAGGCCTACGAATATGGCTGGGGTACATGCTGTGCTGTTGCAGTTTTTATATTTCCATTAAGAGCTGGCTGTATGAACATTTATAGCTATTTGTTTGACGAGGTACGTTTTTTATGCTAAATATATTGGCTTGATGAATGACTTTACCTTCTAGAAGAGTGTTCAGTCTCGCCTATTGAATTTTCTAAATCAGAACAAGTAATAAAGTAGACAGTAGTTCATAATATATACGTATACATGTATGTATGTTTATATGTATTTTAGGTATTAGAGAAATTTTCTCCCATGCTCAGACTGTGCAATGAACTCCCTGCCGAGGTTTTCCCTAGAGACTACAATAGGTTCTTCAAAAAGGATATACCTATTAAGGTTTCTTCAGGGTCGGCAACGTGCACGTGACACCCCTGGTGTTGTAGGCGTCCATAGGCTGTAGTAATAGATTACTCTATCAGACGGGTCATATGCTTGTTTGCCATATTTTTTGGAAAAAAAAAAGGTTGGTTAGTCCATCGTGAAAAACTTAACAAGAATTAACCACAATGGTTTCCAGAAATAACCGCGTAGAAGTCGACCTAAAAGGGTATATTGCTAGCAATGGGTCTGCTAGTCTATTACTAACAATCCCTTTCCCCAAGTTGTCTTTGCTTATATCGTTATGTGGGAACCACAAGGCACGGTTGTGATACTATTTGATACTGCTACTGCTATAATTTAGGGGGAAGGGATTGTTAGTAATGCGGTCTATCAGGTCGACATCCCCGCAGTCCCCCCTGGAAATCATCGTGCTGAATTCCAGGTGTATTCATCACGATGGGCTAACTGACCTGCCTATTCATTTTCACCTATCATCTCCCACTGGTGCCTCGCCAGCGTATACCGTTAGCGCAGGTGGGGCTACCATTCCATTATCATCTATTAAAAAAACTACTATAATTATGACACGTTATTTTATTAATCGTTTTTTTTTACCCAAAAACTTTTTAAACCCAAAATTATAAATTACAGGTCCCGAAAAGGTATATGATCAATGAATTGACGAACCCATTCCGTCCGCCCGAAGAAAAATTCAACTCGCCATACTTCGAGATAATGACTGCCTACACAATATATTGCGGAGTGTTGTATTTTGTACAATTTGTTGGTTACGAAGGCCTGATGGTGTCCACTATGAACCATGCTTGCCTGAAGATGCACATGTTCTGCGCCGCGTTGGAGGATGCGTTTAACGCTGAGGATAGAGAAGAGAGACATAAACTTGTCATTGATGTCATTAGGGAGCAAGTCAGAACTTTCTGGTAAGGTTAATTTGTATGATGCCAAAACAAACATACAGAAAGACAAATAAATTCCTAAAAAATATTATTTCTAGAACTTCTGTTCATTTTTTTATTGGATAGGTACATACGAAAAATAAATGAACTCATTGTGTTTTTGTCGTTTCCGAAAATTGTTTCAATTTCATCCGGAAGTGTTCTTCAGGGGGCGTTTAGCGCTTTGCGTCACAGTGTCTCAGCTCCCAAATATTTTTCACCTATTTTGGTCTTATTAAGATCTCTCATATCAATTTTGCTTAAATACTTTCCATGTACAGACATTGTTTAGTTAACATTTTATTATATTAATAAGATTGTTAGAGTCATGAAAAAATTGATAGATTTAAGAACATAAGAAATTCTTCTTTTTAAGTTTGTTGAAACATTAATAGAGACGTTTCAAGTGTGGCTTATTGTAATTAGCGGATCTCTAATAGCTCAAATATGTACCTGCATGTATTACGTTCTAGAGGTAAGGTCGTATTTTATTTGTTTGTAAACAGAAATTTTACAAAATACAAGTACAACAGACTCGATGATATATATATATATATATATATATATATATATATATATATATATATATATATATATATATATATATATATATATGATGATGATCTCAATTTAATGACAATCCAAATGCATCAAAAATTAGTCTGCAGGTATCGCAAGCTGGAACTCATTCTATGAAACCTTAAACTTGTCTCATCTCCCACATGTGCTGATCTCAACCACTATCATTCTTGTCATCAGGGATTCGGCTTTGATCTTCGATATTTGGTCTTTATGAGTAGTACGATACTATACATGTACCTGCTATGTCACCACGCTGGCAAGATAAAGCATGTGGTAAGTAATTCAATTCTAGAGATCTGTTTGAATCGAAGTAATTGGCGTTCCATTCTTTCTGCCTACCTTAATGGGAGACAGGAGTGACAGATATATATGTATGTAAGTATGTTGAATAATAACTATCGTGAGTCATACTCTATATTGTAATTGTTTATGTTGGCTTTACTCATGTTTTAAATTCGGGAATGCCCGACTAGTTTCGAACTCAATGGGAGCCCTTATTTATGAGCGCGGTTCACGGCTACATCGCAAGCAGCACAGAGCGATCAGCGCAGTTTGTCACTGCGCGCGTACGGTCGGGAGTGGTGGTAATGGTGATATACTCCTTTACCTTTTATTATACACTATTTATATCTTCTATAGAGAACAATTCAATGGTACTGACGAATTCAACTTAGTTGAGCAGCGTTCGAAAAACTATACCACATCTTTTCATCTACCAAAAGTAAAATTAAAATATTTCAAAGTTTTAAGACGAAGCTCTTTAACCGGTGCGTGTTGCCAATGATGACCTACGGAACCGAAACATGGTCCTACACGATTGCCCACATGCAAAATTTTCGGCTAACTGACCTGCTTTCATTCTCACCTATCATCTCTCACTGGTGCCCCGCCAATATATTGCAATGGCGCAGGCTGGGTTACCATTCCATTCTTACCCATTACTAAATAGTTAAGATTGTGACCATTTATTATATGTCCCTTGCAGGCAGCAAATGTCCCTTCGTTAATCTACTCTAGCGGATGGGAAGACATATATGATCAACCAATTAGAAAGATGGTGCTCTTCATGATAGCGAGATGGCAGGTCACCATGGAGATAAAAGCACTCGATATGTTTGTCTTTGACACTGAATTTTTTGTTTTCGTAAGTATATATTTATATGAACGTACTTTTTTAAGAAACACAATAGCAATATAGCGGTTAATTGGCCCCAAGTCTCGTTTTATTTTTGATGGATGATAAAAGAATGGTAGCCCCGCCTGCGCTAACGGTATACACTAGCAGGGCACCCGTGAAATATGTAACTTTAACATCAAATTTGTATTTCATTCGGCCCCGAAATTTCGGAAAATATTTCATGGTTGGCCCTCTGATATTTATTCATAGGGGTGGTTTATACAAGTAATTTAAACTTCATATATACCTTGTAATCTTAAATTTTCTTCGGTTTTTGAAGATGTAAAATTAAGTATGCGCCTATTTTGAATTTTCAGATTATAAAGACGGCTTACTCCATGTTTACGCTTTTGAAATCAAATTAAAAACACAGCTGACATTAAAATATAATTAGATCACTGTCAAAAATGGAGGGATTTTATTGGGTAATATACCTATTAGTTCGTGCAGTCAACTAAATAAAAAAAAACTATTTTTTTTTTATTTTTTTTTTTCATTATCGCCCATTCGGAACGCTTTTATCTTTTCAAGAAATTTCAAATCAGTATAAGATCATAAAATTTAAAATATTTTAATTACAAATTACAATTGCACCTTACACATAAATAGATAAAAAATAGAAGAAATAATAGTGAAGAATAGCAAGAGATAACAAGAGGATATATTAAGGACTGTGCAGACGGAATATAATATACGAATAATAACCATTTGCTACATTGTGTCGTCTCTGGGCACTGGGTCTCTACGACCCGACAAGGTAATATTGTCGTTTCGACAATACTTCAAATTTGTCGTACACCCAATTAGTTATATAGTAAGGCGCCTTTCCAGTAGCGTAGCTGTAAACTGATAGACCGCCTACTAAAATATCAATGGACACCCCAGGAGCATTAGTCTATTATTAGCTTCACCACTGCACTTTTCATTGTATCTGTAAATTTAGTGATTGTTTTTAACCGTTTCGAGTCTAAAATGGCTAATATGGAAGGTTGTAGGACTAGTGATAGTAATAATGTTGATTAATTATTATTATTATTTTATTAATTATTATGTATCTTAATATTTTATTTAACTGTATATTTGTTTATGTACACTAAATATTAATAGTTGTAGCACTTTAGCTACCTGCTAACAACATGTTTTCTAACTGCATTGGGTTGACTGGAAGAGATCTCTGTCAGAGATAAGTCCACCCTTGCTCACAATATTTATAAATGCATTAACATTGTAATTTACAAGTGCAATAAAGAATATATATATATATTAATTTTCGAGTGTTGGCGGTCACAAATATATAAATGAGAGCAGAATTAAACAAAATAATTTTAATCATATAACCAGTACAGTGAAATACTTTTGTTATTGGTTAAAGACCGACCCTTAAACATCTGCAAACAAATTTTGTCCTTTAAATTAAAAAAGTAAAATCATTTTATCTTTTGCTTTTTGGTTTTTGATTTAACATTTTTTTTGAGTCGGTTTAATTTCTTTTTTTTTAAAGTTTGTTTATGCTAACTTACTGCACTTAACACCTTTCATTCATCGATCACTTTGAATGAAACAATTACATTTGAATAATGTTTTATTTCAATAATTGTATTATACAAACAATAAATTGCAACTAACCAAAACCCAAACGAGTTTTACTTATCCATTGTAAACCCATAGAATAAATTACTTAAAATATACACAAAAATAAGGCACCCAAGTCCAGCTTACGAGAATAGAGAACTAACGAAATAGATTGAAGTCCAAGAAACATAATAATATAAAAATACACGATTATTTATTTAACAAAAATTAACATCCCACTGGTAAACACGAGTCTCACGGCCAGTCGGTTTGGTATAGTCCAGTTTGAACTGAATTCTATTCTTGACATATACTTTTTTTAGTTCAAGTCATAAATAATTATAAAGATTAAAATTATATCTACAATTCGCAGCCAATAGTTGCTTATCAAAATATTTTTCATGATTCCGATAGCGCCGCCATTTTGTAATCATATTATGCTAAACTTAAATATCGTCATAGTTGTAGAATACCGACGGATCTTTATATGTAATATTTATCAGATCCGTCAGTATTCTACGACTATGACGATATATTATTAAGGTTAAGTTGAACTTAAACATAGTGTCTTAGGTGACTTATTTTTGTTTTCAATGGCTTTACTTACCTATTTTACAAAAATTAATAGGTAAGTATCATAAAACATATTAAATATAATTGTCGTTTCGGCGAGTGTGTTGATTTATATTCTTGTATCTTAATTTATGTACGCAATCAAGTGGTACAAAAATAATTGTGAATTTAATAAATTAATATAGCTAACTGTACCTATTTATCTACGTAATAATAGATTATAGGACCTTTTATTTCTTAGCTTGACATTACCAATTATACAGTATATATTAGGCATGCGTAATATTACCGCTCCAATATTTACACATCGTCATAGTCGTAGAATACTGACGGATCTGACAAAGAATACATATAAAGATCCGTCAGTATTCTACGACTATGACGATATTAGGTTGTTTTGAAACATTTATGGCGGGAAAAACGTCATCACCCATTCTGATATCGCCCGTATATAGATATAGTAACTAAAATATATAGATATCGCTGTATATTACCCACCCCTATTAAAAATACTATAATAATTATGATATTAATATAATAAATATTATTCATATAAAACTATTACGTTCATTACTCTATCGACGTATTCGTACGAGAGAGGCAATGGAGCTATGCCCATACAGCCAATCCTCTATACAATTTTTACATTGTACAAATTATTACAAGGCGTCTTACGCCTAATGCATTATCAACTATGGGCGTTGTTATAACATACCGCAGCACGGTGCGATATCGAAAGATTTTACCGTTACCGTACAATAGGGGAGCAAAATGCATTTTGTAAGGAAATGCTTTTTTTTCATGTACGTCCTTGATAGTATCTGTAAATATATAAAACATAATACAGGGAAAAAGTATCTCACAAACTTGAGTAATTCACAGTTCTAATGTAAATATATGACTATTATATACGACAGTATACGTTACATTTTTTTTTATACAACTTAGAATTGCAAACAAGCTGACGGCCCATCTGATGGAAAGTGGTAACCGTCGCCTATAGACATGAGCAGTACCATGGACATAACAGAATATACTGTTTCGCCCATGATACCCCCCCCCCCCCATGCGTTGCCATTCCTGAGGACTCAGGTGTTATTCCTCTGTCCCTGGTAAATTCACGTATTTTATTTCGAATAATGAAATAAAATATATATAAAACTGCAAAAAAAATATATTTATAAAACTTCAAGTTGCCAATTGTATAAGTTTAACTCATATTATTATGACGAGGGTAAAATCGTATCGATATCGTACCACACTACGGTAAATTATCAACGCGCTCAACAATTCATCTACGAATAATTATCTCCTCAAAACAAATATTTATAAATAGCTTATTCACTAATTATATTCAGATCGATAAATATTAGAGATATTTTTGGAAAATGGTTCATAAAAGACGGGAATTAACGCGATTAAGCAAATTTAATATTTTACTGAAACAAATGTTACTTCACTGGTTAGTTCACTAAAATTATTTTGTTTAACTCCGCTACCATATTAGCATGCGTGCGACTGACAACATTAACTAAAGACGTCTCATTTAGAAATGAAACACGTGTTGCAATATGTGCGTGGACTGAATAACGGTCAGAGATAGACGACTAATATTTTTTTAAACCACTGTAGTGGCAACCAGCCCACCTGATGGTAAGCTGTGATCATAGCCTATAAACACCTACAATATCTACGCGTGCATTGCCTTTTTATCCCTTTTTTAATGCTAAAAAAACCTTGACAGGACCCTCTATGTCGAGGCTGTTTCGACGACGAAGAAACGACTACTCACGTAATCCTGGAATGTGAAGCTGTGGCCCATCAACGTTTAGAAATCCTCGGAACGGTGAGGTCGCTCCGTGAGGCCTGTGAAGATCCCAGAAAGCGTCTGTGCTTCTGGGCGGAGCTGGGCTGGCTGTACTAGCCACGACTCATACGCACAACGGCCTAAATGAGAGGCTAAGCGCGGAAAAGAGAGTCCAATTTACATGACATTACATTACAACCTCGACAGGAAGCTCATCCCATAACCTGAGCGTTCGTGTGAGGCCGTATCGCAGAACTTCTACTTACAATAATAATTACTACTAATCTTCAAATGTTGCCAGTCGCGCGCATACTAATGGTGGCGTAATTCCGCTACCATTTATGCACATTTTTTTAAACAATTTAGGTACAAAACAACATTTATTTTTCGTAAATAATATTATTATTTATGCTTATTTTAAGTAACAAACGCAAAATCCGAGAATGGCAATAATCTAACATTCAACGTGACAGGTACGGACTTAAAATATTTGGAAAATTATATTTCTATATTAAGCGTGACCCAGACGGAGCTGTAATATTTTGAGACATATAAAATTACAGTGACCGTGACGTGGAACTGCACAATTCTGCCGGTAAACGTCGCCCGTATAAGTCACAGAGGTGTGCATTAAGCGGTTAAATAAAACAATTCTAATGGACTAACAAATTAGGTATATATTTATCTGAATTATCTCGGACATTTTCACCAGGTTACAGAGACCGTGGTCACGAGTGCGATGTCATGCTTACGCTCCTATTTTACATAAACGACCGCGTCAATTCCCATCTCTTATGGTTTATAAACCATAAATAATCTAATGCGAAAGTCTAGAAATATTTTATTCAAAAATACCGCGACACGAACAACCATCTGACCAAAACGACATGAAAAATAACAATAACAAAAAATTAACTAAGACTGTAACAATAAAAAATAAATAAATAGCAGTTTAAGGAATGTCCTAAGCGTTTGTACGTGTAGACAAGATAAACAAACATATATATATATATACTTTTTGCATACAATTTCACGCTCATTTCTTAGACCACATACAAAAAACCATTAAATTAATATTTAAAAAAGACATTGAGTTGAAGAGTTTTAAACTATTCCTATGTTATGCACTAAAAACCCATAGAGAAAAGATTGCATTTAAGATAAAACTTTCTTGTTTAGGTACTGCACGTATAAATTGTGGCATTTATTTATCCCAATCATACTATACTGCCTTTGCTCCATCCACACTTCATACATCTGTTCACACATGTAATTCAGCATTTAAGTAATTTATATATATACATACATACATACTAAACAGAATCATGCATAATATTAATTTCAGTGTAACAACAACTGGTTTAACTTACGTGTAAATAGATCGCAAAAGCTCGACTAGTTTTAGAATCAATTCGTGATCCTTAATCGTGAGCGGCTGTGACGCGAGCACGAGCCTGACTGGCGTTTGCGTTTTGATAGGATATACACGTAAATTAAACCAGCGGGTCTACCATGAAATGAAATTCCGAAATTTCGGACTCAATTTCGTGTTTTTGTTTATACCAAAACCGGACCAATAAATGGAGTTTAACATTTCGTTCGTCATACATCCTATCATAAAAGTCTAAAGGAACAATATTTTAACATTTTTAATATTTCTAAACGGCATTACGTAATTTTAACATTAAATTTGTGTTTCGTTTGGCTCCGAAATTTCGGAAAACACTTCATAGTAGGCCCTCAGCAGTTGTTACCATGAAATATGACAATGTCATCAATCAATCATTTATTTGCAACTTAAAGGGATGAACCAAAAAAAAATACTCTACATAACAGTCAATATGTGATTATTATTATCTCAGCCGTTAACTGTCCAGTGCTGGACATAAGCCTTTCCCATAAGGGAGAGTTTTGTCAGTAGTTGCCACGCTTGGCATGCGGGATGGCAACCACAGTTAGGCTCTGAGAGATGTTTTAAGAGTTTTAATATTCGATTACTCGATTATGAATATATGTGCACAAGGAGGGGTTTCGGGGGGGGGGGTTGTAATTTAACCTGACTTCACTCACTTATCACCCTTCACCGGTAATCAGCCAGATTATACCGATATTACAACTGGGGTTGCCATTCTATTATTATAAAAAAAATTGCATTTCAGTCTTACTATATTGTAAAAAAACACCAATGTATTCTATTGGTATAGTGCATTTCATTCAATTTTGTATCGTATTCGAGACGTGAAAAAAAAAGGTAAACCACCTGAATTTTGAAAATAAAACCCTTAATGCACCTGTAAGCGAGATAGAACACGACTGGTTGCTATAGCAACGAAAATACCTACTCTATTCTACAAATTAAAAAACCCGTAGATCCTTACATCACTAGGACGGACCCATACTCATATGTAATTTTCTCAAAATAACACAAAACTCATGAAAACAGCAATCATATACGAATTACAAAAAAAAACTCATTTTACATCATGAAATCTTACTTTGAAAATAAATTAATCGGTATCAATGAAATTATAAAATATTTTCAACATACCATTTCTGTAACACATTATTTATTATTAAAAAATATATATATATATATATATATATATATATATATATATATATATATATATATATATATATATATATATATATATATATATATATATATATATATATATATATATATATATATATATATAACAAAACCATGTAACATCTCATGAACCGATTCCAAAATAATGATGAACAAAAGACAGAGAGATTCTAAACTATTTTTTTTTTCTAAACCTGTTTTATAGTCTAAGATACATATACTCACACTCTTAAACGATTACTGTAGAATAAATAGGTAACTTAAGGGTTACATAAACGATCAATGTTCTTATTGACAAAAAAATAAAAATATTATATTATTAAGAGATTTGGAATAGTTTAAAGTAGTTAAAAATAAAAAAAAACTATTAAAAAATCACACATTCAATAGAGAAATGATACATTTCCCAAATTCAAACAAAACTCTATCACAATACATTTTAATTGTATAAGACATTCGAATAATCGATATAAAATAATCGATTTAGCTAAATCGATTAATAAACGATTGTTTTTAAGAGGCTTTGTTTAATATAGCTTTTTATTGGAAATTTCCATCGATCATTCTTTGGTCGAAGGAAGTTACACATAATGCCAGTGAAACAAAGCTCACATACATCTACGAGTATTTCTCCTTCACCATATTAATTAATTTTTTTTTTCATTTACTTTAATCAATAAATAATAGTTTACAATGAATTATAACCGTTACACATAATAATTCATCAGTCGATACCAAACAAACTTCCATACTTTTTACCTAATAATAAAAATCGTAGGTAAAAGAAGTAAAAAAAAAAAATGCACGTCGAAAACAAAATTCTTTCGGATACTAAAATCAATTAGTTTGAATTCATAATTAAATAAAAAAAACTATTAAAGAAAGATAGAAAACAATAACATAGATAAAGATAATGTCTGTGGTGAAAAAAAAATCAATATCGCACTGTTCCAATAATTAACGTACATAAATATTTACTTTAACACCCTGTAACTTGCTTTTCTTATATTGAAAGCCAAACAAGCTAAAGCCTGAACTGATGGAAAATGGCGAGTCGTTTGTTGACATGAACAGCACCATAGACACAAAATATGATCATGATACTCCACAAGCGTTGCCATTTCTGACAACGTGTCATGGCTTCAAACCGAAACAACGTCAAACAAGCAACTGCTTGTTGCCAATGACAAGAGAGTACGACAGATTTACGCAAAACGTAATTTTCTACGTAATTTTTCAATGACTCACAATTATATTTCCATATTTTTAATATCTATATCATATGTATCAATTTGCAATTAATAAATTGCCAAGTTTCTAACCATAGTTTTTGAACGCTTCCCACAGAAGCATTTAACTCGGACAGACAGTACAGACTTTGTGTAATAAGATTCATTCACAAATACCAATTACATAAATTAATCAATTATATAAAAATAATCGATTTACTTATATACTTATTACTTACACTAAAATAACATGCCATGTATATACATACATAATTCTTATTTACAAAAATTTTAATCGTTAATGATGTACTTTCATACTAACAAAACTACATGAGCAAAACAGACTTGCGTCCACAAAGAAATTATGACAAATCTAGTGTGGGACCACAGTACGAGAATTAATGCGATTTATCTAGAGATAGAGACAGATACATCTCTCCTTTCACCTTATCACAGTTTTCATACATTAACGATTCAAATATTTGCTGCTATTATTAATAAAAAAATATAAATTAATTCACTATTTATTGCTCCATCTCTAACGATGTTAATTTCCTTATGAACTCCGACCGTTGCGACGGGGTCAACTCCTGAAATAATTTTTATTAATGTTGTATGGTTTAATGAAATTTTTTTATTAAAAAATATAATAAATTTAGTGCTCTTTATTGCATTTATTTGTTTGCTTTATTAATGCCTAAGAACATACAATTACATTTAGAAAATTCAATTAAAATACACTAAGATAAAATACATAAAAATACTAATATTATAAAGAGATAAAGTTTGTGAGTTTGGATGTTCGGGATAATCTCCAGTACTACTGGTCCGGTTTAGAAAATTCTTTCACTATTAGAAATCCCTGAATTCTATAGACAGAGATATATATATTTTATATTCTGGTACACATATATTTTCAAAATAAATAATTACAATAAATGTAATTGAAGTCGACAAAAATTCTATAATATGGCGTTCGTTGACTAAAAAATATTCGTTACTTTTAGCTTTACAAAAATGTCCGCGACACCATATATCAAAGTTTAATATCTCAGCCAAAAAATGGTTTGTGTTAAAAGTAAAATAAATTTTACAAGCCGATCATTTTAAAATCTTACAGAATATTAGTGCAGTACTTCTACACACGTCAAAATACCCCTGTCGTACCAAAATGTGTAGAACACTTTGCACAAAAAAATAATACACCCATGCGAGGACGAGTAAATTCAAATAAATCGGGCAGGTCGCTGGTAATTATATATTTTTTATTTGTTCTAAATTCAAATGTATTGAGGCCTGTCGCTAGTAACTATATTTTTTTTTATTTGTTCTAAATTCAAATATATATATTGGAGCGGGTCGCTAGTAACTATATATTTTTTATTTGTTCTAAATTCAAATATATTGGGGCGGGTCGCTAGTAACTACATATATATTTTTTATTTATTCTAAATTCAAATATATTCAATCTGTCTCTACGAAACATGTCTTTGAAAACCGAACACATGTTCTATGTAGGTAACATATGTATAGCTTACCATAACGAGCGTGTTGACTGCTTGCAGCACGGAGTCCTGTTTGATGGCTCGCAGGTTGCGCTCCAGCACGGAGTCGTCGTCGGCCGCCTGCGCCTCCAGCCACTTGCACACCGCTTCGTTGTTGTGCTCCCACTGGTGGGACTGCAATTATGGGACCAATGAAACAATCTATTGACGTCCCACTACCGGGTACGATTGTCTTCTCAAAAGGAGATGAGTTTATTCTACTCTATACCACGTTTGCCAAGCAGTAGTTTCCATACTACTGGTGAAACCCCCCAAGGGGGCGTCGTATGTTCAGCAGTAAACAGTTAAAGGCTGAAATGATAATGATGATATTTTATATGAATATCAGTTTGAGATTCTCACCACGGTCTCCCCAAGGTCTTCGGTGAACCACCTCCTCAGCGTGGCGGCGGCGGGGCCCTGTTCCATCTTCCCCGCCGGGCTGACGGCGTCCTGCACTCTCCGCTCCTGCTCGTTCTGGCGGAGCAGTCTCCTCAGGCGCCAGTAGAATTGACGGCGGGAATCTCGCCATGGAATTATGTCCTAGAATTTTTTTTATGCAACTTAGAATGACAAACACGCTGTCGGCCCACCAGATGGAAAGTGGTAACCGTCGCCTATAGACATGAGCAGTACCATAGACATAACAGGGTATACTGTTTCGCCCATGATACCCCCCATGCGTTGTCATTCCTGAGGACTCAGGTGTTATTCCTCTGTACCCAGTAAATTCACGCCATATCCCACCCTTCAAACCGAAACACAGCCATGCAAACACAACTGCAAAACACGAATGGGACAGAGGTACCAACTAATCCCCTTATCCCTCCTTTTATGGTACACCATTAGCGTAAACAGGTATCCTTATTTCTTCATGCTCCACTTATTCCCCCTTATACCTCCTCCTACTATATGTAGGATTGATAGGGTTCATCTTATATAATTACAATACAACAATTATTTTACAATAAAACAAATAATTTTTTTAATCTTTCAAGTCAACAAAACACTCTCTCTAGTCGTTGGCCTGTGCGCGGTATGCGCGCGCAACCAACAATCACTAAGCGCCTGCACGACCTGCGCGCGCATCTTGCGAGTGAGTCCTGTGACCAAGCGCCATGATATATATATATATATATATATATATATATATATATATATATATATATATATATATATATATATATATATATATACTGTTTGACCTCCTTCATTGTAAACCAATAGTGTAGTGTAAATAAGAGCAATAATACAAATTGAAAGATTGAAACAGGAAATACAAGTTACACTTACAAATATGCACCCCTTCTCGAGCATCCGCTCGGCGGTGTCGTGCAGCTCGGCGAAGTGCACCGCGATCTCGTGGTAGATGGCGCTCAGCTCCTTCTCGCGGCTCTTCAGATTCCTCTCCATCGTCACCAGCTCCTCCTCCAGCTCGCGGACTTTGCTCTCCGCTGGAAATTATAGCTACTAGTGAGGCTATCTTTTAGTAGATCAATCTACAGTCTAAACAGCGTACGCACGCACGCACGCACGCACGCACGCACGCACGCACGCGTACACACACACACACACACACACGTTTGTACATGTTATGGACTGTACTTAACCCTTAAAAGCCTAATTTTTTTTATTAAAATAAATTAATATATAAGTGTACCCTTTACTGTGTTTACTATTAGGGAAAAATAGTATAAAATCAAAACGATATTCTTATATATTTATTTTGAAAAAAACATTTTGTAACATGTAAATAGTCAAATATTAAAACAAAATCGATTGTAGGCGCCCAATGCGATTTATAACCCCGGTATCACATTTGAAACTTCAGGTATTTAAGGGTTAAGTGTGCCCATCCCAGGATACAAGCAGAGCCTTTGACTATGCTCAAATACATAACAATGTCTTGTATAAATGTCAGATGTTAAGGTGCTCGACCATTCCAACTATGAACACTGGGTACACACACACACACACACACACACACACACACATTCCCCCTGTAAACTATCATTGTGAATTCTGATGAATTCATCATGATGTGCTAACTGGCCTGTTTTCATTCTCACCTATCACCTTTGGTGCTCCGCCAGCGTATCCCGTTAACAGACGGGGTTACCATACCATTTTCACCCATCAAAAAAAGCTATGAACACTAAACTATGATTACTAAACACACATAACACCAATCTATAACTATAAACATTCCTTGTTCTACAAAGATCATGGAACCAATAGATCAAAATTTACCTTGCCGGCCGGCGTCCGTCTTGATTAATACATCATCTATAGATCCCCGCCTGTCTAGATTCTTCGAGATATCTTTGATCTGTTCCTTTATTTCTGAAATAAACAAGATTTCTCAATTATTTCTCACATCCGATTAAAATTATAAATATAAAAAAAAAATATTTAAATATTTATTACCCCATTCAAGCGTAGACGACCGAATAAATTATGAATAAATTTTGTACATGGATTTAATCATCCACATCCTATACTAGGATATCTAGATTAACAAATATGGATACAGTTGGCTTTTTTATTGTTTTGTTGGCGAACATGCCTAGGCTTGGTATCAAAACTGCAACGTTTATATGATTTATTATTTAAATTGAACTGCTGCAGCACATGCTGAGTGGTGACCACGTTGGCAATAACAAATGTAAAGTTTTTTTTTTTTTTAATTCATAATTTATGTAACTTTTTGTTGTTGTCAATAAATGTTTTCTTTCTTTCTTCTTTTCTTTCTTTCTTTCATTGAAAAAAGTACAAGAATTTAAAACAAGTACAAAAAAAAATCATAAAAAATGTCGTATGGTTCCGGTATAAAATAGGCACCCATTCCTTTCCCGTGACTGTCGTAAGAGGCGATTGAGGAGTCTTAATGGTCGAATAATGGGCAGCAGTACCCTTCTTACAACTTCACCAAAAGCCAAACTGCGGTTTTATTTTTAATATTTTTTTTTGCTCAAGCGGGGTTGCCAACCCTGGTCAAGCGTGGCAACTAACGGCAAATCCCCCCCCCCCCCCCGTTATAGGAGAAGTCTATGTTCATCAGTGGACAGTTACCGGCTGACATGATGAAGGCATTAATATCAAGTACAATTGGCGTTCAAAATTAGCGACGTGATTGCATTGACATAAACAAAAAAAAAATCGAATGATTTTAGAACTTTCTCTTAGAAGCTGTTTAAAAGCGTTCACAATGAAGTATGGCAACATTGCAATTAACTATTAATTTTCAAAAATATTTATTTATTTAACTCTTTATTGCACCATAAATAAAAATATACAATGACAAGTGAATAATTCAAGTGAAATACAGTAACATAAATACAGATTGAAATATAAAGGTACAAAAGGCGGTCTTAACGCTAGGGCAATCTCTTACAGACAACCTTTGGTTAAAGGAGAACAGACAGAAGTGGGCAGGTGGCGCAAGAGGGAATTAATAATTTTTCGTGCATAAAATAAAAAAAAACCTGTAATGCACAAATTCAATGTTTTTGATTGAATTATTTAAAAGGTACTCTGCTTGTTAGCGAACGAAAACATTAATAAGGCAATAATAAATTCATGTTCAAAAGTCCATGCTCACTGCAACAATAGTAGCAAGTCATCTTTTATATTTTATTTATTTATATATTTTTAATATATCTATCTAGTGTTATACATATATGTATTCCTTTATATTCATGTATTTATATTATAATCATCATTTTATATTATTTATATACATTAGCTGTTCATTTCTTTACCTATCCCAATAATGAAGTACCGCGTTCGTGATTTCACTGTTCACCCAAATGTTGACTAGTAGAGAATGCTACTAGCATTAAGTCCGCCTTTTGTACCATATTTTCTTTTGCTTAATAAAGTTATTTAAATAAATAATATACTTATTAAGCTGTCACTGAAAATTTGTATTTTGATGGCAAAAAAAAAAATATATATATATATATATATATATATATATATATATATATATATATATATATATATATATATATATATATATATATATATATATATAAAAGATACAGCGATTTGTTTAACAACTTATTAGCAAGGGTGGGCTTATTTCTGAAAGAAATCTCTTCCAGAGAGAAAATAATTAGTATATATATTGTATTAAAAAAAAAATATTTACCCGAGACTCTAGCACTGAGCCGCAACAGTTCGGGGTCGAGCCGATGCATGGTCTTCAATATGTCGCGCTGTTTAAATTTCACTTCCACTATGCCTTCTGCTTCTAAAACGCCACCTCTGTCGGTGTAAAAAAAAAACGAAGGATTATATTCAGTTAAAGTATAAAACAACTTTAAGACATTATCATTAAAAGAATACTATCAACGAAAAGAATGGTTGGTGGTGATTATGATGATGATTATAATGATGATAGTAATTGTGATGATGGTGATAGTAATAGTGGCGACGGTGAAAGGGGGTGGTAGTGATAATACTAGTGATGATAGTGATGGTGGCTGTAATGGCGATGGTGATAGTGATAATACTGGTCGTGATAGTGATAGTTGCTGTAATGGCGATAGTGATAGTAAAGGGGGTGGTAGTGATAATACTGGTGATGATAGTGATGGTGGCTGTAATGGCGATGGTGATAGTGATAATACTGGTCGTGATAGTGATAGAGGCTGTAATGGCGATAGTGATAGTAAAGGGGGTGATAGTGATAATACTGGTGATGATAGTGATGGTGGTGGTGGTGGCGGTGGGGCGGTACCTGGCGTCGGGGTCGGCGTACATCTCCATGCGCAGGCTGTTGACGTTGGGGTCGACGACGGCCCAGGCGCCGCCGCGCAGCTCGGCGCCGGGCGGCACGTACACCAGCACCGGCGCCGCCGCGCCGCGCAGCGCGCGCACTATCTCCGCGCCGAACTTCAGGATCTGCTCGTACATGTCTGCATCGCACACGCACACGCACACGCACTCACTTACCATAGCGTTACTACGTTACGATACAAGCTCGGCGCCGCCCGTATATTGGCGAAATTAGAAAATAAATCTGTGCTACCATCTTTTTTTTTATGCAACTTAGAATGGCAAATAAGCTGACGGCCCACCTTGTAATGAGTGATTCCTTTATAACCTCTATATTTGTCTCGTTTTATAATTTTTGCATCTTTTTAATATGTAAAAACTCATTTTATTTTAAAAATAATTAAATATAAATATGTCAAAGTAGAAACGAGTCGGTTAATTTGACAATTAGCTGACAATAAATTGAGCCGTTTTTAAGACTCGATGCTCTATCTACAAGGTTTGTCCGGAAAGTACGTATAAAAGTTTTTTAAAAATTTTATTTTACAATTATTCAGGTAAATCAATTTTATCCCCTTCAAAGTACTCCCCCTGTGACATAATGCACTTGTGCCAACGCCGTTTCCACTGTGAGAAGGCTCCTTGAAGGTCCTCTGGTTGTAGGTTTCTCAGCTGCCCCGTCGTAGCTTTTTTTATCTCATTTATGTCCCCCAAATGCCGCCCCCGAAGTACCAATTTGGTTTTTGGGAACAAGAAGAAGTCACACGGGGCCAAATCCGGCGAATAGGGGTGGTGTTCGGTCACCGTAATGGAATTTTTACTCAAAAACTCACGGAACGATCTTGGCGCAAATTTTTTTCATTTGAAGTTCGTTTCTTAGAATTTCGTGGACCACGGTTTTGCCCAAATTAAGCTCTTCAGCCACCTGTCTGACCGTTAAACGACGGTCCCCATTAACACAAGTTCGAATTCTTTCCACGTTTTCGTCGGATGTGAAGTGGAAGGACGTCCTGAACGTGGGTCATCTTGAACGCTTTCTCGGCCCTCTCTGAATCTTTTTAGCCAATTGTGGACGGTTGGTTCCTTCACAGCATCATCCCCATAAACTGTTCTGAGATCGGCAAAAATTTCACGGCCATTCTTGCCGAGTTTCGAGAGAAACTTGATTACGACGCTGCTCTTCAACGGAAGCGGGCTTATAACGGGGTTTCGTTAAGAGGTCTTTTTAATACAGATGGCGTGAAAGCCATTTTATTTCAGACCAGAACTGAAATATTGTTAGGGACATAAGGAAGGGGTCCTGCGCTTACCTGGCCTCCCCACTCCTCTTTCTCGCAAAAAAGAACACTTTTATACGAACTTTCCGGACAGACTATCTATATATAATCTAAGGGCTGACCATTATATAAAAATCACCTTTCTGTCCACCACTGAAGCCTCGCCAATTAGCGAAGATCATGATAGGTAGACCCTCGCGGGAGAAGTCATTGATGGCCTGCGAGGTCTTATACGCAGAATCGGGGAACCACACCTGGCGAATAAACAAACAATTTATATTAGACAATTGATGATTGTTAGCAATTAAACTGACAGTCATTTTCCATGGGGAGAAAGGATTGTTAGTAATGGGCTCCCCATTGCTAGCAATATATCCTATCAGGTCACCCTCAACGCGGTTCTCCCTGGAAACCATCATGGTTAATTCTTGTCGATTTTTTCACGATGTCTCACTGGTGCCCCGACAGCGTATACTGATAGCGCAGACGGGGTTACCATTTCATTATCATCCAATAAAAAAATCATCCTATCCCTATCTTTATAATATAATCGGCGTAATATATATATATATATATATATATATATATATATATATATATATATATATATATATATATATATATATATATCATGATCTCATATCGCATATCTTTTGATTTCACACTGTTTATTCGAATGGCAGAAGGGGAAAAATGTTAGATCTTGATATTATTTTGCAAATATTTAATTCATTTATTACCATCATATTATATGAAGGTAAGATAGCTCGCGTATGGTGTTTGAGTGGTGAAATTTCTATTGTTAAACGTTGAAAATTATTTTATTTATTTCTAATCAGAAGTCTAAAACTAAAGTTTCGTACTGCTAGCTTCAATTATAAGAACTTATATATATATATATATATATATATATATATATATATATATATATATATATATATATATATATAAATTTGCATCGATCAAGATGTGTATTCAACACATGATAAAATTTCTTACTCATTTTCATTATTTTCCACAACCTAACACATTATTTAGTTTCTAAAATACTAAGTATACGGTGACAGAGTAGGTTGAGAATGTTCTTTTATGTAATGTGTAGAAGTATGCGCAGGGCGTGGTAGGCGCGCGACACGGACCTGGCCGGCCTGCTGCAGCGTCTTGGCCTCGGAGTCGAGGTTGGCGGGGTCGGCGGGCAGCGTGAGCTCCACCGTGCGCGTCTCCACCGCGATCACGCCCACCGGGATGCCGCCCAGCCGGGCGCGCCCTGCACGCCACAAACAATACCATACAAATCATCTTTTACCAGAGCGAGACTTTTAACTAAAGTCGATTGCTTGGCTACCTCTGTCCCATTCGTGTTTCTACCGTGAAGCAGTTGTGTTTGCATGGCTGTGTTTCGGTTTGAAGGGTGGGATATGGCGTGAATTTACTGAGTACAGAGGAATAACATCTGAGTCCTCAGGAGTGGCAACGCATGGGAGGTATCATGGGCGAAACAGTATACTCTGTTATGTCCATGGTACTGCTCATGTCTATAGGTGACGGTTACCACTTTCCATCAGGTGGGCCGTCAGCTTGTTTGCCATTCTAAGTTGTATAAAAAAAATCTTTATTCAAATAGATTTATTTGCCAGCTCTTTTAAATCGTCAATTACTGCTGGATTCGGGATGTTGTTGTCTGCTGAGGAAAACCTTGCTTGCGTGGCTATGATTCAGCTTGATATTACTTCGAAAAGAAATTTCAAAGTACAGGGGTATATCTTAATCTTCAAGAACAGCTAAAGCATGAGAAAATCCATAAGAATCACAACATATTCTGTAATGTTTATGTGTATGTCTATGATGTTATTACTATTTTCTCAAACATGCTTGGAAATGTGAGCATTATTTTGACAATCTTCTTAGAGATAAATCAAAATTGCCGTACTGGCCAAATACAAGCGGGCAGCGGCCGGTAAAAGTTGTATGAAAATCCATATCTGTCGTGTTTTGCGGCCAAATAAATTACTATGTAAACTCATATCTGTCTTGTAATTTAAAAATGGAATGACTTTTTACTTCGAAACATGGCTACCAAGGAGGTAACTAATAAAAATATTAAATTACTCTACATAATATAAATTCACAGAACCATAACGATCCATGAAAACAATAGTAATTGGCTATGACCATGCTGGACAGCAACATTTGAAATAATTTATATTAGGACTTTTTCTGGTGTTTCTTGAACATTTTTCTTCTTACAACATCCTGGGATTAACATGGAGTAGCAGAAGAGAAGAGTGCTCGACAATGAGGCGATCATAGGTCGTCATAATAACAGGTAATGATGATTAACGTGGCGTCGGTGGAGTATTACCTGTGATGACGGTCTGCGCCCAGGGTTTCATGATCTCGTCGAAGCTGCCGCGGTCGAAGAAGCCAGGCCGCGCCGCGTCCCCGGTCAGCAGCAGGCGAGGGTCGTGCGCGGCGCGAGGAGGCCGCCACTCCACGGGCCGGTCCACGGGATCGCCGCTGCGCATCATCGGCACGATGCTCAGCTTGTTCTGTCAGGAAGCGTTAACAAAAATAACTTTTAAAAAGTGAACGACTACTTATTGGTTACGTAAGGACTAAATTTTGAAAACGTAATACCCAATACAACGTAATATAACGCCCGTCGCCAGCGCACGGCGGTGGCGACGGGCACGACGGGCTGCAGGTGGGAGGGTGTGCGTGCGTACCTTGGGCACGTAGGACAGCCAGCGCACGGCGGTGGCGACGGGCTGCAGGTGGGAGGGTGTGCGTGCGTACCTTGGGCACGTAGGACAGCCAGCGCACGGCGGTGGCGACGGGCTGCAGGTGGGAGGGTGTGCGTGCGTACCTTGGGCACGTAGGACAGCCAGCGCACGGCGGTGGCGACGGCCTCCAGGTCGGAGGGCGCGACCGCGTGCGAGACGCCGTTGTGGTGCATGATGTGCGCGCCGCCGAGCTGGTTGTTGGACGCGTACACGGCGCGGCCCAGCACCTTGTTCAGCGCCGCGTACCCCGTCAGGATGATGTACGACGACTCCACCTGAATCACGCGGTGCCCCAGCCTGGGTACGCACGTCAATAACGGTTAAGTATATTCTCCAGTTTTTTTTGGAAACCACATCTCAAACATTAACGAGTAACAGTTACCACTTTCCATCAGGTAGAACGTCAGCTTGTTTAACATTCTAAATAACATAAATCTTAATATTAATAATAACATAATAACTCATCAAAAATTTGATACATCTCCTTTCCCATGGGTGTTAGAAGAGATGACTAAAAACATTTTATAATCGAGAAATGGGTAGTAGTGTCCCTCATAAAACATCATCAAAGCCTAGCTGCAGATGCTAGCTCGCCTGCCAAACGTGGCAACGACTAACCGATACTGATCGTACTGAGGAATAAGAATACTAACCGTACGACGTAGGAGCCGATGCCGATGGCGCGGCAGGTGACGATGGAGATGGTGACGACGTCCTCGTAGGCCTGCGCCGTCTCGCCCGCGATCAGCCCCGCGTCCCGCAGGCACTCCACGCCCAGCCCTTCCTCCTTGCCTGCCCGACAACATTACTGTTACTAGAGATACACCCAACATCGTATCTTGTGTTCATTCGCAACCATGGAAAATTAGGTATGGCCCGTGAAATCATCAATATGGACTCTCACTGATACCATGCCATTAGTATACCGAAATCATACGTGGATGTATTCCATAATCAATCATAAAAAAAACACGACAAGATATAACCTGGTTTCGCTCGATTTTAGTTTAACGAAGATAAAAACGCACATACAGTAAAAACTCTCTATTCACGGGGTACACATTCCGTGAATATGCCGCGAATACAGAAACCGTGAATATAGAAAGCCGAACCACTTATACAACTGTAGACGTATAGGTCTGTTTTACTTTTTTATTAACCCATTTACCAACACGTTTACAAAGAATACCGAAACCTTTTAATTAATATGTACCAATTAGATCCGCGAGTAAAGAATCTTTAGCCGCGAATATAGGAATCGGGTCGCAATTTTTTAAGCCGCGAATAGTGAAAACGTGAATAAAGGAAGCGTGAAAAAGAAACTTTTACTGTAGTTTATAGGCCTCACGCATGAGGCGGAAGTACTGGAGGTACTAGCGCAGCGTGAGAGCATGCCAAGCAACTAACCGATGATGTCGGTGATCTTGTATCTGGGCTCGCCCTCGTCGTCTATGAGCTGGGCCTTGACGGAGCCGAGCGGGCCGAGGCGCGAGTAGGCCTCGGGCGTGAGGTAGAGGTACTTGAAGCCGCGCTCGGGCCGCTCGCCGTCCACCCACGCCACGTTGAACTCCGACTTCACCTCCTCCGCCACGCCGATGCGGGCGCCGGAGTTCACGCTTATGTAAATCTAAAAAGCAAAAATAACATCTGTTATTTCACCACAAGAACAGCAGTAGCGTAAACTGAGTTAGAGTTTGAAATTAGAAGGCGTTGTGAATGTTTCCATTGGCCAATAGAAATTACTCATGATGATATCCAATGGGCACCGCGTGGAGGTTGACCTTATCATAATGCTAACAATGCGTGTTTCGATCATCAATCTTTTCCCTTTTTAGAGGCGTAAATAAAATTTTATTCTTGACTTATTATATTTATTAATGAATAGATATACAGATAGTTAGACTGTAAATTTTATACTATATAAAAATAACTTGAAAACTTTGTTACGTTGTACACACATCTACCTATTCTCTCGAAAAGCAATTAGTTTTTTTTTTTTTTTTATAAAGACTTGACAGTTCTATCTCTCCGGTGTTCACGGGGTGAATAGCAACGGCTTGTCTGGTGTTGCTATACGAAGAACATTATGTGCATTATTTCTCCTTATGTGCGTAGACAATGAGACTTTAGCCTATTTTAGAGGGATGGGGCCCAATTACGAACAATCCCTTTTCCCCCGGAAGGAGATTATAAGTAATGGGGCTAACATATTGCTTGTAAGTTGAATGTGTTTCCTACTAAAAATTATCATGGGTAATTCTTAGTGAATTTCTCAACTGCCTGAATGTCATGTCCACTTCACCACACTTCACTTCGACCCATATTTAATAGTAAAAAAATATGTCAGATAATATTTATTTATGGTATTCGGTAGACTTACCCTCGGTATTCTGAGCTCCCTCGCATACTGTGAAGCCTTGTAGTACACCATATCCTCCTGAGGTCCAAAGGATCCCATGTAGTATGTGAGGTCGTTAGCAATAAGGATGATGTCGCGACCATCGGGACACTCCGGCGTGTACAGCGTCAAACGCCAAGCCACCATGCCCACCTGTTTAAAAATAAATTAATTATGAATTACCTATTAAAAATAGGTATAGATCTGAAGCCAAATTTTAGCTCCTAGTTTACCGGGAATTTAAACATAAAATAATATATATACAACTAATTTTAAAAGTTGTCTGAAAGAGATTGCTTTAACGATCTGGTCTGCCTTTTATACGTTACTAGCGACACGCCCCGGCTTCGCATGAGTGCAAATTACATCACATCACATTAGAAACCTCTAAAATTATCAGTGTTCCTCTACTATATTATGCATGAATTATACATATAAACCTTCCACTTGAATCACTCTATCTATTAAAAAAAACGCATCAAAATCTGTTATGTAGTTTTAAAGATCTAAGCATACATAGAGGCAGACAGACGGGATGCGACTTTCTTTTATATTCTTCAAAGGGGGGTAAAGAGGTTTCTTCAGGGTCGGCAACGCGCGCGTAATACCTCTGGTATTGTAGGGGTTCATAGGCTACGGTAACCGCTTACCAACAGGTGGGCCGTATGCTTGTTTTCCACCTCAGTGGTATAAAAAAAAACAAGGGAAAAAAATTATTATCATTAAATTTAATCTCACCAGATGTTACTACAAGCTAGACTATGAGACTTACCGTATTCTGTCCGGGCAGGCGGGTGACTTCTACAACACGCCGTTCGCCGTCAGGTTCTATCACCAACTCCACGGATGACATTACGTTGTCTGGCTGCGGACCTGCGGACATCAAGAACAATTTTTTTAATGTATAATGGAATGGTAACCTCGCCTATGCTATCGATATACACTGGCGGGGTACCAATGAAAGATGACAGATGCTGATGAAAGCATCCTGACGAATTCAACTAGAATTAACCACAATTGTTTCTAGATAGACCTAATAGCATACATTGTTAGGGGGAAAGGGATTGTTAGTAATGGAGACTGAGAATTGCTAGCAATATACCCAACCAGGTCGACCTCCACGCGCTTCCCCCTGGAAACTATCATGATTAATTCCTGATGAATTCATCATGATGGGCTAACTGGTCTGTTTTCATTCTCATCTATCACCCTTCACTGGTGCTCCGCCAGCGTATCCCGTTAGCGCAGGCGAGGTTACCATTCCATTTTCACCCATCAAAAAAATACTAGCATACATTGCTAGTAATGGGGCTATTCGACCCCATTACCAACAATTCCTTTTTCCCTGAGAACATTGTTACACTGATAGAAGAGAGGAAGACATTGCAATAACAATAATAGAGTTCTTAATGGTAGGGCTTAACATCCTTTTACTATCATTTTATATACACATACAAACATTTGTATTTATAAGTATATCTGTATTGGTTTGGGTGTTTTGTAATAACTGGAACGAAAAGTTGTCTATGCGCTTCTCTATCCCAAATAGTATGTGTATACCAAATTTCATGACGTTTGATTATGCCATTAAGTCAAAGAGGTAACAATTTCAATATCAAATTCACAATATTATAAATAATAAAAAATATATATAAAAAATGTTTACCATCGACGCTGCCCTCCTCGATGCAGTCCCGCCAGCGTCGCTCCACCGTCTGCCGGAACATGTCCGGAATATCGTACACGTATGTGGTGCCTTGTGATGTCGCCTGTAATAATACACCACATATGAATCATTTTAAACAGAACAGTACAAAAAACAAGATCAATAACAAACTTTTTGGTCTACCAGAAGAAAGAATTTTTTGTTCTACAAAAAAGAGGATGGTGATAGTGGTGATGGTGAAATACTGAGACATAACTACATGGGACAGATAAAGGAAACACTAGGTGTCATGTCGTATAGGAAAATCAAAGATGTGTCATATTGGAATAGAGCTGGCTGGAAGAGAATGCATAAATTAGTTGCATCGACAAGAGGAAACTATCAAATAAAAAGACAGAGTACTCAACAAATAGTAGGTAATCTATTGGTTTCGGTATACACTAATACGACTATGTATATTATTCGAAGATACAATCATTTAGATATCACCCATACCGGTACAATATTTTTATTAGCTTTTTGTCCACCATTGTCCTCATTCTTTTCTTAAGAATTCTATATCCTATAATTTTACTGTACAATAAAGTGTTATAAATAAACAAACAAAATCACTTTCACATATATAATATTATTAACTCACCAGGAATCTCTTCTGCTGCAAGTAATCTTTAGTAACATACGGCGTAGAGATCGGCAGGCCGTGCATCGGACCCTGCCGCGGCCCGTACGAGTGGAACATTATCTGAAAACAAAAAAAAAATCAAAATCTGTGGTAGTACAAATGTAACTTATAAACATGTCTTCCGAACTAAGGATTAGTAATATATAGCAATACCTATATATTATTATTTTCATAATAGTACATTACTGCAGCGGCCGGCAACTGATTGATGGACGAACGTGCAAATGTGGGCCGAGGTGTAGCCGAGGTACACATACGTGAGTCCATCAATGCCTAGTTGTGGCCAAGGCTTGTATAGTACTTTTCTCAAACAATGCGCGGAAATCAAAAACACAATTTTACTTTTTAAGTTCAATGACGAATAACGAACAATAGTATTTTGTCATTACCCATAATATTCCTTTGTTTTTTTTTCAATAAATAGCTTTCTATTTGTAAGCCAGTTCGAAGTAACCTTACAGATTTTCAGTTAATAATTAAAATCGGTTCAAAATGTACGAATTATCAGGATATATTTCCCACATTTTAAACCTATAATAATAAACACAAAAATAAAGGCTTATTGAAACTCGCCTCCTATTAGAAAATATTCAAAACTAGTTTTGGCCAAATTTGAAAACTTTACATTCAACTTAGCTGTATCATGTCTTCTCTCGCGTGAATAAGTACCTAAAGTATCCTATATACTAATTTACGATATAACCAAACAGTGAACCAAAATTTTATTCAAATCCCTTCAGCAGTTTTTGCGTGAAAGAATCACAAACATACATCCATCTGTCCTTCAACTTTATATACTTTCATCTTTATAATATTGTAAATGTAAATTGGGACTCCTTTTCCGCGCTAAGCCTCTCATTTAAGCCATTGTGTGTATGAGTCGTGGCTAGTACAGCCAGCTCCGCCCAAAAGCTCAGAAGCTTCTTTGGAACTTCATCCTTACGGAGCGACCTTACTGTTCCGAGGATTTCTAAACATTGAGGGGTCACGGTTTCACATTTCAGGACATTTTTAATTTTAACTACTAGCGCATCCAATCCCGCGTTAACTGCTGGCACTCACCACTCCTGTGTTGGGGTCTGACACCTCTTCGTAAGTGTAGACGTCCAGTGAGTATCCCGACCCGTTGGAGAGACACAGCCGTACGTTCTTGGTTGGTGCTCCGGGTCCTACATAGAAAAAAGATAAACATTCTTGTAATATACAATTGCAGTTGTACCCGTTTGTATTATTTTTTTTTTCTTATTGTATTTTGTTAAGAGAGGGACTGGCTGAAAACTAGCGCTGTGCAACTATACACACTGCACTGGGACACTCGCAGCATCAGCTGAGCCAGTTTCTTTTGCCCCTATTTGGTACACTTCAAAATATTTCTGTTGTAACTATGTATTTTCCGGGCAAAGAATATTTTCTATTTAATTCTATATCTTTAAATACAACATTCTTAATATCGTGTTTAGATTTTTTGTTTAAATAACAATAATGATTTATTTACGTCTTAAATATCGACAACAGGCTAACAACACTACTTCTATAATAAATATTTACAATAAAAAATACAAATTCGTGATGTTTTACAAACATTACACTTACTATTTAAAAAAAAATACAATAAAAAAAAATATGAAGGCTGGATATTAGGAAATAAGCTACTGAGCTAACGTTTGCCACTAGTTTTATGAACGAGTCGACTCTGGAACTCTCGTGTCGAAATATCGAGAGTATACAAAGATATAGACTGGGTAAATGTAATTGCTTAGCGATAAAGCCGCCCATTGTTGCCTCTTTATTTTGCTTTCATGTAATTAAAGCTTGTGTAATTAATTATTCATTTTGTTTGTGTACATATTATTAATTATTAATATTTATATAATCTGTACCATTCTTTTAAAGGAAACAATAAAGAGTGTTCATTCATTCATAAATACGTTATAATTACTGCACTGCGATAACTCCATTTCCGGGGTAAGGGATTGTTAGTTATGGGGTCTAACAGCCCTATTGCCAACAATATACCCCCCTATCAGGTCAACTTCCACGTGGTTCCCCTGGAAACCATCGTAGTTAATTCTTGAAGAACTCATCATGATGGGCAAACTGACCTACTTTGATCTTTCACCTATCACCCCTCCCTGGTACCCCGCCAGAGTATACTGATAGCGCAGGAATGACATCCCCAGATATCATTCCATTATAATGGAACGATAATTATCATTCATACAAAACAAAAAACTCCATTTCCACATCACTACTTTGTACGAAAGTCGATTGCTTGGGTACCTCTGTCCCATTCGTGTTTCAACCGTGAAGCAGTTGTGTTTGCATGGCTGTGTTTCGGTTTGAAGGGTGGGATATGGCGTGAATTTACTGGGTACAGAGGAATAACATCTGAGTCCTCAGGAATGGCAACGCATGGGGGGTATCATGGGCAAAACAATATACTCTGTTATGTCCATGGTACTGCTCATGTCTATAGGCCACGGTTACCACTTTCCATCAGGTGGGCCGTCAGCTTGTTTGCCATTTTAAGTTGTATAAAAAAAATCCACGGGATAGAAAGGTGTGGCCCATTCTATGCCGGGATCACAAGACAAAAACGGTGGATTTGATAACCCAGGTAAATTATCATAATTTAACTAAACGGCCGCATTAATTCCAGTCTGTTATAAGCCAACGATGTATATTTTGTAAATATCATTTATTCATACACACCGATCCTGAGTGTGAATCTAATCTCTGCTTGGAGCACCCTAAGTTTCCAGAGGCGGGGTCCGTACCTCATCACCATACCCAGCACAGACTCCTCGATCTGTAATTAAAAGAAGTTAAATTATTTATCTGCAGATGAATATTTGACTACAGAATAATTTTCATTTTTTTTTTCTACAAAGATACCAATTTCAATTTCGACAAAGTTAACATGGAAGCAATACCAAATTTTTCGAATGAAAAATTATCGAAACCAGTTCACAATAAAATAATGCCGGTAGTAAAATATTACATACAAACAAAAAACGTACACTTAAATTGATGATATTTGAATGAATGTTTGAAACAATAAATTAAATGATTATTCTGAATGAATGAAAATTTTAATTATGCTCTGCTACCAATAAATACCATTTTATACACCCTACCTTCACTGACATATACTCACTTTGGCAGGGTCCATGATGACAGTGGGCCCGAAGTTGAGGAATATGTGGTTGCAGTCAGTGCGCTTCGCCAACGGGTGGGAGAAGGCCACCTCCAGCTCGTCCATCGCCTCCAACAGGACCCTGGACCATCAAAACCACCATTAGAAAATACTGTCCAAAGTAATCTGCTTACTTACTCATGTTTGTACCATTAAGCAGTTGTGTATGCATTTATATATTGCAATTTCAGAGTGCAATGAGGCAGTTTTCTTTTTATAACAGGGACCATTTTAGTTACTAAAATTTGTTTTTGTTATCTGTTGTTATGTCTATGTATGTCACTGTATAAATTATTTTTCTTCTTTCTTTTTTTATTCCCTCATCATAACATCAAACAATATATTTAACAGAAATAAAGACTTGAGTTAAATTCTCAAATGAATTAATTTAATAAAATTTTTCTGTGTTGTAACACAGCTAGGCCACCTAACTGTTTATAATTACTCCTTTCCATCCAAAGGTTGCCTGGAAGAGATTGCTTTTACGAATAAAGCCGCCCATTGTTTTCTCACTGTGATCATTTCTTGTAATTGTTTGTATCTATAATAAGATTAGAATTGTAATATTTTGGAAGGAAACAATAAAGAGTATCTATCTATCTAATTAGTGTTATTTTCTCGCCCATAATAAAGTAAATAAAGAGATGTGAAATTCAAAAAACAAATACATCCATAATGTCCATGTTAGGAGGTTAATGAACTCACTGTCATTTACATAGATATTGATTAAAAAAATGTACATAGGTACATCCTCATTACTAACCTTTCACCTTCATTCTGTAAATACTCGAAACTGGCCTCTTTAGTGATAAGATCCTGATGCCGGATAATGGACCGGATGAAGAAGCGGTAATCTGTAACCTCTTGGCCTTTCTTCACCTGAAATGAATTAAACAATGTTCAATTGACAACTCAGATTTAACAACTTTGTTTTAATTTAATTTAAAATAATCAAGCAGCGTCGTATTATGATACCAGCTTGGTTCTCTCAACTCGGTTCAAATACAGACTATGAGAATTGATGACAATTCCAAGCTCTCAGGGGATAGTGAGCCCTTAAGTCTAAGGCGAAACTTTGCTTCCCTTCGTGTGTTCTACCGCTTGTATAACGGATTGTTCTGAGGAATTGTTTGAAATGATGCATACAGACACCTTTTGTCGTCGTACCGCTCGCGATTGACAATATGAATTTACCCTCACATACTAGAACCTAATTAGTCGCGTACAGTGTGATGTGTAGTATGGCAATGTATAATAAGATACATTCCGTAACCATATCAAAATGCATGTGTTAAATAATTTCATATTAGCACAGAATAGGGAATTTAAAAGATTCTAATTAAAATCAGAGTATTAATGATGTAAATCTGAAATACAACCATCAATAAGTGCATTTTACACTCTGCCACTGAGGGTGTCATTTGGAGGTTTCAGAAAGTTTTCAAGCTATTATATATGCTTATTTGCCTTTTTCGTGGTATAAAAAAAAAATATTTAAAACAATAACTATATTAGACTTTACTTTGTACAAAAGTCGATTGCTTGGGTACCTCTGTCCCATTCGTGTTTCTACCCTGAGGCAGTTGTGTTTGCACGGCTGTGTTTCGGTTTGAAGGGTGGGATATGGCGTGAATTTACTGGGTACAGAGGAATAACACCTGAGTCCTCAGGAATGGCAATGCATCGGGAGTATCATGGGCGAAACAGTATACTCTGTTATGTCCATGGTACTGCTCATGTCTGTAGGCGACGGTTACCACTTTACAACAGGTGGGCCTTCAGCTTGTTTGCCATTCTAAGTTGTATAAAAAAAAAGATAGCCACAATGGTTTTTAGGGGGGACCGCATCGACATGACAAGGATTTTCTATTTGGAATTTTGGCTATCTTATACTGAAAAATAGTTTTTTGATGCATCTTAATACTTCCTAGTAAAGAAAGAGTTGATAAACAGTATGTTGTTACTGCATCACCAGACAGAGAGCTCACCTTAGCCTTGCCCAAATACAAATGCATCTTCTGGTTGCTAGTGGGCAGCGCCTCGAGCTCGTAACTCCTCATCCTGTACAGCTCCAGCTGGAAGGCGGACGCTGGCTCCAGGTGGCGATAGATGGTGTCCTCGGTGAAGTCGTTACGGGCACGGTACGTGAAGAACTTGGGGAATTGGCGCCTGCAATTATTTTGTCATGAAATTTACAACCGCAGTTAGGCTTTGATGATATTTTAAGAGGGACGCTGCTGCCTGTACCTTGACCATTAAATTATTTTAGTCACCTCCTACGACACCCACGAGAAAAGAAGGGATGGCCCATTCTATGCCGGGACTTTATGACAATTGGCGAGTATCTAGAGGGAGTTACCAGAGGGAGACTTTGTACAATAGTCGATTGCTTGGGTACCTCTGTCCCATGCGTGTTTCAACCGTGTAGCAGCTGTGTTTGCATGGCTGTGTTTCGGTTTGAAGGGTGGGATATGGCGTGAATTTACTGGGTACAGAGGAATAACACCTGAGTTCTCAGGAATGGCAACGCATGGCGGGTGTTATGGGCGAAACAGTATACTCTGTTATGTCCATGGTACTGCTCATGTCTACAGGCGACGGTTACCACTTTCTATCAGGTGGACCGTCAGCTTGTTTGCCAATCTAAGATGTATAAAAAAAATCTAACTGCGGTAGTCAATCCGCCTGTTAGGCGTGGCAACTACTAGCAAAACTCTCTTTATTATTTCGAAATAAATAAATGATAAGCAAGCAAATAAAAAATAATCAAACCGAAGTGGCAAAGGGCTGGTCACACACGAATTGATCCCGAAACTAATTGAGCTTTCTCGATATAATTACACGTAAATTAAACAGGTAGTTATTACTTTAAAATATCTCCATAAGTTATTGACACTTATTAATTCCTCTCTTTTGTACAGAGTCTCCCTCTGGTGATGATGATGAAACAAACAAGCGTAGTACTGACTTGATGAGCGACATGAAGGTGATGCGCCGTATCCGCTTGTGGTGCAGCTCGTGGCGGTGCGCGCGGCAGAAGTTGCCGAAGCGGCGCGACACCGCCCCGTCGTCGCTCTCGCCCGTGTCTCGTACCCCGATCATCAGGATATGGATCGGCTCCAGTGGCTGAAATAATATATTTAAAATTTAAATATTCTACACTAAATTTTTTTTGTATTTAATTTATTTTTTCTGTATATTTAAAACAAACATTACTAACAAAACTTTTTTTTTATATAATTTAAATATTAGCATTATTTATTTATTTATTCAGTCCAAATTGTGTATAGTCGTAATCAACATTCACAACCATAGAGGTCAGAATACAGAATAGGTTGATTTTTAATACAAAAAAAATTAATATATAAAAATAAATATATATATAAAAACAAATATACTTAAATATGACAAAACTTATACAAAATTCATGAATAATATAAACTATTAGGTTGTCAGTGTATGTAAAGTGCTTCGATACAATGAAAATTTCTGATAGAATTATGATGAGAATTAATATGCAACTTAAATATTAGATATTCACAAGTAATTACACCAATTAAGAGTTATTTAATACGAAAATCATTCGATAACTCATCACATGATCACAAAATTAATGGATGAAAATATGATTATGCTCAACAACATCAAATTTTTGTTTTTTTTTTTATTGTGATTAAAAAATAATTTAACATTTTATTCCACAAAAAAAGGACTTAAATTTTGATAAAACCAGATATTTTGATTTAAAAACTAAACTACTAAACTGATTTTGATGAAATTTCTATGGGTCTATATCAATCTGTAAGTACATTCTCTCAGGTAAGAAAAAGAATATTTCAAATCGGAACCAAGCAACCTTCAGTAAGGTGGTAGCATACATAAAAAAAGATTCGAAGGAGTTTAAAACCCGTCCTTTTTTAAAGCCGGTTAAAAAATCCGTCGACATACTCAATCCATCCAAAGCGACATACTCACCACATCATCAGCATCAGGAATGGCCTTGTAGTCGTGTCCTACATTGATGCTTGTGCTGTCGCGACTCTCGCTGCCCTCCTGCAGTACTTGCAGATCCTGATAACAATTATGAATTAACTTAGCAAAGTAGGTTGCCGCTCATGTCTAAGGGTCGAGGATGATCCCGAAACTAATGGAGCTTTAGGGGCGCCATATTAGTTTTATATTGAGGCCTTGTTACCTACAGTAAAAGATCATGTACGCTCGAAAATCATAACCCTTTTAACGAAATAAACAGAGGTCAGTCACTTTAAAAAGCACACAGATATCTCCTAGAGTCTAGATGTCTGTGTGCTCTTTTAAGTGTCTAGGACCTAGTAATATCTCTGTCCATACCTGAGAACTCCACTACAAATTCCGCCATTTTTTTTTTGTATGCGCCATTCAGTACCATGCACATAACAGAGTATACTGTTTTTCCCATGATACCCCCCATGCGTTGCCATTCCTGAGGACTCAGATGTTATTCCTCTGTACCCAGTAAATTCACGCCAAGACAGAGGACAGACAGACAACACCTCTACAAAGGTGTACATAAGTTCGCCGTGTAGTCCCGGCATAAAATGGGCCATCCCTGCCTTTCCCGTGAGTGTCGTTAGAGGTAACTAAGATAACTCAATAGTCGAGGGATGGGCAGTACTGTCCCTTTTAAAACATCACCAAAGCTGTGTTGCGGTCGCCAACCTACTTGCCAAGCATGGCAACTACTAGTAGAACCTTCCGGGAAAGGCCTATGTTCAACAGTGGACAGTTAACGGACTAATATGATGATATAGTGGTACAACAGCATAGTTCTAAATAATGATAAGGGATACCATGGATATCACAGAGCAATCCATCAGGTGGGCCGTAAGCTTGTTTGCCATTCAATATTCCAATTAATATTGATAAGACAACTCACTTCTCTTCTAACAGTCGCCGAACTGGCGAAGTCATGCACCAAATCTAGCAGCTCGTCGGCGTACTGCACGAACTGGTCGAAGGACGTGAACGCAGCCAGGGCACCGGTTCTGTGGTGGCATTTCCTCATCGCCGCGGTGCACAGCTCTGCCGGTATACCCTCCTGGTCCTGGGCGGCCGAGAGCTCGATCTCCGATTGGCTGATTGGAATCCTGGTGACATATTATTTGTTGAATATAAATTGGCCGTTTTGGAGGGGAAGGGATTGTTAGTAATATGGACTACTAGTCCCATTGTTAGCAAATTACCCTGTCAGGTCGACCTTCACGTGGTCCCCGCTGGAAACCATCTGAATAACTGGCCTGTCTTTTTATCTTTACCTATCACTCCTCACTGGTGCCTCGCCAGTGTATACCAATAGCACAGACGGATTACCAATCCATTATAACCCATTTAAAAAACCGTTGATAATAATTCATTCTCTTTTCAGTTGATCTTACTACGGATCATGTTGTCTCTGTATTAACTCAGGACGGTGTGGCCACATACCGTGGTATAATAATAAAAGGAGATGTACCTGTTGGGGTGTCCTGTGGGCAGCACGAACTGGAAGTGCACGACGCCGAGCTCGCCGGACAGCGCCAGGTGCTGCAGGCACGCGATGTCGTACGACGTGTACGCGCGCCGCACGTACACCTCCAGTGCTGCGTTGCACACCTGCCGATGTCAACACGCATCTATCACTACTATCACGCCCCGGACACAACATTCAAAATTACCAAAATATCAACTGGGCGATTAGTCGTCAAGTAAACTTTGTCGGGAAAAATTATGTATGGGGGCATAAAAATTTTAGAAATGTTCAAGTGGTGCATAGCACAAAAAAGGTTGGGAAACACTGCTATAATATATATACATTCAAGATTATTTATTTGTAAAACATACGTATAAATACATGCAGATGTTAACAATACAGTGTCGTTCAAAATGTTTAGCCTGTATGGCATACAAACATATGTAGTTACACAGACAGTTAAAAATTATACGTACAAGTAAATTTCATACATCATTACATTCTAATTTTAAATACATTTTAATAAATAATAATAATAATTGTCAGGCGAAAATAAAAGTACGATGTCACAATAATGTTAATAAATATAAATAAACTAGCGACCCGATACGTACTTCGCTACGTATAAAGTGAAATAACAAAAAAAAATTTTAACATCATATTTATAATTATCGCTGACAATTTTTAATTGAAGCACGTCCAAAATGAAATGACCGCATGAATAACATAAAACATGCTTGTACTGTCAACACTGAAAAAAGTTTCAATTTGACAGCATAATCCCCATTAAAAAAAAATTAATTTGACAGAAAAATCCACCATTTATATATATATATATATATATATATATATATATATATATATATATATATATATATATATATATATATAGTGCGTAGGCACTTTTTTTAAATTTATTCATAGCTATGGATACAAGTCCTTCAGTCGCATACATAAAGGTTTCGACATAAAGTAAACCACCCCTTCTTTTCCCGTGGATGTCGTAAGAGGCGACTAAGAGAGGGCGAGGGATGGGCAGCAGCTTCCCTCTTAAAACATCTCTAAAGCAGTATCCCAGAAATGCGTAATTACACATGTTCACTTTTAATTGAAAATACTCCAAATATTATAATTTTTCGATACTGGCAAGTTAAAGTAATAATTTTTGTTATTTAGTATGGCGACTCTTCGCCATCTCTCGTGGTATAACATTCAAAAGTTTATTGTTCTCGTAAATTAGAGTTTATTTATAATTTATGGATATAAGATTTAAGCAAATAAAATACATTTATTATATATTTCAACAAAATAGTGTATGGTAGAATAGATTTCCGATGGCAACAATCGTGGTAAGTCTGGCAGCCAGCTCTTAGTTTTAACTTAGGTATTTAGATAACCTGCAGTGTAACAGGGAATCAAAATTAGATTGGTAAGTCATTCTCTCTTTTATATTTTTATATATTAGTAAATTATAAATTCACGATACAGTCCACTAACACTTTTTATCATAACCGAAGGAAATTCAACACACATTACAGTTAAAAAAATCTTATTGAATAAAAATCCATTTTTTCAAAAGTAACATATCGTTACCACTTACCGCTGCATTGGAGTGATAAAAGAAATCGTGCAGTATATCGAATATGGACGTTTCCGACAGTATCAGCTTCTGCAAGTTCTCCGGGTGGAAGTCGTGGCCGTACATGTCCACCGCCGACAGGAATATCGACTCCATCTGGTTGTGGCGGAGCTCGTACGCCGGCTGGTGAGCCGCTATTAACACCTGACAGTGAATGGATAAAAATAATTATTGTTCAAGTAAACATAAATACAAACATTTTTGAATGGTCACCTATCATCCCTTACTGGTGCCCCGCCATTGTATACGGATAGCGCAGGCGGAGTTACCATTCTATTATCACCATTAAAAAAAAAATTAACCTGACTTCATTGCTTATACTGGTTCACCACTATGTAAATAAGTGGCGTTACCATTCAACTGTCATTCATATAAGAAAATTGTATAAAAGCATACCTGTCTTGCTCTGAGCGCGACCCTGCTGTGCTCAGCTCTGTGCAGCGAGGTCAGCTCATTGAGGGTGGCGGCCAGCTCGTCCGTCAGCCCGGGCTCGTTGGACCACAGGTGGTCGATCAGGAGTGTCACCTAATAAGGAAATATTTTTATATTTAGTACATAGTTAAAATGTAGATCAGCCTTTTTTTATACAACTTAGAATGGCAAACAAGCCGACGGCGCACCTGATGGAAAGTGGTAACCGCCTAGGTAGCCTTTCCCAAAGTGGGCGATAACGCCCCCTTGTGGGCGTTGCAGGCCTAAAGGGAGGCGGTAAGATACCCAGAAAAAATTTATTAACTTATACAATAATTGATTAATTTGAAGTAATAGTAGTTTTTAAGTAGGTGAAAAAATGGAGGCACCAAAAATATTTTTTTCTCAAAGCGGGCAGTAGACAAAATAAGTTTGGGAACCCCTGATGTAGATAGATAGATAGATAGATACTCTTTATTGATTCCTTAAAAAGATTACAATAGTAAACTTATTATAAATATAAACAATTACAAGAAATAATCACAGTGAGAAAACAATGGGCGACCTTATCGCTAAAAGCGATCTCTTCCAGGCAACCTTTGGATGGAGAGGAGTAATTATAAACAGTTTGATCGGAGGCACGACGAAAATTCTATTATTTTTAAATAGGAAGACGTAATACATGTAATAATGTAAATATATATATATTTACAATAATATACAATTGTAACTATAATAAATTACTTACTTCCCTTACTAATGATATGCCATATGGCATTAAGCTCTCTATTAAGACTTATCAACGTAGGGTCAACATTATGTACATGTACAAACCAGTAAATTCTTCTTGGAGACTTGATTGTGCGAGAATATAATGTTGGCCACCGCTTGCATGTCGTCCTTGTAGCGGTCGCGGAGAGCCACCACGCACTTGTCGTACGACCCTGGAACAATTACGAAAAAAAAATAATTTAATGAAATTTTTGTCCCACTACTAGGCCATTGGACTAACAATGGGGATTATCAAACCCTTTACTAGCGATATAGAGTATACTGTTTCGCTCATGATACACCCCATGCGTTGCCATTCCTGAGGACTCATGTGTTATTCCTCTGTACCCAGTAAATTCACGCCATATCCCACCCTTCAAACCGAAACACAGCCATGCAAACACAACTGATTTACAGTGGAAACACGAATGGGACAAAGGTACCCGAGCAATCGACTTTTGTACAAAGTCTACCTTGCCAGAATATACTCAAGAAGAGATATTATTTCATATTCTTATTTATTATTTATCTTGTAGAAAACAATCAGACAGTAGCATATATTTTTCTCATATAGGAAATACTTACCGAGCTGGAAGTGGCTTTCCACCAGGTAATACTGCTTGAGTAGGTCGTGCACGGCTGCCTTCATACGACCGCGGATGCCATTCCTATGAATATAATATTAATTTAAACATATTAATATATATGAAAGATAAGCAAGCTGAAGTGACAATGGTTTTTTTTTTTAGTGAAGATGGAATGGTAACCCCGCCTGCGCTAACGGAATACGTTGGCAGAGCACCAGTGAAGGGTGATAGATGAGAATGAAAACAGGCCAGTTAGCCCATCATGATGAATTCATCAGGAATTAACCATGAGAGTTTCCAGGGGGAACCGCGAAAAAGTCGACCATAGGCATACCCAACCAGTATATTGCTAGCAATGGAATTCTCAGTCTCCATTACTAACAATCCCTTTCCCCCAGTGACAATGGGCTAGTCACATAGCTTGAGGAACCGACAACCGATGGGGAAGAAATTTTCTTAAGTAGCCACACTGTAGGTAAATGCAGTGTAAAACAAGCCCCCACTAGATGGAGTGACGACCTTAAATGCATTGCAGAGAGTCAGTGAATTCAGGTGGCTCAGAACCATTCCTTATAGCAATCTATAGAGGAGGCCTATGTTCAACAATGGACAGAAAAAGGCTGAGATGATGATGATTTAAAAAAATATAATAGTGTTGTGTTGCCACATACAATTATAAAATCCTAACAGTAATAGTTATTTATTAACTTGAAGTTGTTTTGTTTTTTTATACAACTTAGAATGGCAAACAAGCTGACGACCCACCTGATGGAAAGTGGTAACCGTCGCCTATAGACATGAGCAGTACCATGGACATAACAGAGTATACTGTTTCGCCCATGATACCCCCCATGCGTTGCCATTCCTGAGGACTCGGGTGTTATTCCTCTGTACCCAGTAAATTCACGCCATATCCCACCCTTCAAACTGAAACACAGCTATGTAAACACTACTGCTTCACGGTAGAAACAGGAATGGGACAGAGGTACCCAAGCAATCGATTTCTCTTCAAAAGTTGCCAGATACATAAGCAATATATATTTTTAGTGTCGCGAAACTGCTTTGCAGTTTGTCTGTAGCTCTGTACTCTTGTACATAAAGCTACATGCACATATCTTATGTTGGTGATACCCTATAATATCTCTCTTACCTGTACCTCTGCACGAGTAAAACGAGCGCTTGAGTGCTCATGAAGAACACGTCTCTGTCAGCTCGTTTCGCGAGCGACGCCGCGTGGCTGTAACTAGTGTTTATTTTATTTAATTAATCTAAACATTTTATATGTATTTGAGAAAAATAGGGACCTTTAAAGAAATAATATAATACTGTTTATTACGTCCAATACAGTCTTAATATTTTTTTCATAAAAAGGTACCAAGTTTAGTTGAAACTATGACGGGAAACATTTATTTATTTATTAATTTATTCATTAGTACAAATATGTGTAAATGGCGGACTTAATGCTAAAAGCATTCTCTCCCAGTCAACCAAACATTAAATGAAATTAGTAATAAATTGATACATTCCTTAATTTTTTTTTTTTGTACTATTATTGGACATCAGACATGTTTTTACCCATGAACGCTCAAGTTATGGAATGAGCTTCCTGTCGAAATTTTTCCCAGAGACTACAACATGGGTTCTTCAAAAAAGGGGTAAAGAGGTTTCTTCAGGGTGGACAACGCGCGCTTAATGTTTCTGGTATTGCTGGCGTTCATAGGCTATGATAACCGCTTACCATCAGGTGAGTCGCATACTTGTTTGTCACCTCAGTGGTATAAAAAAACCGAGCAATTTCCTTTTGTTCACATTTTCATTGTATTTTATTGATACATACTATAGTATTTTTATTTATTGGAGAGTGGTAATGCATCAGATGACTCGCCTGATGAAAAATAGTCCCTGTTTTTGACCAAATTGCCTATCTGACTTATTATCAAGTAACTTTTAAATGTAAAAAAAAAAAAGTAAAAATGTATTTATAATCAAAACATGTATAAGCAAAAAGTTCAATAATGATTCCTACACTAGGATGCCCTGTAGGAAACTGGATTAGTTTTACAATATACATTATAGTAATACAGATAAATATTTACGTATTAGTTTATATAAAGCATTTGTCTTTTTTAAAATAAAATTTTACAACTTTTACCCGACTTTACCTTGTGACTTCTGCGTGATCAAGGTTTGTTTATTGACTGATAAAAACAATAGTCTATCTCCTTCTCTATCTCCAAATTATTCATAATGATTGATTAAACAGTTAAAACACCAAGAGATAATTAACAAACAAACAGACATTAAAACATGATCATGTCCATAGTATAGTTCTTATATATAGTTATATAATTAGTCCATACGATGGAGTTATTGAGAAATTTATATAGTTACATAGGATCCTCATGCCTGAGAATTAACACGCAATTGTCTCTCGCGACAGAGATTCCGTACACTCACTGATCTATGACACTGGCGATCTGCTGACTGGGGAACTGCGCCAGCACACTGGTGATGTTCCTCTCGTACAGCGCCATCAGTTTCCGCACCTTCTTCTCCACGGCTATTGGGATACGACCGGATGTTGACGAGAGTACCTGATGGTATAATTTGCATAAATTATTAGTACTTTTATATTATAAATTATTAACCGTGTGGATCCCGGCATAGATTAGGCCACCCCTTCCTTTTCCTTGAATATCGTAAAAGACGACTAAGGCTATTATATTCAGCAGTAGATACAATATTATTACTATTATACGTTGGGCTAATCATTACATATTAGAGATCAAATGATGGTGAAACCGTCATTTTCGAATAAATATAGACAGAAGGACCTTACAGAGAATTTTATAAATTTTTAAAGGGCCGCCAACGCCTTGATATCAGTATCCATGGGCTGTAATAATCACTTACTATTAGATGAATCGCATATACCGAGTGGTAAAAATTTACAGTACATGGATGGACATTTCGGAGTACAAGACGTGATCTAAGTTCGGAATAGAGATATGTGAAGCCATAAGGTGAGATTTACCCAACAGTGGAACCCGAGTAAAAGTCACATATTTCCAAGTTAACGGAGGTTTCTAAATTTTAACCAGCTCAAGATACACATTTTTTTTTTTATTTTCTATTTATTTTCAAAACGTGAGATATCGACTTCGCGATTATTTCATTAAAACCCAAACAAACTTACCTCTTGCAGTTCCAGCAGGGGTAGTGAGGGGTCACGTAGGCTCTGCATGAATTTCTCCACCACCTCGCGTAGTCTGGGCGTGTTGTATGGCTCGGGTAAGCAATAACCTGAATTTAAAATAATATCAGAGGTCAATGTAAATATCCTAAACTAGCTGAGCCAAAATATTAACTAATAAAACATATATACTAAAGTTTTTTTTTAGATTGACGACCTCAATAGCACACCAGTAAGCAAACTGCTTTACGTTAAGGTTTTTTTTTTTTATACAACTTAGAAAGGCAAACAAGCTAACGGCCCACCTGATGGAAAGTGGTAACCGTCGCCTACAGACATGAGCAGTGCCATGGACTTAACAGAGATATACTGCTTCGCCCATGATACCCCCCATGCGTTGCCATTCCTGAGGACTCAGGTGTTATTCCTCTGTACCCTGTAAATTCACGCCATATCCCACCCTTCAAACCGAACTCACAGCCATGCAAACACAACTGCTTCACGGTAGAAACACAAATGGGACAGAGGTACCCAAGCAATCGGGTTTGATTGTTTGGGACAAACCAATTCAAGAAACAAACTTTTTGCGTCTCACTTGGGTCTAAGTGTTCTAGGTTATGACCCAAGATGTTTGTAGCCTGGTTCCTCATAACACAGAATATTCTATATTCCTCATACAAACAGTATGGGATTCTTCAGAAAGTGTAATAGTTCTTCAGAGTCGGCATCGCCCACGTGACACCCCCAGCATTGCACGCGTCTATAGACCATTTACCATCAGACAGGCTGTATGCTTGTTTGCCACCTTCGTAGTATAAAAAAATTCTAGCTTGAGGACCATGCCATTTTATTTATTTATAATTAATTAATTTGTTATTATTTTATCATTCTAAAAGACCTAAGATATTTACCTGCCAGCGTATTTTCCAATATGGCCCTATATTTGTTGTGGGCGTGGTTTAGTTTCTCCGATACTTGCGGGTTGTCCTCCAGCGGGAACTGTGACTTGTACGGCTGAGCTGTCGTCACCAACGACGGGTCGTCGAGTTCTACGACAAATAAATATGGCATAGTATAAGACAAAATATATATGTGGATGTGGGAAAGAAATGATAGGATATGAAGGTATAACACCAGTTGTCAGGGATGGTACCATATGAAGACTGATGCCTACCATTATACCTATATCTCATGCATTACTATTATATACTATTAGTGTATGTTCACGACACTGTTCATATCTACAATATATGGGATGACAGTTACCACTTTCCATCGGGTAGGCCGTCAGCCTGTTTACCGTTCTATCATAAAAATATGGACCCAAGTTATGTCATTATGTAAAATAACAACTTCTTGTGAACACACTGATAAAAAACGTGACGTTTCTTAGATATCCTACAAAATTTTGGAGTCTACCATGAAATGAGGCCCTGAATTTTCAGAAAATATTCCATGGTAGGCCCTCTTGTTTCGTACATATAGATTTTAGTTCATAACAAGTAGTTATTCGCTCTGTAAACAAAAACAACAGCTTTCATTGTCAAAAAATTAATATAGGACTAACAGTAAACCCTATCGACTGCAAAAAGAATGTGAAAATTGATACAAAATTGATAACGTAATCGGGTAACATACATAAATAATTAAGACTGTGTTCCACAGACACTGAATTCAGTTTTTTTTTTTTTTTTTTTATACAAGATTCAGTTCTGCCAAAATCATTTATTTTGATTTCAAAACTAAACTACTCAACTGATTTTGATAAAGTTACTATGAGACCAATCTATAAGTATATCCTTATAGAAAAAAAAAATCCAAATCAGCTTACAACTGATGGAACTATGAGGCAACAAACATAAAAAATATATTCAAATTGAGAAACTCCTTGTTTTTAAAGTTGGTCGAAAATTCAAATGAAGTGTGAATTTAAAATACGAGTAGAATATCAATGGGTACTTCATTCTTTTCAAGTCGGTTGATAAAATGATAAATTATACTAAAACTGCTTACCCAGAGTTCCAATAAGCGAGCCCATATCAAGGACGGCACCAGGCCTCAAGTTCCACGTCACCTTGCCCGACTCCGGCGCGGATAATGTCATCACCATTTTCATCACCTAACATCAAACAAGAACATAATTGAGTTTGTATTACAAATTAATGACTAAACTTATACCATGGGGTGTTAATGGTTACATATATATGGTGCCGTGTGGTGCCGGCATAGAATGGGCCGCCCCTTGCTTTCATGTGGGAGTCGTAAAAAGCGACTAAGGGAACTTAATAGCCGAAAGATAAGCAGCAGCGTCCCTCATAAAACAGCACCAGACCAGAGGGAGACTTTGTACAAAAGTCGATTGCTTGGGTACCTCTGTCCCATTCGTGTTTCAACCGTGAAGCAGTTGTGTTTGTATGGCTGTGTTTCGGTTTGAAGGGTGGGATATGGCAGTGAATTTACAAGCTACAGAGGAATAACACTTGAGTCCTCAGGAAAGGCAACGCATGGGGGTATCATGGGCGAAACAGTAACCAAATAGTTGCCAACCCGCCTACCAAGAGTGGCAACTACTAGCAAAACCCTCGTTAAGGGCCTATGCTCAGCAGTGGACAGTTAAGGGCTAATATGACGACGATATACACTATCTATTGTACTGTAATCATTTGGAGGGAATAATATTGGGCTTATTTTATACATTTACAATGTACTAACCTCAATCTCAGCATAGGGCTGCCCCTTGTCCACGTGTCCGCCATCTTCGACCAATGTGTTAATCAATTTGCCAGCAGAGGGCGCCCTCAGTTTGGACGGGTCTTTCTCCTTCTCGAAGACCACAGTCTGGTTACCGATCACTATCCGGTATTTATCGACCTCGTCTTTCAAATATGTGGTGTATGATGCGCCGTCGATTGAGAGCAGTATACCTGACACAAAGTAATACATAAATAGGTATTTTATGGGTAAACAAGTATATAAACTTAGGTCTTGGAGTCATTGCCCATCACGTGAAGTAAACCAAACAATATAACAATGTATGCAAGGACCTTGATATTTTCCAACAATCCTTGCAATGTTACATTAAGACTGTCAATTTGTTACTTTAAAATTTATAGCCGTCATTCTTTTAATGTATATAATATCGAATGTTATGCAGAGCAGTTGTCGGAGTGCAAATTTAATGCTGTTTTATGTAATATTTATTTTATTAATGTATTAATTTGTAATCTGTTGCCTTGCTATAAATAAATAAATAAATTAGTTAAAAAAAAACGAATTAAAATTTACGCCCCACAAAGAAACTGACTTCAAATGTGATTAAACCGATAAGTTATCATTTAATACACGCAAAAAAAATATATATTAATATAAACAAATTGAAAATCTCTCTCTATTGGAAGTCGCATAAAAATACGATTAAACAGTATATTCTGTCTGTTCTCCTTTAACCAAAGGTTGTCTGTAAGAGATTGCCCTAGCGTTAAGACCGCCTTTTGTACCTTTATATTTGAATCTGTATTTAATTTACTGTATTTCACTTGAACTATTCACTTGTCATTGTATATTTTTATATATGGTGCAATAAAGAGTTAAATAAATAAATATATTGTTTTGCTTACCACCATCAGTCAGATTATGCACCTCCATCTCCTTGAAACTGCCGTTCATGGCGAGGAAGTAAGAGTTGGGCCCTGATTTGGTCGCTTGCACCTTGTACTTATGACCGCTGTGTATTAGCTCCACATCTACGCAGTTGGACAGTTGACTAGATCCTTGGATTTGACCTCTGGAAACAAAAATAATAAAGTAAAATATATATTCTATCATTAAAAAAGAATATTATTGTCAAAAAAACGTGAGTTGATAAAATAATAAAAAAAAAATACGAGGCTCAAATTTTTTTGCCTTTTTAACTGACTTCAAAAAAGGAAAGTTCTTAATTCGGTTGCATTTTTTTTATATTTGTTACCTCAAAACACTGTTGGTTTTGCTAATAGTTGCCACACTTGACAGGCGGATTGACAATCACAGTTATTTGGTGATGTTTTAAAAGGGACACTGCTGCCCATCCCTCGCCCTCCTTTAGTCGCCTCTTACGACACCCAAGGGAAAGGAAGGGAGTGAACTATTGTATGGCGAGACCTCACGGGATACAGGGATGGATTCACACGGGATGGAGCAGGATACATGCCATCTTCTATCCCGGTCACGCAGAATTCGTGGGTAAAAGCGAGTAATTTATAAAGCTTACTTCTCCAGCGCGCTCTTGAACTCTAGAAGGTGCGCCGTGATGATGTTGTCAGCTATGAGTATTGAGCCACATAACACTCCAAGCATTATATCCGGCTTCTCCGCTTGCACCTGGTAAAGTAAAAAAATAGCAATATAAAAAAAATGAGGCATAGCTTCTCAAGAGTAGCAATAATTGGTCACTGAACTACTGTATATAAAGTTGGATAAAACTTTTTAACATTTTCTTACCATTTTTATGTAAAAACAACATAAGCTATTTCTCATTTTTTACATTAGTAATGCGGAGTCACGCCAGGCAGCTAAGATATAATATGTCTACTAACAAATAGTACTTACTCTCTCAGCAATAAGAGCATCCAGCCAGCTGGTATCTATATTATTTTCCTGGAAGGCAGTCGTCTCTAACAACGTGATCAGGTACTCCACGGTGGTGCGGAAGTCGCCGCGAATACTCAACTCCTTAAGCGCTATGACCAGATTCCTGAGAGAAACAATAAGTTAGACAAGCGATACCAGAATTATCTTATTTACGTATGGATTGACGTTGTGTTTTTTTTTTGCATATGTATGTATGTGTATTTGTATTAAATGTATGGTAGACAATACAGTGTGCTTGCTACATTTGCACAGTAAAGGATAACGCTTTTGTTCTTGTATTGGGGGGAAAGGGATTGTTAGTAATGGAGACTGAGAATCCTATTGCTGGCAATATACCCAACCAGGTCGATCTCCTCGCGGTTCCCCCTGGAAACTATTATGGTTAACTCCTGATGAATTCATCATGATGGGCTAACTGGCCTGTTTTCATTCTCATCTATCACCCTTCACTAGTGCTCCGCCTGCGTATCCCGTTAGCGCAAGCGGGGTTACCATACCATCTTCACCCATAAAAAAAAAACGCTTTTGTTCTCAAGACCGGCACCAACTAAATAATTCACTACAACTACTAATGTTTACTATGATCTATCAATTTAATAGAGTTTACTGGGCTACTAGGTCTGCTATGGCAGAGGTGCTCAAATTTGAACTGCTGGCTATCTACCTCAATATTGTTAAACTATGACCGGTCGACTCTGAGAGGTTGCAAGTATGTTTAATGAAAGAATGTTGTCTCGGTAGAGTATATCGTAGCTATTAATTTTTTCACACAATATGCATTTTTTTTGTCAAAGTTAACAGTCTACTTGTCTACTACAGTCTATTGGTATACATTTGTTTATTATTTAAAATTTAATTAAGTTATAGTCTACCAATGTAATGTGGTCTACTGTGTGGTTAACTTACTCTCTAGCTTGCTCCCTCGTCTCTCCCCAAGAGAAGCAGTGCCCGAACTGCGAGTCTGCAAACTCATGCAACCCCCCGGAGGCGGCCACACTGAAATACCCCCACACATTCTTCGAAGACCTGAAGTTAAGCTCCTGGACGGTACCAGACGATGGCTTGAAACCTGGTTACAAAATTTTATTTATTTTAAATAATTTCAGAAGTGTGGACTGAAAGACGATGTAGTGACAAAAATCGAAAAAGGAATGTTGCGTTGGTTTGGTCATTTGGAGAGGATGGATGAAAGAAGAATTACGAAAGAGATTTATCGAGCAAGAATGAATGGAGATATCGGTAGGGGCCGCCCTAGACGGACATATGTCGATCAAATAGGCGACGTGCTGAAGAAGGGCCAAATTAAAAGTACCCGTAACCGGCGAGCGTGTATGACAAGATTGATGAATGTGGAAGAAGAGAAAGAGGTTTGTTTAAATCGAAGCATTTGGCGTTCCATTGTTTCTGCCTACCCTAATGGGAGACAGGCGTGACAAATATATATGTATGTATGTAAATAATTTCAATAATCCAAAATTTAATTATTTTTTGTGAAATATGACTAAAAAGAATGCTGATTTAATCTACACTTAAGTCACAGTTAATCATTCAAAATTGATATTAGTTTTTATTTATATCTCCCTTTCATCTCTTCCCTCTTTAAGGTGAGATTATAATAACCTAATAAATTTTTTAGCTAATAGATGTAAATTTCACGTAACATTTCAATCGATCCCCTTCTAACCCTCTTATATGAAATTTAGTGAAATTTTAGTTACAAACTTAGTATTTTGGATAACATGCTATACTATGCCTTATAGTGTAATGTTCCTTTTTACCTTCATCAGGGTTCTCCGAGGTGATCCTGGCCGCTATCACATGTCCCCACGGCGAAGGTCGCTGCTTGGGCTCGTCGAAATCCAGCTGAGTCATGCCCCATGGAGACTCCCCGTATAGCAGGCGGATGTCTTTGATGTGGTATAGTGGGAGACCCATGGCAATCTGAAAACATATATTTTTTGTAAGGAGGATAATGGATTGGTAACTCCACCTGCATTATCAGTATACATTGACGGGACACCAGAGAGGGATGATAGAGTACGAAAGTCACTCAGTTGACCCGTCGTGACAAATTCATCAAGCATTAACCGATTAATGCACACCTCTGTGACTTATACGGGCGACGTTTACCGGCAGAATTGTGCAGCTCCGTGAACGTCACGGTCACTGTAATTTTATATATCTCAAAATATTACAGCTCTGTATGGGTCACGCTTAATATAGAAATATAATTTTCCAAATATTTTAAGTCCGTATCTGTCACGTTGGATGGTAGATTATTGCCATTCTCGGATTTTTTGCATAAATTAGTTAAAATAAGCATATTATTTAATAATTATTTGCAAAAAATAATTTTTTTTTTGTACCTAACTTTATTAAAAAAATGTGCATTATGGGGTTAACCATGACGGTTTCTAAAAGGAATCACGTATACCAGATAGGGTACAAATCCTTGGTTTAGGGTTTTATTTGGAGTTTTTTTTCTATCCTTCCCTAAAAAATAGTACTTTGTTGCATTTTATGACTTCCTAGGAATTAAAGATTTGATAGACATGAAGGTCGGACCTGTCAGAGGCCGCCCTATTAGTAGCTATATACTCTGTCAGGTGGTGTACTCTGCCTAGTGGCCGTCATCGATAAGTAAAGGTACACATGAGGTCGACCTGGAGCTGGGCGGCGGGCAGGTTGACGTCGGCGACCATCTCGGTGCAGGGGTGCTCGACCTGCAGGCGCGGGTTGAGCTCGAGGAAGTAGTAGGCGCCGGTGGCGGGCTCGTACAGGTACTCCACCGTGCCCGCGCTCACGTAGCCCACCATCTTGGCCAGCCGCACCGCCGCCTGCGCACCACACCAGCACGTGTATCAGACAGCATAATTCCAACAGACTCATCATCTTCACCACATAAACATGAATAGATAAACAAGAAAATTATGGAGCCTCTTACACGGCCAGTCCTGGCTATAAAATGGTAGGCCCAAAATTATTTGACATATTAATGAATTTATAAGTTTAATTTTTTTTTTATACAACTTAGAATGGCAAACAAGCTGACGGCCCACCTGATGGAAAGTGATAACTGTCGCCTATAGACATGAGCAGTACCATGGACATAACAGAGTATACTGTTTCGCCCATGATACCCCCCATGCGTTGCCATTCCTAAGGACTCAGATGTTATTCCTCTGTACCCAGTAAATTTACGCCATATCCCACCCTTCAAACTATAACACAGCCATGCAAACACAACTGCTTTACGGTTGAAACACGCATGGGACAGAGGTACCTAAGCAATCGACTTTTGTACAAAGTCTCCCTCTTCGTAACTTTATAGTTTCAACAAATCCTTCTCAATTCAGACGAACTCAAAACGCCATTGTTTTGAAAATTGCTTAAAATCAATTTGTGGCTTTGTTAAGAGGCATAGTGTCAGCCACTGCTAAACATAGCCTCCCCCATAAGGAAGGCTTTGCCAGTAATTATCACGCTTGGCAGGCAGGTTAGCAAACAGTTTAGTTTTTATTAATGTTGTAAGAGGGACACTGCTGCCCATCCCTCGCCTTCCCTTAGTCGCCTCTTACGACACCCACAGGAAAAGTTTATTTTATGCCAGGACCACGCGGCCAAATAAAATTACACTTTCATAAAACATTTCTCAATTCAGACAATTTCAAAACGTTCTTCTTTCGAGATATAATAACTAACAAAGAGAACTTTTTGATAAACTATATTAACTAAATGTCCAAGTCGTACACTGTGACGTTACATAGCCGTCAGCTCGTCTTTCCCCACTTTCCAATAACATACCTTTTCCATTTCAATGAAAACATCAGGGTTGGCAATAGCCGCTGGCGCCTCCTCTATGATCTTCTGGTGGCGACGCTGGATCGAACAGTCGCGGCCGAACAGAGAGATCGCGTTTCCTGCAAATATATAAGGCTTTTTAATCACGAACACATATAACGAACAGTTTCCCACTGTTTATAAAGATAACCACTTAAAATATCGGAAATAAGTGTCTTTATACAATTTACTACTATTTAAACTCACCATATTGATCGGCTAAGAGCTGCACTTCCAAATGCCTGGCTGATTTGGCCAGCTTCATCACGAAAATTGGTGAGCCTGGAACTTCTGCTTGCACCTGTTATTAAAATAATTAAAAAAAAAAACTTTTAATAAAGTGAATTTCCTTACAGTCTATCAAAGGTTTGTCGATGGCATACCATAATATGAAGAATTTCGAACTGTATAAAAACTGACCTGTCGGAACATGTTGTTGAAGTCATCAGGGTTTTCCACCTTCCTGATGCCTTTGCCACCACCACCTTCTGATGCCTTAATCATTACGGGGAAACCTGAAAATTTCAATTTAAATTAAACGATATACATTTACATTTCTGCTTATGGATATGGTGGCTTTAGTTGTTAAGCATTTAATAATAGTTGTAAGCTATATATATATATTTATATATTTCTCCGTACTTATTGTTATACATGTATCAATATATGCTGTGTTTGCGTATAAAAAATTATTACACTTAGTTCTAAGCTCCATAATTGTACATATATTTACATTATTTTGTGGAAACAATTGTTGGGAAACCTAAATAAATAAATTATAAGCGACTAGAAACAACGGAGACTCTGTCACACCAATTGCCGTAAGTAAATTAGACTGTAATATTTCAAGAGGGACGCTACTGCCCATTCTTCGACTAGTAAGTTTTCTTAGTCGCCTCTTACGATACTTACGGGAAAAGAAGGAGTGGCTCATTCTATGCCGTCGTATTATTAAATATGCAATCTTTCTAGAGTTTTTTGATCTACATACCAATTTTATTAGCAGCCTGTAGCCCTTGTTCGGGGGAAGTGACACATCCCTTGGCGAACAGTTCCGACGATATTTTGATTTTCTTAGTGTTGTACTCCGCTTTAAGATCTGAAATAAACAAATAGTAATAACAGATTGAGATTCCTGTTGGAATAGGGCATAACATATATATAAAAAAAAATATTAAGATTGTATTCAACAAAATAAAAACCAACTTCAATTATGGCGTAAGCAGTTATTTTGATTTCTAAACTATATATATAATTCTCAACCGATTTTGATAACATTTCTATGAAACCAATCAGTAAGTACATCCTTTCAGAAAAAAAAAATCTTAAATCGGTTTACAACAGACCTAGAATTATAAAGTAACAAACAAAAAATTCGAAACAAAAAATTAGATAAACACTCGTATATCGAGGTACCACTGTATAAGGTTCAGCAGTCAACGGAAAATCCGCGACTGAATTTACAACTAGCTGCTACATTTGATCGCCGATCTTCCGCGGTGGAAGATCGTCGATTTATTAAAAGCGGCGCTATCGTATCCCAATCCTATCGCTAGGATATGGATCCATATCGACTCACCGCTCCCGCTCCAAGGCAGCGTCGGTATGTCGGCTGTCTGCGCGACTATGGAGGACGCTATCTTGTCGCCGAGGGCCCACATGGCCTTCTCCGGGGGTCCGATGAACACGACACCGGCGCGGTGGAGCAACTCGGGAAGTTTTGGGTTCTCTGACGCGTGACCCCAGCCTGCCCAAACAGCCTGGAAATCAATAAAGATTATTTAGCTTTATATGAATAGTACCAGTCATTACAATGAATGTGAATGAATGATGTTCACATCATCATCACCACTGCCTTGCCTTTTCGCGTTAATTTGGAGTTGTTACAGTATGTTCTTCCACAAATTCCTGTCAACTGTACTGTGCTCACTCACCTTTTACATTTTTTCTACGCAACTTAGAATGGCAAACAAGCTTTTTATTTATTTATTTTTTTATACAACATAGAATGGCAAACAAGCTGACGGTCCACCTGATGGAAAGTGGTAACCGTCGCCTATAGACATGAGCAGTACCATGGACATAACAGAGTATACTGTTTCGCTCATGATACTCCCTCATGCGTTGGCATTCCTGAGGATTCAGGTGTTATTCCTCTGTACCCTGTAAATTCACTGCCATATCCTACCCTTCATATCGGAGGGGGGGGGGGGGTTGTTGTTAGTAATGGGGTCTAACAGCTCCATAACTAGCTATGTATGTATCAGGTCGACCTCCACGCGGTTTCCCCTGGAAACCATCATGGTAATTCTCGTGGAATTCTTCACGATGGACTAACTGACCTGCTTTCATCCTCAGCTATCACCTCTCACTGGTGCCCCGCCAGCGTATATCGATAGCGCAGGCAGGGTTACCATTCCATTTTCACCCATTAAAAAAAAACCTTTAAACCGAAACACAGGCATAAAAACACAACTGTAAAAACACGAATGGAAGAGAATCGCGGTTAAAGACCGTGTTAATATACAAACTGTACATACCTGCACTTGTGTGCGTATAGCTATGTCCACGATGAGCTCCACGTTCGCGTAGTTGTTGTTGTTGGAGCCGCCGGGCACCGGCACGTAGTGGTCCGCCATCTTTATGTACTCCGCATTGGCCTTCAGATCCTCCGGGGTCACCTACCAACAGCGACCATTGCATATATATATAATTTTATTTATATATATAATTTTAGAAAACTTGGGTCCATTTTTGTTTGTAAATGTACTAAAAAACTATGTTAATACTTAGATAGATAGATACTCTTTATTGTTCCCTCCAAAAGATTACAATAGTAATTATTTAATTACTAATAATGATCTAACATATTACAAAAACAAAATGTACTGCCATTATACAAAAAATTAAATAGATAATGGCTGATACAAAAAAATTGTGTATATGTAAATCGAAAATAGCAGAAGTTTGTTTTTATATTAACATTAGATACTAATGATTCATCATTTGTATGTTTAATATTATTTAACTATTATTTGGAACCAACTTAAAAAAAGGAATTTGTCAATTTGGTAGTATTTTTTTAATGTTTGTTACGTCATAACTCTGTCCGTTATAAACAGTTTTGGAATAATCTTTTTTTTTATCTGAAAAGATATACTTTTAAACTGGTCCCATAGAAATTTTATCAAAATCGATTTACTAGTTCCGTTCTAAAAACAAAGTAACTGGAGTCTTTACTTAAAACTAAATGAATATGCTACAATTGTCAGTTTTTTTTTTTTTTGTGTAACAATCTTAATTATTTCAGTTACTTTTATGAATATTAACGATAGACGTACGAGCCTAAAGTCAATGACCCGTGTAATCACTGTTCAAGTAAAAATAGGTGTAGTAGTATATTAAACATTAAAAACATTTACATTACATTTTATTGAGCATTTAACATCACTGGAGTCATATAATTTCGTCTTTCATTTGAATATGTGTTCCACAAAAAAAAAATTATGTCTATGGTGTAAAAAAAGTTGTTTTGGTATAAACTAAAAAATTGGTGAAACAATTTTGGTAACTTTCCTATGGGACCAATCTTTAAATATGTCAGGTTGTGGAATAAGCTCTCTGCCGAGGTTTTCCCAAGAGACTACAGCATGGGGTTCTTCAAAAGGGGGGTAAAGAGGTTTCTTCAGGGTCGGCAACGCACGCGTAATACCTCTGGTATTGCAGGTGTTCATAGGCTATGGTAACCACTTACCATCAGGTAAGTGGTTACCATAGCCTATGAACCGTATAGCCGTATGCTTGTTTGCCACCACAGTGGTATAAAAAAAATTGTCCTTTCAGATAATAAATAGAATTTTCCAAATGGGTTTATAACTGATAGAGTTATTGAGATTACAAACAAAAAAAAAACCGAATTGAGAACCCTTATTACTTTTGACGTCGGTTAAAGATCTACTACCGCTTATCTACGAAACTGCTCAAGCGACATTGAAATTTTGTAAACGTACAGTTTGCTCCATTGTCAGAAACGGGAGTTTTTATTCTGATAAGACAAAATAGGCCCTGTAAGTGGCGATAGGAGATAAAACAACATTAGCTAAATCATTTAGTTAAAAATAAAACAAATATGCTTATTATTATTATTCCAGCCGTTAACTGTCCACTGCTGGACTTCCCTATAAGTTTTGCCAGTAGTTGCCACGCTTCGCCTGCCAAGCGTGGCAATCGCAGTTAGGCCTATGAGGACGTTTTAAGAGAGACGCTGCTGCCCATTCCTCGCCCTCCTATAGTCGCCTCTTACGACACCAACGAGAAATGAAGGAGTGGCCCATTCCATGCCGGAGCACACACGGCGAAAACATAGTTAATTCAAGGAAAAAAATATTGTTAGTAATGAGGTCTAACAGCTCCACTACTAGCAATAAAAGGCATATTGCTAGCAATATGCCAGGTCACCCTTCATGCGGTTCCCCTGGAAACCATTGTGGTTAATGACCTGCTTTTATCCTCACTCCTCACTAGTGCCATGCCAATGTATACCGATAGCGCATACAAGGTTCCTATTCCATTTAAATCTATTAAAACACAGTTGACTCACCATCACAACAAAACGGACGGCTCTCTCGTTCTTGAACATCTCGTATGACCATCTTCTGATCGATCTCATACATTTTACAGCGCCAATACCGTTGTTTGCAATCAGTACCTGCAACATAAATGCTTTATTGATTGATTGGCATATATATGATATATAATTTTAGTATGTATGTATATCATCAATTAGTAGTACCGCATTCGAGTATTCTAACACCTCCTTATGATTGACTAGGAGAGAATACTTTGAGCATTAAGTCAGCCATGTACACATATATGTACTAATGAATAAATAATAAATTGCCCAATTCAAACTTTTCTAATTAATTCACTAATCAAGCAGTTAGCTTTACAATTACATCAATTCTTCATTCTCATATTAGGATATCCTAGGATTAAACTAGGATAGGTATTGTGAGGGGATACCCTGTATTCCCTCTGGAAACCATTATAGTTAGTTGTATTACTTAATAATTGCTGTGAATATCTGAACTGTAGCAACATGGATTTTATTTATTTTGTTTATTAATTAACCTGACTTTATGGACCGTGTATGTATAACTCATTCTTATACATAGTTTCTCTCATACATGCACTTACATTACTTGCATACACCGACTCTAACTTGCTTACCTTGTTTAGAATTATAATTTTCATTTGTATAATTAAAATTCGTTATTAGCTGTATTTATAAAACACTTAGCAGGTAAGTTATTTTTTTAAGAGCTGTGGATTTTTGTATTAAATAAATAAATAATTCTTGTAGAATTCATCACAATTTGATTTCATTAGTTTATACTGATATCGCAGACAGAGACTTTTTTTTTAACAAACTTAGAATGGCAAGCAAGGCCCACCTGATGGAAAGTGGTAACTGTCGCCTATAGACATAAGCAGTACCATGGACATAACAGAGTATACTGTTTCGCCCATGATACCCCCCATGCGTTACTGAGGACTCAGGTGTTATTCCTCTGTACCCAGTAAAGTCGCGCCATATCCTACCCTTCAAACCGAAACACAGCCATGCAAACACAACTGCTTCATGGTAGAAACACGAATGGGACAGAGGTACCCAAGCAATCAACTTTTCTACAAAGTCTCTCTCTGGTATTCCATTTTCCCCCATTAAATATACTATACTGTGATAAACAAACAAAACTTGTATTGTGGCTAATGGATATTTGAACCATAGAATCACAATATATCCAAGTCTAAGTTGGATTATGAAAATTTTAGTCTAAACAACAAGAATCTGATTCTTCATTAATAAAAAATAAACTAACATTATAAGAACTTGTGGATGATACAAAAAAAGGTATAGAACTCACCTTATTAATAGGTTTAGTGCCCTGAAACCTCCTAACAAACTCTTCAGGGGTGGCAACTGTGAAATCCTTCTCTTGAAATCGTTGACTGTGAATCACAGTCCCTTGGGACATAGACGGCCTGTAAAATACAATACATTTAATTTTTAATATGTTATGTTATAGACACTTATCCAGCCAGGGTTTAGTTATATATACAAAATTATATCAAGTATATAATTTTGTAATTTTATAAGTGTCATTATTTTAGATTTTTGCAGTTATCTTTATACTTAAAATAAACATTTTTTTTAATAAAAACCTATTAATCATGTATATTAGATTTATCTTGTCAAATATATTATTATTATTATTGGCCATAGAACACAGGAAATTGGTGCGTTTTAAACAAATATCTATATATTTGTTTTATTAAGTATTTATATACCACGTAGAAAGTTAGTAAAACTGTAGAGGTAGAATGTCTGTAGATAGAAGAATAAAAACCGAGTCACACGGGAATTTGTTACAAGTGAAATAGATACATCCAGACTTTTTTCTAATTTTTTATTTCTCTGTCTGTTTGTACAGGCTATTCTCCAAAACTGTTGGAACAATTTAAATGAAATTTTGCATATTGGTACCTCACATTTATCACATTATCAAAATACAGTTTTTAAGAATTTTAGTCTAACATAGATATAGCTATTTGTGGAAAATTATTCTGAACTGAAATAACAGAGTTCAAATTTGCACACCTTTGACCTCCTGCCATGTCCAATAATAACTCATTTATAGAGATGCTTTGATATGATATCATTTAATTGGTTTGACCCCGAGTGCTTTCAATAAAATAAATCCAAACAACTGAATAGTCATTATTGATATTTGTTTATATTTTTTATGGAAGAGATAAGTTTATTTACAAGATAAGAAGAATTGTGATATTTTTTTACATATAGCTTTTATTATTAAGACTTGAAATCAGAAATGGACTGATAAAAAGTGATAAAAGACGTTTATATACTTAGACATCACAGAATATACTATGACATCCATCTATATTGTGCATTGCTATTCCTTAAGGCAAGAGTACTATGTCTATGAATCTAGTAGTTAGTCTAATGAATCTAAAAATAAATAATGAAAATAGATTAAATTAAAATAAAATGATAAAAAAATAGATTAAAATAAAGATAAAAAGCTTTACATTAGCAATGGGAAGACTAACAACAATACTACATAAACTAAGGGCATAAATATAAAGCTAATTTTTAAGCCCAATGTAAAATGCATGTAAGAAAAACAAGATTATGTAGCATTTACTTAAAACATTTTTTTTTGTAGTTTTATTTCATAATATAAAAAAAAAATCAAAATAGAGCTACCTACTACACAATAATAATAAAGATAAAAAAAAAATCATATGCATAGATAGTTATCTATCACACTCTGCACATAAATTTCTATATACTAAATTAGTACAGACAAAATATTCTAGTATATTATAAAATCACCTGCAACATCTCACTAGTAGAAACATTTTGTATTATTGTTCTGTAATAATGCACTAAATGATAAATAAAAAATAATCACAATGGATAAATAGTATTATTTCATGTTCACTAATGAAAAGTGCAACTGAACAAATAAAGAAAATTAAGCAAGACATGAATTAATTAGAAATTGTACAACCTTCCAGTAAGTGAAACTAAGTGAAATCACTTTGGCATACATTCTAACACCCTTTGCAATGTAGTCTATTTATGAGACATAATTAAAAGAATATATGTTTATTTTTAAATCATTCTATTGAGGGTCATCCACCTCAATTAAATAGATCGATTTTTTTAAGTCATGTAAGTTAATAACAACAAAATAACAATTCTAACCTGTATGGACTTTCTGAATACAATCCATTCATACTAGGATACATTTTCACAATTATAATACGCAATTGCATAAAACTTACAATACTATATCATTAAGAAACTTTATTGGATTATTAAAATTATAATTCAAGAACATTTCACCGCCGAAAGTTGTAAATCGGTTTTTGTTTTCGTTGGTACTTTGACACTTTGACATGAGAATCACCAATGAAACATAAATGACAGATCATACGATCGTATTGTCTCGTTCACACTGACCAATTACCATGAGAGCGAAAGAGATATATAATCAATTATTGAAAGTTGCCTTGTTGAGAACACAAAATCAAAAATCGTAAATTTCAACTATGCATCTCGGAAAAATGAAATAAAACTTAGTATGTTACTATTTATTTTTACTATACAAAATATATTAAATATATCAATTGATAAACTATTGTATATAGTATTTTTATACACATGTGTTAATCATTTAATTTGTTTTTGTTTTAATGTTATACATATCGTATTTTTTTTATTATACATCACCTTTTTTTTTTTTTTTGTGTTAATCATTTAATTCTCTAAAATATTGTTAAAATGTTTTGCAAGTTATAGATGTTAAGTCCTTAATTGTTTGTGGTGAGAAATATAATAAATAAATAAATTTAATTCTCTAAATTCGAAGCTGTGATTAAGTATTAATTTAAAAACTACTAATAACTACCAAATGGTTTTAAGAATAAGTTTTTAAAGAGTAGGACCGATCAAAACAAAACAACCAAAAAAACTAGTTCCATTTGTTGCAAATTTGCAATATTTTATTATTTGGGACATTTGAATGTAACATATTTTCTTAGAGTTCTTGGGACTATTTTTATACTTTACTTTTATCAGGTCACTCGACTGAACCCCTTGACTTTCCGTTGTCGTTGTGCCTGTGCAAATACAGCATTACCATGGCTATAGTACTATGGCGTATTACTGGCCATCATAATACGCCTTTTATATTTTTCTACTGATTTCTTTCGTCTTATGTTTTACAATTCTATCATTCATAGTCTATGTTCTCCTACTGATGAACACGTGATAAAAGAGAATTACAATATCAAGCAATTACAACCTGTTTCTCTTAAGTACGTTATACTATATGTGGCTATGTCAACTAAGATTATTGAGACGTTATTCTTAAGATAAACATTATATATTTATCTTTTATATATAAGAATAAGATAGGATTTTTATGGCTAACTATTTATATCTAATAAAGACAAATCTGCGATATCTAGCAAGTTAAATACTCACCGACCAAGAATAAAATAATAGATAAAGTAATGCATAAAATAATTTACCAATCATTAGCATCACTCGATCCTTGTTCAGACCTGAAGGTGTAGTTAAAAACACATAAATATGTATAAAAAATACTACATGTTTTATCTAGAACATATTTTTTTGTATTACTAGGTTTTTTGTGAATGATAATAGAATAGTGACCCCGCCTGCGCTATCGGTATACACTAGCGGGGCACCAGATGATAGGTGAGAATGAAAACATGTCTTTAGTCCAATATACTACTAGGTTGAGATAACAATACATAATAATCTAATCTTACTACATCTTGAAACAGTCGTCTTCTTCCTAGTGTACTGCACTTATTTAGCTTAAATTCTACTGTAATAAAAACATTTCGTTATCATAATATTAACAAGTGCCATACAATAACACTGATCGGGGGGCAAGGGATTGTTGGTAATGGGGTCAAATAGCTCTATTACCAGCATATTCAGGGGGCCTATCATGAAATATTTTCCGAAATTTCGGGGACGAACGAAACAGAAATTTGATGTTAAAAATACATAGTACGTACATGCCGTTTAAAATTATTAAAAATGTTAAAATATCGTTCCTCTGGACTATTAGAATAGTATTTATGAAGAACAAAATGTTAAACTCCATTTACTGGGTCGATTTCGGTACGAACAAAAACACGAAATTGAACCCGAAAATTCAAAATTTCATTTCATAGTAGACCACCAGGTCATGGTAAGGTCGAACTCCTTGCGGTTCCCCTGGAAACCATCGTGGTTAATTTTAATTAGATTCGTCAGGATGGGCTAACTGACCTTTCATCAGAATCTATTATCTCTAACTGGTGCCCCGTCAGTGTAAACCGATAGCATAGGCGATGTTACCATACCATTATCACACATTAAAAAAAATTACATTGATCGCCTGCTCTTCAAGCTGAGATACCCTGTGTCATAAGAAACCAGGCGATTTACATCTATGGCACAGCCAGTACAGCCAGACCTGAGCTAATTCTGAAATGATCATTCCTTAAATTGACCTAACCGAGAATCGAAACCAGGATCTCATTTCCGCAAAGCAACCTATTATTTTATTATTAACTAGTTTATTTTTTCTACTCCCTACGATGAATTTCAGAAGTAGCAAAACAAATGGACTCCTTCTAGATGGCGTATCGATAATAATCAAAATGAAACATACACCAGATTTAAAGCTAGAAACCTTCAGAAAAACAACTATTAAAACCGCATCCAAGTTAGTACAGTAATTTTTACGTGATGCCGAAACAACTATACAGACAGATATATAAAATTTATATATATTACTATTTATTTATTTTGGCATCTATTACTCTTAATAAGACTTTCCCACTCTCTAAAATTTTTTTTTGTAAATTCCTCTCATGTATTTTGTAATGTAATTGGGGCTGTTTATCGGAGAAAAATACATTTGTGCAGCATGGCTGTGTGATTCCGACATAGAATAGACCACCTCTTCATTTCCCGTGGATGTCGTAAGAGGTGACTATTACGACATAGGCGTAAAAGGGAAGGCAAGGGATACGCAGCAGCGTCCCTCTTAAAACATCTCTAAATCCAAAGACCTAAATAAACCTAGATTGCCCTAGCGATAAGACCGCCTTTTGTGCCTTTATATGTAATTATTTAATCTGTACTCCATGCTACTGTATTTCAATTGAATTGTTTATATGTCATTGTTTATTTTTATGTTTTTGGTGCAATAAAGAGTTAAATAAATAAGTTAAACCCCCAAGGGGGAAACAACAGCAGTAAACAGTTAAAGTATTTGCTTGTATACGAAATCACCCCCTAAAAATACACCCTTTACATCTAGTGTATTACAAAATTATATTCATTCATTACACGAGATGACAAACTATCACTTACATAGTAGATAAATAAACATCATGTACGTAAACTTAGAATTATGTTATTTGCA